CAACAACAAGACGCAACAGAAGAGATATGTGGAGTAGAGAGAGAGAGAGAGAGAGAGGTTAAGGAGGCAGCAAAAATATATATATATATTAATAGTAGTAAAAGTAAAAGGAAGGGAAACAACAAGGAACAGCCGACACGGAGGCGACGCGGTCATATAACGAACACCTAGACGCCGAAATGGTAAAAACCGCAGTGAGACAGAGAGAGAGACACTGCGCCCGAAAAGAATACGGTGTAGAAGAGAGGTGAGAAGGCTAACAAGAGTTGAGGTACGTCCGTAAGCAAAGTTGCAGAACGGGAAAAAAAAGATAATACGTTCAAGCTTGAGTATTGGCTTCACAGACGTCAACAGCGACAACAATAAAGAACAAAAGGGAACGTAAAGCAGATAAAGCAAAGGAGCAGCAGAAGAGTAAATAAACAGGTCGTGATGACAAGAACGGTGGCAACGTTGCGAGAACAAACAAGTTTTTTTCTTGGTAAACAAAGACAGCCTGTTCGGCTCGACGTTTTTTCTCCTTTTTGGAAATATCTTGCCCTTGGCCTTTGTCCTTTTACTTATTTTCTCGTTACTTCGCCCTCTGTACTTTTTTTTGTTCTTTCTGGTGTTTGTAGGGCGGCGGCTTCGATTCTTCGCCTGGCAGAAATCAGAGGAAAGGCCAACGCGCGTCGAGGACGCAGAACGTCCGATCACAGAAATACTTCACAAAACCTGGTGCCCGTGGGCGTGTATGAACTTGTATGTGCGTAACAGCGATGCGTCGTCGTACTGAAATCATGACGAGGCACCGATATAACAAGAAAGCTCTGCACACCGTAACCACAGAAAAAAGAAATAAAGAAAAACAGTAAGGAGAAGAATACGAAGAGCAGCAAACAACGGGAAGAAAAGGCGAGCTCCCCTCCGTACTCGTGTGCACAAAAAACGCCGAATTACACTGCAATACGCTTGGTGGGTGCAGAGATGATGAAGAGACGAATAGGAAGTGGAAATGTGTGACGAAGACTGAGTAGGGGAGGGGGAGGTCTTTCGTTTGTTTGCAGAGAGTCCTGAGAGGACGAGAGCGCCAGTGGAACAGAGTTCCAACGCACTCAACGTTCGAGAAAGGCAGCGGGAGAGGGAGAGAGAGACGGAAGAAGAGAAGTTAATGCGGAAGTGTCTTCCCCGTCCCTTTTATTTACCTCGAGAACTGTTCTACTGCTGTTCCCAGAGGCATTCGATAAAACAGGAGGAGATTCGCAAACGTCGAATGCCGCTTCTCGCACGAAGCCAAAGCGTTAGGCGCTACTCCCTGTGGCACCTACGAGAGAAGGGCAAAAACGGAAAGCGAAACAGACGGATAGCTCAGAAAAAAAAAACCCGAAGAAAAAGAATTAGCAGCTGTCCATAGCAACCTCAGCGTATGAATACTATAATTTGTTGTCTGCATTGGGGTTTTTTTTTTTCAAGGTATTGTTGTTTGGTGTCTTTTTAAAACAAGGCGGAACTAATTGCGGCAATTCCACGTGGGTTTTTGTTTTAATACTCTTTCTCTTTGTTTTTATTTGTTTTGTTTATTCCCCCTTTTCCTTTAACTCTTCCGTGATGATCCCGTCAGGCGCACCCTGACCTCGAGAAACTCACACCACACACACACACACATACACATACACTGACATCGGTACCCACTAGCACACGCATGCCCCCCCCCCCCACCCAGCCGTACTGGGGTGGCCAGGGAAGCCAAACGAGAGGGGAGCACAACACGTTGCGCAACGGCGTTTAGAGAGATATACATGAGTACATATCGATCGCTTTCAACCTTTTTTGAGGAGAGGAGGGGGTTTACGACCGTACATCATCTAGGTGTAGAAGAAACGAACAGCGAAAGAAGAAAGAGCGCCGACAACGCAGGCGTGCCATGCATTCGCATCAGCAACCGCACAAACAGCACGCTCTAGCTTTTCCACGTGCGGTGTGACTGCTATACCTCGGTGCTGCGCGCTTAAAGAGAAGAGAAGAGAAGAGAAGAGAAGAGGTGAAAAACAGAAACAAAAAAAAAACTAGAAAAGAGGTAGTTTGATCTTGGGCTCTTCTCAGTTTTCTTTTTCAGACTCTTTTAAATGTATTTGCATTTGTCGTTGTTTGGGGTTTTTTTGGCGGGGTATTACGGGCAAAAAAAAAAACCAAGGTCGTTGCTTACTCGTCCGAGACAACGATTCTCTTTTACAGCCTCCTCTTTTTTTTTTTTTAAAGCTTCATAATTTCTCAGCACGAAAACGAAAATAATAACAATAAAAAACATTATAGAAGTAGTGGCGGGAGAACACTTTCAGATAATAATAAAAGGACGCCAAGGCAGACTTAGAAAACCAAAAAAAGAAACGAAATCGGAGAAGCGCTCTTGCGAAGGTGCGAAATGCGTGGAGTAGCCCTTCACCAAAAATCAAAAGAGCCGTCATATTGCCGCATCACTTGGTTTATCGACAACCATCACACAGCAAAGGTGATGGTAATCGATCTACGCTTGCGTTTGGTTATGTATGTGTGTGTGTGTGTGTGTGGTTGTTTGTTCTTGTTGCCGCTTTCGTTTCTCCGCCCTCGTGAATACGCACAGCAGCGCATACGCCGTTTGGGTTGTCGTATCACGAGTATTGCTCCCTCCTTTTCCTTCCGACCTCCCTGATCCCCGCGAGCACTTCCTTTCCAGCAGAGTACAACCGAAGCAAAAAAAAAACCCAAATATATATATAAAGTAAATAAACATGCAGAAAAGCTGAGGAGATGTCAAGACAAACTGGGGAGCACGTGATGCAGCCGCGGTGCACCTCCCCAAAACAGAGACAGTTTGCGAAAAAGAAAAGAGAAACACAAGAGAAAGATATATATATATATTAATCAAACGGAATCCAAATAAAGTTCGGCTGCTTACGAGGGAAAAATGGGGGGAAGGAAAAAAAGAAGGGAGGCACAAACACACACTCACTCACGCACAGATCGTGGGGACGAGACACAGCGAAAAGGAAAAGGCAAAGACGCTCAATCATAACAGTAATAGCTACACAACGTTGTACACACACACACACACACACAGCAAAATGTCATCTGAAGGACAAACACAAAAACGGCAGCAGCAAAGTTCAAAGAATGGCCGTGGTGCTGAGAGCCAACACTACGAGTCAGCCGCCCCATTCCCATCGACTACCGTCTTGCTGTCTCTCCTCATTTCGTTCTTCTTTCCTGGTTATTTTTGTGTCTCTGCATGCTGCAACACGATTCGCCAGTTGGCCGCTCTCTTCTCATTCTTGATTTGATCAATGGATCCAGGTCTGCCTTTCAGCCAAAACGTGTGATATCAACGGTGGCGGGCGCGGGCGTTCTCTCCCAGAGGGTGCGCCTACATCTAACCTACAGTGGCACCGTAGAAAACCACGAAACAAAGGCAAAAGAAAATTCGAAAGGAAACTGAATCAAACGAATACAGTACGAAGCGACAGGAAGCGAGAAAAATGTAAGAGCAAAGAGGAGAAGAGATCAGATAAAAGAAGAAAGAAACCAACAAAAGTGATAGTAGTAGTAATAGAGCCGTCACGCCCACCGTGCCGCGGGTCTTCTCTCGCAATCAAAGAGGAGAAAAAGGGGAAAAGAAAAGAAAGAGAAGCGCCGGCAACACAAACACAAACAGAAGAAGCGAGAATTACAGCGAGACCACCATCGCGCTTTTGATTTCGATGTTGCGCCGTTTGATTCCCCGCTTCTTGAACGCGCAACACCATGTCAAGCAACGCAGTAAGAATCCTGCAGGTACGTGACGTGCAGCCGCCAACTTGCATTCAAGGAAATCGGAATAGATCGATGCAGAACCAACAACAAACGCCTCCAATAAAAACAACACAGAAGGAAAACGGGGAGACTTGCATTCGCAGGCGAAGAAATCACGTCAACAACTAACTACATGATCACGCACGCAGACTTATTTTGTTTTCTTCCAAGTGACTGTAGATACTTTTAAAAGATTAGTTTACTTACGCTTAGACTTACGCGCTGCTTCGCACGCTCCCCCTGCACAGACGCAACTCACCCAAATAGCAAAAAAACAGGAAGAAGAAACAAAAACAATTCTTGTATTTTTCGTCACACAGGTGTTTCCCTACGACTCCTCACACCAGCGGTTCTCTTCACGGATCTTCTCCTCCTCCTCGGGAGTAAAGTCGTTCTCGATGTTGAAGAGCACGCGGATTTGCTCGGCTGTTTTGCCGCGGATCATACTGGCTACACAGGCGCAGGTCAGATCCAGCAGGTCGCGCACGTTGAGGAAGTTCGCCGCCATGATGACGTCGATGAGCACCTCGTGCTGCTTCTCATCGTGGTTCTTTAGGAGTTGGTTGAAGAGAAAATTGCTGTCCCAGTCGCAGACCAGCGAGTCGATGGTGGTCTTGAGGGGCTTTTCGATGGGCTGGGCCGGGTTGCCGCAGTGGTACTCCATGTACTCCAGCACGAGACGCAGGGTCTGGCCGGACACGTTCGGGATGGGGATGATCGCCTCATTGCCTTCCTGGTCATCCAGCATGTCCTTCAGCAGGCCCGACATCTTCGCAGATTCGCGGGACACCTTGAACTCTACAGGCGGGTGGTCATTGCTCTGCAGGATGCAGTACTCCGAGAAGTCCACATCCTCGCCGTTGGCTACCTCTACTGGCATGACTTCGAAGGAGGGAGGCCGGAGGCGGGAGAGCGTGCGCACGTGCGTAGGTGAAGTGGAACAGGAGGGGGGAAGACAGAAGAAAAGACGAGACAAAGAGGACCAACAAAAAACAAAAGAGCTAAACTTTTACTTCGAAAAGACAGAGTATACGCTCCTTCACGTTTGTCAGAATACGACAGAAACAAGGAAAAAAAAACCAAAGGAAGGGAAGGGGGTGGCTGGCAGGTGGCTACGGGCTATGTAGTTTCGCGCTCAACTGTTAAGGTATCTCTTTATATATTTTTTTTTTCTCTCGTTCTATTCGTCGCTCGGAAAACAGTTTTTGTCGTTGCTGGTTATTGCTCCTTTTCCTTTTCAGGATTTCTTTTTTAAACTTCAGACGAATGTTTCTGTGCTTCAAAACTCGGTACTATATGCTCTGTACACGAATAATACTTGTCCTTGCTGTTTACTGCGTGCGTAACAGGTGCATACGAAATGTACGAGCGTTTCTGCTTCAAGCCATCACTGGCGCGTTCTCTCACGTTCTAGGAGACAGGGAGGAGTCTCGACTAGATTCAAAGAAAAAAAATGATAACTAAATAAATGGAAACTCTTTGTGAGACAACAACAAAGAAGAAGAAGAGGTATTGGAAAGAAGAAAAAACAAAGGGCCGCTCTTTGGTTTGTTTTTGTATGGTGCGAGGGAAGCCACACGGCGGTTCACGACCAGAAGCTTTCCGACGCCAGTTACGTACGGCTCTGAGCGGCGATGAAGGGGAGGCGGCGATGAATGGGAAGGGGGGAGTGCGGTGGTAGCGGAAATGAATTTGAAGCGTGGCCGACGCCGCAACGACCGGCGAAAAGAGTAAAAGCGAAGGTGAAAGAAAAGGAGGGGGGAAGATACAAATCCAGACAAATTAAGAAAAAAAAAACGCAGCCGATATGAACCGCGAAAGCATCGACGCATTTTTTTGTGTGTGTATTTCGTCTTCCTCTTCAACATCGCCCTGAAGCTCCTCTATCAGGGAGACAACAGGAGGCATAGAGAGTCCCCTTTGCTTTAATGACTTTTCTCTCGCGGGTTCCTGTCGGCTTCCACACGCTTCTCACCGGTGGCTATCCCCTAAAGCGCCACAGCGACAGCAGCTCCGACGTATTCCACTACGAAAAGGCACGTGACACGCCGGTGGGCCGTAATGCTCTCTTTTGAGGAGATGTGACGTTGACGAGCAGGGAGCCCCCTTTCTAGATCTTTTCCCTTCTTTTTCCTGTTTGTAGGTGGCGATGGATCCTCAAAATGGGAAACAACGAGAAGTCGTCAGACCGAAGTAGAAGTGAAAGCTGAGCAAACGGTATAGAGATATATTGAAAGCAACGTGGTCAAGAGCAAACAAAGGCAGAAGAGCTGCATCAAACTCAAGTGGCGATAGAGCGAGCGAATAGGGAAAAAAAAACGGGAAAGTAAACAACTGACGTGTGTTCTACGAAGGCACGAGCCACCACAACGCCGCTGTGGCCCCGCCCCTCGCCCGCATGTTCACCGTAAACAACTACGAAAACAAGCATAAAAAGAAAAGATATGGTATTCGACAGCGCAGAACTGATCCGATGGTGAACGCACAACGACGACAAAGAGGGGAACTCACACACGACGAAATCGGAGGAAAAATAGGCAGTGGAAAGGAAAAACCAGCAATCCAACGCGCTGTCACGCCTTTACGAGATAAAATCAATGCGCTCCACAACAGCAAATAAAAAAGGAGACCGAAAGCTCTTTGTGGGGAGAGGGGGAGGGGCTTGATAGATGAGGGTGCATTTCAATTCTTGGCAGGCGCAAATAATGGTACTAAAAATAAATCTTGCTGGTGTGTGTGTGTGTTTTTTTAGTTGTCAGCGTTTGCGTCTGCGTCTGTCGGCGCGGAGGAGGCGGGGGGTGACACAGCGGCCGGCGAGGGCGAGCGGGCCGGCGGCGGTCCCGCCGAAGCGCGGGGTGGCAGCGGCACCGTTGGAGGCACCGCCGCCCCGCTGTACCCCGCACTCCCACCACCGCTGTCGTCGCCCTTAAACGTCTGACGCAGCACCTGCTGCAAGTTCGCAAAGCCCTCTGCAATGGCCGTCGCCGGGGCGGTGAGGCGAGCCGCGGCGCCGGACTCAAGCGACAAACGCGCTACGCCCACCAAGTCCGCGTTCGCCTCGGCCGGCATCGGCTGCACGTAAAGCTCGTCGTCGTCGTCCTGTGGTTGCGGCAACGGCTGCTGCTGCTGCTGCTGCTGGCGTTGATCAGCCATCATCGACGATGGACCCGCCGAGGCAAATCGATCCGGCGGAGCACCGCGCGCAGTTGGATACGCGCTGCCGCCCTGTCCAGCGTCATCGCTGACGTTCTCCGCGACAATCACCGCGCTCGTGTTGTGCCCCAGGCGCCCGCCACGCCGACTCTGCGACGACAGCGGCGACATCATCATCTCCTCCCCCTCATTCGCCTCCCGCTGCCGCACCCGCAGCAGCGACTTGCTCTTCGTGCCGACGCATTCCTTGCACTTGTAGCCGTTGCGGCGGCGGACCATCTCCCGATCAAAGCGGCCGCACACGACGCAATAAATTTGCGGCGTCGCGCCACCCTGCGCCACCTGGTGCGAGCGCAGGAGATCCGTGTCGACCTTGACATCTTGCGCCGCCGTCTCGTACTTGGAGCGGCGCAGAATGACATCGGTGTCGGCGAAGTTCATGTCCTGATTGCGCTCCTCCCGGTCGCTGTCGGCGTCGTAGTGCAAGATGCCGTCGGCCCGCACGCCGTAGTCCGTCGCGATGGCGTGCCGCACCAACTCCTCCAACGTCGGGTCCCGCGCGAGGCTGTCGGCGTTCGTGACGAAGTTGTACGCGTTGGTGCCGCTGCTCGCACCGGCAGAGGCCGCAGCACCGCCACCGCCGCCGCCGTCGTCGGCATTGCCCGCAGCCTGCCCGTAGTCCTCCTCGTTGTCGCTGTCGTTTTCCTGATCCACCAGCTTGCCCTTGCGGAAGAAGATCGTGCCAAAGGTGTCATCGATGATGTCGTTGACGTCGAGCGCCGTGTCCACGTTGGAGCGCAGATCGCCGGTGTTGTTGTCCTTCATGTACACCGGCACCGCCGCCATCTCCTCGTCCAGCTTCGACCGGCCGAACGCGGCCCGGTGGAGAAAAGCGACGGGCAGCAGCTCAAAGCACATCAGCAGGTCCTGAATGATGGCGCTGTTCGCCTCTTTGGCCTCTTCGGTGCTGCCGAGGCACACGATCTTGGCCAACGCGGCCAGGCTGACCACGACGGACTGCCAGTAGCTGAAGAAAATGATGGACTTGACGCACAAGAACTTGAGGAAAGTCTTGGCGTAGTGCAGCTCCTTCTCGCACTCGATCTCGAAGAGCACAAGGTAGTAGAGGGCCATGGTGAGGCTGATGTTTACGATGATGCAGGTGTAGGTGTACACGTTGTTCACCGTGAAGCTGCCCTCCTGGTAGATGCCGATGGGGTGGCACACCATCGCAATAAACGACACGACGGGCTTAACCAGCGCACACTGCAGCACCCACCGTTTGCAGCGGAGGTAGAAGCTCGTGTCGAGGGGGAAGGACGGGATGTAGCACATGGGGAAGGGGTGCATGCCCTTGTAGCGCTTCTTCTTCAGCGACCGCAGCAGCTCCCCCTCCCCGCCGCAGTACGACACCATCAGCATAAAGAAGATGTAGAGCACGAAGCTCTCGTAGGTGTCCCGCACCGTCTCGAAAAAGAAGCGCCAGCGCGGCATCAGCAGCGAGAGGGCGGAGAAGAAGGCGTAGATCGGGATCATCATGATAATGCGCATCTCCAGCTTTTGGATTTGGGGGTAGTCGAAGCGTGAGAGGTGTTCGCGCAGATCGCCGAACGACACAAAGCAGCAGACCACCGCGAAAACGATGGCGGCGTACATCAGTCCTTTGTTGTCCACCCACGTCAGGTCGACACCGGAGCAGCTGTGCGTCTCCGGCTCAGACAGCTCGAAGGCGAGCCGCTGCGAGAAGTACATCGCCGTTGCGCTCTCCATGTTCGGTCTTCCTTTGGGTTTCGTTGAGAGGGAAAACGGGGGGAAAAGAAATGCGCAAGACGAGAGGGGAATAGCGCTAACGAAGAGAGAGACACAACCACTCTATAGAGAAGATACGCGTACAGCAACGCGGAGGTGTTCAACAAGGAGCCAGTAGATTATATAATTTCCTTCTAAAGAAAGGGCAACAGGGGGGGGGACAAATCGAGGAAGCCGCGCTGCTTGAAGTCTGGTGCTGCCGTGCAGTATTATGAAAAAGCTGAGATCGCTAAGCCGGTGTATGGGATGCGTAGCTTTCCGCACCTCCTCGCCGCTGCAAGGACCCGAAGAAGCACAAAGCAGGCTGACTCTAGCTATGAAAGCAACAGCACAGAGCAACGAAGAAAACAAAAAAACAAGACACGAATTGGCGCAAGCACGAGAGGAACGGACCTACAGAGACACACGCCGCGCTACAACATAGAAGTACAGTTTGTGAAGCCAAAAATGAAGGCCACAACCGCGAAGTTGAAAGGAGAAAAGAATGGAGCAGGGAGAACAACCGAAAAAAAAGTGGAGGGAACCAAAGAAATAGAATGCTTTAGGTTGCCAGAGAGGAATTGCATTAAAAATACGTCGAAGAGAGCTGCGGTCGATTGAAGTATCTTACCGAAGAAGATGGTAACTCGATGCAGCGTAATGGAGGTGGAATGCACCTCGCTTCATAAAAGCGGTTCCCCGATGAGTGAGACCACTCTTTCGGAAAAGAAAGAGGGGGTTCATATGAATATGTTCCACACGCCCGCCAAAGTAAACAAAGATATCTTCCGCATAGGCGTGAACAGCAGGGAGGGAGGGAAGGGATAAGGCGGGGTGCATCTCGCAGCTCTACCACTTTTGCCTGATGCTTACCCTCCCTATCTCTGTCGTGTGGACGTTTTTGGTTGCTGCTGCTGCTGTTTTTTTTGTTGTTGTTTGTCAATGTACTACGCCCTCACGAGAAGCCTAGAAAACCCGGTGTTCTCTTGAAACCGTGTACCGAAAGAAAAAGGAAAAAAGAAAGCCAAGAACTCCAAAGAAGTGCGACAAGCTGCTGCCTTAACGAGCACGCGGGGCGTGGACGGAAAGAAGAATCGGGTCGTCCCCACACAGTGGTGCACTCGGCGCGGCCGGGTGTACCGATGCGGACGTGCTCCGTACGATGCAACACACTCGCGAGGACTCGCGCATCCTTCGTCCCCTCAACCACATTCGGAACTTCTAACGAAACAAAAACAGAAAAGGCAAAGTGCTCTTTTTTGTTTTAGTAGAAGAAGCCGAGGACCTTGCCACCGGTGTTGCGGGAGCGGGCCTCCTCGTGATCCATGATACCGAGGGAGGTCGTCAGCACCACGAAGCCGAACTGACGCGAGGGCAGGATGTTCTTCATCCACTTCTCGTACTCGGTGGTGGCGCAGTCGAAGCGCGGGCAGATGGCACCGCACTTGTTCAGGCGACCGTTCAGGTTCACGACGATCTTGCCGGCGCGGTGGTCGTCGATGATCTCGAACTCACCGATGTAGCCGTGCTTCTGCATGACCTGCAGGAACTTCACGACCACCTTGGAGGAGGGGCGGATCAGCACCTGGCGCTTGCCGCGGCGCTCAGCGCTCGCAATAGTGCGGAGCGCGTTCGCGAGAACGCTCATCATCGTCATCGTTGCTTGCGAGAGGCTGCTAAAAGGGGGTGGAGCTGCGGAAGTTGTCGATGCGTGTGTGCGTGGCAGCGAGTGCATGGAAGGTAAACAGAGGGAGAGTGAGAACGAGAAGGTGAGGAGGAAAGGAAAGAAAGGGAATTAGATGATAATAGTAAAGCCAGCATAAAACGCAATGGTGAGACCAGTTTTCTTTCCCTTTCCATAAAACGGAGATACCGCCTTCGCAGCTTTCCTTTTTTCCTGCTGTTCTGACCTGTTTTTGGCAGCAGCGACGTAGATGCACGCGGCCAAATCAGCTCCGCGACGGCCATGGCGGCACAACAACCCGCCGTCCTATCCATGCACGGTGTGGTATTTCGCTTTGCAGCGGGTGACGTGGGACGCCGCCTGTGTGATTGTTTTTCTCCTTCCCCTTCGTTTGCACGCCATAAGTAAACTAGCGGTCGCAAACGCACGACACGTGCACGCAGAACCAAAAACACGACCAACTCTGGTGCATTACAAAACTCTTTTGGAGTCGCCACCGCGATGTCCACCGCGCCCCTGCGACGGGCCGTGACCGCCACGGGATGGAACCGCCCCACCACGCCGACGCCGCTCCGGATTCAGCCGGCGATCCGTCGCTGCAACGCAGTGCCCTTCAATCAACGCCTGGTAGCCGTTCACCACCGTCACCGGCGCATTCTGTTCCGCGCCCGCAACAGTAGCAGTCGTAGCAGAACGAGACGATGATGATGACGACGTCCACGAAGAAGTGGCATGACGCCCACGTGCGGCGATCTCCACGGTGATCCCGCGCAGGACCTCGCTCGTGTGCCGCCCCGCCCAGACGTACCACATCGATTTGAAGTGGGAGTGGTCGTGGCCGACGCCGAGGGGGTGCGCGTAGTCGTAGCGAACACGCGGGATAATGTAGAGCGGCTCAGGGCCGACGGGGACAGCAACAGCGGCGGTGGGTGGAGCGCCGGCCGCCGGCGCCGCCTCAGCAGCAGCAGCAGCAGTCGTCGTGGGAGGAGGAGCAGGAGCCCCTTTCTCACCCTCCCGGTCCGCGGCATCCGTCGCCGCCGTCACCTCCGCCTCCGCCTCCGCCGGCAGCAGAAACGGCGGGAGAATGGATGCGATCGACGGGATGGAGGGGGGTGGTCGGCGCACCGCCCCTTTCACGGCCCCCGCCGGCCCAGGCGAGGGCACCGTCGCCGTCGGCGTGAAGTACGTCTGCACCCACATCTTGTACTGCGGTTTGGCCGCGATGTAGTCCGGTGCGACGAAGGCCCACGGCTTCAGCGGCCGCTGCGTGACGAGGAAGTCGAGCAGACGCCAGATGTGGTCTTCGCTGAAGGGGGGATTCGTCACGAGCACGTCGTACGGACCGGGAAGGGTGCCCTGCGCGATGTCCGCGTAGAAGTCGCGGTTCTCGTGCAGGACGTGCTGCACGCCCAGCTCATTCCACGCCTTCACGATGCCGCCGGCGCAGTAGTAGGGGTCGTACACGGTGAAGCGCTCCGGCGTGGAGGGGCGCAGGAGTTGGCGCAGCTCCTTCACAAACGGCAGCACATCCCGCAGCGCCGCGGTGGAGGTTTCGAAGTGGTCGTTGAAGTTTGCCCTGAAGGGGTGGTGGTGCAGGCGCGACGCAGCGGCAGAGTGGGGAGCCGCCGGTGCTGGATGGCCCTCCTGGAACACGGAGGGCGACTTCGATGAATCGCGCGAGGGAGGAAACGAATGTCTGTCTGCGGCCCGAAGACGAAAGACGGACGACGACGACGACGGTGACGACGCGAGGGTGGTGGTGGAGGAGGCGGGGTGACGCTGCGAGCCATGACCCGAGTGTGGCTGGTACCGCCCGCCACGCTTCGGGTGTGCTCCGCTTCTGTCCGCACGTGAAGCGCCTTTCTCAGCCGACGTGGACGAGGGATGAGGTGATGTCTCGTTGCGGCTCCTCTTGGTCGGCGGCATCGCTCCACGTTCGAGTGGACCGCCATCGCCACCGCCGCCGTTCGACCGCCGCTTGCGGTGCTGTGCACCCGCCTTTTCGCTCCCACCGGCAGAGGCGCTGCTGTGCGACGGCTCCATTAACGTAGTGGACAGCGCCAGTAAGCGTATGGATGTGCAAGTAGAGATTATAGGAAGTCAGGACGCAAAGTGCGAGCCGTTGCCTGTGCGGTGGCGCCTGCTTGCGAAGTCTGTGCCCCTCCCACAACTACTGCGGAGAACGGCATAATAATAGTATCAGCCAGAGGATAGGGAGGGAGGAGCCGAGTTCGATGCAATACGAGAGGCCTGCGCGAGAAGTGCCTGTCAGCGAATACATCCTTTTTATGTACTTTTTGCCTCGAGGAAGTCGCATGTGATGAAAAACCCTTGCTCCTTCATGAGGTGTTCTTGCACAGTTCCATTCTTTTTCTTCGTTACGCTTGAGCAACAACAGCAATGTCGCGACACCTCCAAGCCCCTCCCATGTCGAGATGAAGATTCACAGGGGTAGACGCACTCAGCGCCTGTCGCTGTCTTGGCTCGTCTCTATAGGTGGCGATGAGCCAGATTCTTTTTGTTTTCTCTTCATTCGCTTCCAGTGATCAACGCAAGAGGACGTTAGACATTGTGAACAGGAGTCGCTAGACAGCCAGAAGGATACGCACAGAAGTCGGCATGTGTGTGTGTGTGTGTGGTGAGCAGCCCATCAGATCAGACAAGCACACAAGCAAAAAGATAAGGCCCGCGTTTCCAACGATCAAACCGTTCGAAATCAACCCGAGCTTCCAAACAACAACAACACGAGGCCACGCACACCGAAGGCCCTCACCACACACACGGAGAGAGACACAAACGAAATCATCACAAGCACGGCCTCAAAACAAGACGTTCCCCGCCCTTGGCGATCAGCGCATCGCTTCCTTTGCGTGTGTGTGTGTGTAGGTGACCCATCCAGCACGGATCACCAAAGGAAGGCTCCTTCACGGATTACTTGCGCTTCCCTTTGAACTTGTCGCTGCCGTCGTCGTCAAAGACGACTTCGTAGTCGTCGACCGTCTCAATGCGAGTCGCGTTCCGCTTCGCCCGCTCCGCCTTTCGCGCCTCCTCCAGCCGCACCTTCTCCTCCTGCGTCGCAAACAGCCGCTCATACAACGAGGGGCCCTTAATCTCCGAAATCAGCTGCGCCTTCGCCGCCTGCGGGGGGTCGGGGAACTGGAAGAAGTCACGGAAGGGCTGCCAGCGCAGCAAGATTGGCTGCAGCAGACCCATCGTGGACAGCCCGATCCAGTAGGCGAACATCGCCGACGGCTGCGAGGCGAAGAAGTAGATGCCCACCACCGACGAGGCGCGCACGGCCCAGCGGATGTACATGCTACTGCTGCTGCGGCCGCCGCGCTGCATGCGCTGGTTCATCTCGAAGTTCAAGAGGAACATGCCCGCGCAAATCGCCGGGAGGAGGTAGGTCGGGTCCGGCATTGTCAGGTCCCTCACCCACAGAAAGGGTGCCATCTCGAGATCGGTCTCGTACATGGCCAGCCGCCGAATCGACAAGAAAGCCGACATCGTCACAGGCGCGGTCAGCATCGTCAGGAAGCTCTTCCACTGCGAGCATTGGTGCTTCTTGCAAAGCGCGAACTTCATACGGTTGTAGCCGTCTTTAATCACGCGCTTCTCGGCCGAGGAGAGGGTCCGGTCGTTCTTAGCCTTGGTCTGCGCGTTGGTGATCTCAGAGATCTGCGGACCAATGTGTGCCATGCGCAGGGAGTTGCGGTTGCTGTACAAGGAAGGAATCAGCGTCAGCAGACGCATACACAGGCCGTAGAAAAAGAAAACGTGGCCCCAACCGCCCATGTCGATGCCCATAAAGCCGTTGTGACGCAGACCGCGCATGATCTCCACCTGCTTCTCCACCGGCTGCAAGAAACTCACCGCCCAGTCCCAGAAATCCTCCAGCCGCTCAAACAGGCTCTTGTCAGGGCGGATGTAGTCCTCCACTTCTGTGGGCTGATTCGCAAAGATCTCCGGCAGCTCCTCCTCCAGTTGCGGGTTTGAGCTGCGGCCGATGTCGGTGCGACCCCAGGTGCGCGGGTCCCAGCTGATGCAGCGTTGTTGGATGTGGCAGGCGCCGCGCACACCGCTGCCTCCACGCGCCGCGACCTGCGACGTCGAAAAGAGCGTAAGAGACGAAGTAGCGACGGCGCCGCAGGACACGAAGCCGCTGCCTCCCGCTGCTGCTGCTGCTGCTGAGTGAGGGGGCGTTGGCAGGCGTCGGTGGGCGGAGGACGTGGTGAGGTGTGCACGCAGCAGCGTCGTGGCCGACACGCAGCAGGCTCGGGAATGGAAAAACATGCCCGTACCTTTGTTGACTTCCTTTTGCAATTTTGTATGGTGATGTGCGTGGTGATGTATCGGTGCACAGCACGTGTGTGTGTGCGTGTGTGTGTGTGCGTTTGCTGGGTTCGTGTGCGGGGTCAGCAGCTGTGCAGTGCACTCGAACGAAGGCGGACGTGGGAGAGGAGAAAAATTCAACGAAGAGGGAATCAATGAGCGCTGACAAATCATACTGGAAAGGGAAGAAGGAATTGGTTCACGTTGCTCCACGTTGTGTGGGCGTGTATTTGCGCGTTCTTTTGCACCGCCATACAACACGTCTGCTGATGTCGCCAGCAATGCAGCTCAGGAAAAAAACAAAACGGACGTGAAAGCCAAATTTCCTTTTTCTTCTTTCCTCCTCAACGCAGCCCGCAGCGCATGCAGGTGCACGCGCAACAGCCGATGGAGAAGACCTGTTGGGAGCCAAGACAGCAATAGCTTTTCTCACAAACAGCAACATTTGTGTTCTCCATCGCAAAGACATCTCTCTGCCTCCGCCTCTCTCACACGCACACGACTTTCTAATAAATACCTTTACGATGGCATTTCCCTCTTTCCGGGAAACTAATTAAACAACAACTTTTAATAACGCCCTGATGAACGCGAATACAGGGACAAGGCAGTGAAGCTGAAACAGGTTCATGAGACTACTTCAAAAACAAAAAGGACCAGGTCTGTCCAGATTTCACTTCACCTTTTAGTCGTTCTTCGCCCTTGCCTTCGCGACAATTATTTATAGAGGAAACAACAAAAACATTAATAGCGTTTAGTACCGATCAACAGGGACGGAGGGGGCCAACGCTGAAGCATCCTTCCTGTACAAACACGGCGTGAACATCAACCTAAATGAATGGTTAAGAAAAATATTAAAAACATTAGTAATAATAATACTAACATTGAAAGAAGCATAGCAAATTTGTGCTGCGTCTGTCGCACCACCGGTGCGGTGCGCGCTAAAAACGCGTTCCACAGCTCCACCACAACCGTACTCTTCATCCACTACCTCTGCGCATTGCCCCTCTCCTTCATGAGGTGCACACACTGCTCCTACTTACCCGTCTTGGCGAGAGACTCGTGGGTCGACTCGTACAGCTTCGTCACGACGCCAATCGCAATCGTCTTACCGTCATCGCGCAGCATAAAGCGGCCCAGCTTATCGAAGTCCTTGTGCACCTCCATCACCACTGGGCGGTCCAGCTCAATACGCGCAATGACGATATCGCCGGCCTTCACGCAGGCCGGGTCCTTCTCCACAATCTCGTTCGTCTTCCGGTCCACCTTGGCGAAGAGCTTGTGGAACGACGCCTCCTCCTGCGCGGCGTGGATGTGCAGCATCACGCGCGAGCCGGCGCTGATGATGTTGCGCACGTCGAGGATCACCACCCGCGCCTGGAAGAACTCGACGGCGCGCAGCGAGGTCGGGATGGAGGTGGCGACGTAGCCGCCGTGGATATCGTTTTCATCGATGCCACGCACGCGCAGGTGGACGTTGTCGCCGGGGTAGCACTTTTCAAACTCGGTCGACTCGATGGAGATGCCCTCCACGACCGCCTCCTGCTTCGCCGGCAGCACCTGGATCTTCTCGCCAACAGCGATGGAGCCGGACTCCACCTTGCCGTAGATGTAGGTCTTGCCGTCGTCCTTATAGGCGCCGACGAGCGGGATGCAGAGCACGTCGTCTTCCGTCTTCGACTCCGGCAGCATCAGCTCGTCGATCACCTCCATCATCGTCTGGCCCTTGTACCAGTCGCAGTGAGCGGCGTCCACGTGCTTAATCAGGTTCTCCCCCGTCAGGCCCGCCACCGGGATAAACAGCAGGTTCTTCGCCCCCTCCTCGCTGTAGCCGTTCTGGCGCAGAAAAGGCCGCAGCTTCCCCACGATCTCGTCGTAGCGCTCCTTGCTCCACTTCATCTCGTCCATCTTGTTCACCACGCAGATCATCTGCTTCACGCCGCAGGTGCGGACGAGCATGGCGTGCTCCCGCGTCTGCCCGCCCTTCTCGAAGCCCGTCTCGAACTCGCCCGTGCGACTGGAGATGACGAGAACGCAAATGTCGGCCTGCGTGGCGCCGCCGATCATGGAGGGCACAAAGGCCTTGTGCCCCGGCGCATCCAGCACTGTCACACGGCGCTTCTCCGTCTCAAAGTACGCCGCGCCCGTCTCGCGGGTGATGCCCTTCGCCCGCTCGTCCTCCGACACGTCCATCACGTACGCGTACTCCCAGCCCTCGCGGTGGTGGATCTCAGCCTCGCGGCGCAGCTTGTCCATCTCGCGCGAGTCCACCAGCCCCTTCTCCATCAGCAGGTGGCCGGAGATGGTGGACTTGCCGGCGTCGACGTGGCCGCAGAATACGATGTTGTAGTGCGGGCGGGGGTCGCGCTTGTACGTCTTCTTGCTGCACGAGCGCAGCCGCGCGATCTCCTTCTTCACCGCCTCCCGCAGCTCCTCCGGCGTCATCTTGCTGCGGTCCTTCTCCGTCTCCTTCGCCGGCGCCGGCGACGCCGATTTGCTCGTCGCGCTATCCGGCGCCGGAGAGGAGGCGTTGGTCGGCTGCTCGTCCGCCGCGGTGGTCGTCGGCGATGACGGGCTGGCCGGCCCGCTCTCGGAGGCCGGCGCTACCGGCGACTCGCCCGACTCCTTCGCCGTCGCCGCTGTTGTCGTCGTTGGGGTGTTCGCCCCCGGCTGCGGCGTCGCGGCATCCCCTGCCGCCTTGGCCACCTCCTGCTTCTTCTTGCCCAGGGAGAGCGTGCCGCCGCCCTTCTTCTTGGGCAGCACCACCGGCTGGGTGGCACCGCCCCCGAGGGACAGTCTCGCAGCGTCGGAGGTCGCCGCGGTCGGGGAGGCCGGGGAAGCTGGCTGCGGCTGCGCCGTGTTCTGCGGTTGGACCTGCTGCTGATAGCCTTCGTTTTGCTGGTAGCGTTGCTGCATGTTCTGTGGAACGTACGCGTTGTTGTTATAATTGTAACCGCCCTGCTGTTGCTGCGGCTGCTGCTGTGGGTAGTTGCTACCACCTCGGTTCCCACCCCGCTGCTGCTGCTGCTGCTGACCGCCGTAACCGCCACGAGGATAGTAACCACCACCACCACCGCCTTGTTGTTGCGGCTGGTAGGTGTTATTGTTGTAAGGGTCCTGATAGCCCCCGGTGCCCTGTTGAGGTGGGTAATTGCTGTTGTACCCACCCTGCTGCTGCTGCTGTGGGTTGTAGCTCCATTGCTGGCCGTACTGGCTGTTATTGCCGTTGTAGCCGCCTTGCTGGGGGTAGTAGGCGCCGCCCTGTTGGTTTGGATTGAAGTTGCCAGGCGTGAAGGATGGCGCGTTCGGGTTCACGTTGCCCGTCGGCTGCTGCCACGACATGGGGAACAGGAAAAGAAAAGGTTGTATATACGTACTATATATATGGTTGTGGGTGAGCGAGAGAACTCGTTGGACGGGCTTCTTCACTCGAGTACCCAACGAATGCGAACAACCGAAAGAAGACGAGGAGAGTAGGCTTTTTTCGTTCAGCCCCTTCTGCGCTTGCGAGTGCTGTGATCTCCGTAAAACTGTCGGAGTCGGACAGAAGACGTGTTATTTGTTGTCGTCGTTGTGATGGGAAAACAAGGAAGTAGCTCACACGGAAGCGTGGTGAGAAGAGAGAGGTGGAGGCAGAGTGATTTACTTCCGTAGCGTACAAAGAAAAGGCTCGGCGTTGCACCAGCAGCGGGCGTGCGACAATGTAGATGGCGGTCGTGCGCTCCTTCGATCTTTCTTTTCCGAAACTACACGGAGCAGAGGCGTAGAAGCTTTTTTTTTCTGAGTGCCCCTGAGGCACTACAGCCTTGACCGCGTACAGTTGCTTTCGGAGGAAATACGTTGCGGCACCTACACAGACGCGTTGAGGTGCAGCGAAAGGGAGTTTGCTGTGGGGCCTCTCAAAACGGTCGAGAACTCTGCTCTTTTGTTTCCCTTTAGTCCTACACCGCTTTGTCCTTCCTGCTGCTTGTTTTTGTTTGTGTTTTACGCACACAGATACGTCCCTGAGACCGAGAAGGACAAGGTCAAGAAGCTGCGCTGGTACTCGACTCCTTTTGGGAGGAGGAGGCGCGGGACTTTCTTTTTTTCCTTTCTCTGAAAATGGTTATACGCACAAGTACAGTGAGAGCCCCAAGAGGCAGTGGAAATGGGGGAGGAAGGAGGGGGGGGGGGGTAAGAAGGTCCTCTCAACATAGACACGACAAGAAAAAGAACAACGCGACGTCAACTCAGCCACAAATCCGTAAGAAACCGCAACAACCGAAGAAGAAAAAAAAAGAAGGCCGCCACAACGAGTCTCGAAGCCAGTACAAACAGATCAGGAACCAACACGCGGACACGCCTGGTTAGCGAATGCACACATGACAACATCAAAGCGATTAGTGCGACTACCGAATACACCCCCCGTTCACTCTCCACAACACCGCCCTTCACGATTTCGTTCTCATCATCATCCTCCAACAACAACCATGAAAAGGTCTGCACCAGCCCACCGGGGTGCTACACACCCCACACCCACCCGTGCAACACACAACACAAACAAAAAAAAAGAGGGAGATACGCATGTGCACAGCCTAGACAACGATGCAACCCTTTCCTTCTGTTGCTCCCGTTGTTGTCGTCGTCTTTATTATTACTAACCTCCTCTGCGGCGATGTCAACACAAACCGCGGCGGCATTAGCTTCACCGATTCCAAAGCGAAGCCCCGACAGAGAGAGAGACACACCACAGATCGCCGCCACAACAAACTCCTAAAGCGCACTGCCTCTACGATAGGGGGTAACAACAGAAAAAGAAGAAGAATAGTTAAAAAAAACTCAGCCGCTGTTCTTCACGGAAACTCAACAAAACCACTCCACGGCAAACGCGAGGGAAAGAAAAAACAACAGAGGCGGAAAAAGGGAAAACGAAGAGGGAAATGCAGCTCGTTTAACGCGTCGCGGTCATCCGCAGCAACAGAGGACCCCCGCCGTAGAGCTTCGTTCTTCGCCCCTCCTCTCTTATTCGCATTCTCTTTTCGCTGTTGTTGTTGTGGCGGTCTCGCACCTTTTTCTTTTTTTTCATTATCTTTTCCTTTGCCTTTCTTTTACAGGTAACGCAGATTTGCGTAGGCCTGCACGCCTTGCCCGTAGCGCTCCGCAATCTGCGCCCACACCTGCGCCGCAGCTGGTGTGCCGGCGCTGTTGCAGAAGTACTGCAGCATCTTCAGCAGATCCTCCGGCAACAAGTTCTGCTGCATCTGCCGGACCAGCTCCATCGCCGCCTGCTCCACGGCGGCACGCCGGCGCGGGTCGGCGATGTTCGGCACGAGCTGCTGCAGTCGCTGTACAATTTGTCCGTGCAGCGGGGCAGGGAGCTGCGCCGGGTTTACCGCTGCGAGAGCCGCGTTTTGAGATGGTGGGCTGATGGTTGCCGGGGCGGCATTGGCGGCTGCCATCCCAGGCCGCGGCGGCGGGGGACCGGCCATGGCAGGCTGCTGCTGCTGCTGCTGCTGCTGCTGCTGCTGCATCGGTGGTGCAGGCTGAGCCGTCACGTTGTAGAGCGACGTCGGCTGCGACGGTGCGCAGTGGCTGAGGGCGCTGGACAACAGCGGTGGAGGCGCCGCAGCAGCAGCAGCGGGGTAGCCGCCCATCGAGGCGGACGGCTGCTGTTGCAGCTGCTGTTGAGAGGGCGGCGGTGGGCCGGTGGGCGAGGCCCCACCACCGGCGCTCGGCGGGCGCATCGAGGAGAAGGTTGAGACTGGGTGCGGCATGAGCCGCGGCTTCGGCTGGCCCATCATCCCATTCGAGGTGGGTGAGCCCATGCGATTCGGTGGGAGGGCCGACGGCTGTGTGGATGCCGCTGTGGGTGGTGGTGGAGCAGCGGGACCCTGCAGGGGCGGCATGCCGGGCATCGCACCCGGGTTATGGTGGTTCACGTTGTACACCCCACCCGACGATGACGGCGGCGGCGGAGGCGGAGGGGCGGAGGTGTGGCCGGGCAGCGACGATGAGGACGCATTCGGCATCAGCGGAGGCCGGGCTGGTGTGTTGAGCCCTGATGAGTTACGAGACGGTTGTTGCTGCTGTTGCTGCATCGGTGGTGGTGGTGGTGCCTGTGCTGTGTAAGGGGCAGGGTGATCTGACGGTGGGCGCTGGTAGTTTTGCTGGGAAAAGGATGGTTGCTGCGGCGGACGCAGCGGTGGGAAGCCGCCCATGGCGTTGGCAGACTGCCCTGCGGACTGAGGCATGTAACCGCCTCCCATCATCGGAGGTTGTTGCTGACGTTGCTGCTGCAGCTGCTGCTGCTGCTGCTGCTGTGCCATCTCGTTCGGGTGCGGAGACATGCGCTGCTGCTGCTGAGCCTGCTGTTGCTGAGCCTGCTGTTGCTGCTGCTGTTCATGCAGTTCGCGCATGCGGCGCGCCTCGGCAGCGGCGAGGAACGCCTGACACGCCGGACTCTGCTCGTCCGACACCGGCGCCGGTTCGTAGGGCACCGACAGCTTTTCGTGGGAGACGTCGAACAAGTACTTCATACGATCCACCAGCACCGCCGCGGTGTGGTCGCCGACGCGGCAGGCTCGCCGCAGGTACTGCAGCGCCTCCTCTGGGTGTCCATCGGTCAGCAGCTTCACCCCGTAGTCACACATGCAATGGGCCAAGTAAGCGCCACTCGCAGCCCGCTGCGTCGTCTCCTCCAACAAAATGGTGTCCTGCACCACATCGCGGGAGGGGCGCTGCTCCAGCCGCCAGAGGTCCACGACGGCGTCCACGTTGCGGGCGCAGATGTAGCAGTGATAGGCGCCCTCGTAGTTCTGCTGATCGCGCAAGGCGTCGCCGAGCAGGTTGCACGACTCCGCAAACCCGTCCCCCGTCACAAAGGCCACGATGGCCGACAGCACCTCCTTCCACGGCACGTCCGCTTGGATCAGCGTGCGGAAGTCGCCGGATGCGATCGCTCCAGCAAAGAGCACGTGGCGCTTCTTCGGGTTGTTGGCGGCGATGTACTCGACGTAGCGCTGGTGCACCTTGCGGATCAACTCCCCGCCGCTGAGAAACGCAAGGGCGAAGGCGTCGTCGAAGCAGTGCTCGTCCATGCACAGGTCGACCGCCTCGTCGATCTTGCCGCTCGCCACCAGCTCCGAGCTGCGGTCCTCGTAGCTCTTTTGGTTCTCGTGCGAGATGGCCGCGAAGGGGTCGTCCTCGTCGTCAGCGCCGCGGCTGTAGCCCCCGGTCGCTGCGCCGGCCGCCGCCTTCGCCGCGTCCGGGTCGGCGTTCAGAAAGTCCAGGATGGGCTGGCGGGAGTTTTGCGCGCTTGCAAAGGCGGCCAGGAGTTCGTGGTGGGTGTCGCGCAGCCACTGCGTCCGCTCCGGCGACCCAATCGGGAATTTCGCCAGGTGCTTCATCATCTGCTGATCCTCCGACGTCTGGGGGCTCATGGGGACGTTGTGCAGGTTGTCGAGCGCCAAGTCGTGATTGGTGCCGGGGACGAGCGAGGCCACGGTGAGTGACATGTTCACCGAGGCACAACACGGCTTCATGAGCCACTTCGGGACCGCCCCAAGCCGGTCGCCGCCGGTGCTGGCCACGTCCTGCGCCGTGGAAACACACAGCAGCGGATCAAACGACGAGGTGGCGAGCACCGCCGGCAGGGCCGGACACCACTGCACATCCACCAAGTACTGTTCCACCGGCTGCAGCTCCCCCAGCTTCTCACCCGTGTTCGGGTCCCACCACATGGTGCGGCCATCCCCGCCGCACGACGCCACCATCGACGCCTCCTGCTCACACCAGGCAAGCCCCGTGATGCCGGCGGTGTGGGCGACCATCTCGCGCAGCGGCACGACCCCGGTGCGGAGGTCCCACAGCTGCAAAACCGGGTGGGCGTCATCCAGCCCCACGACGAGCTGCGTCGCCGCGGTGGGGTTCCACGCGATCGCCGTGATCTGCGCCCCGTGCGACGCCTTCGACACGTTCAGCGCGGTCACCCGCGTCGCCATCTTCAAGTTCCACACGTTCACCACCCCGCTCACGGTCGCCGTCGCGAAGATGTGGGCGTACTTCGGGTGCCACTGCAGGTGCACAATGGCGCCGCTGTTTGGCACGTTCGCGATGACGGAGATCTTGGTCGGAGGGCAGATGCCGCCGGTCGCGCCGTCCTGCAGGGTCCAGACCTGCCACACCCCGTCATCGGCCCCGGTGGCGAAGAAGTGCGGCTTGGAGGGGTTGAAGTGGAAGCCGCGGACGGCGTGGCCCGCGTGCTCCTTCACTGTCCAGAGCAGCCCGCGCGGCCGCCCACCTGCCTCCTCGCACCCGCCACTCGCACCCTCGGCGAGGACGTCCTTCGCGGAGAAGACGTACACGCAGCCGTTGCCGCACGCGACGCCGATGATGCCTTGGTCGCCCGTGTAGGGGGACCAGTCGACGCGGTAGGCCCGGTCCGGCAGCCGCACCCGGCCCACCACCGGCAGCTCCGTCTCATCCGTCACCTTCACGTCGACGAGGCGGATCTCCAGGAAGGCGGCGTTGCTGAAGTTCTCGTCCATCGCGCCGCTGTAGGAGGCGGTGGCGAGGAGGGGCGGGTGGCCGAGCACCGCCGGCGACCACGCGAAGGCGCAGCATAACTCGGTGCTCTTCAGCCGCATGCTTTAACTCGTCTTCTTTGTGTTGGTGTTGGTGTTGGTGTTGGTGTGTGCGTGCGTGGATCGACAATGTTGAATGCACCTGTCTTAGCGCAAGTCGGCAGCAAACACACGGAAGAAAACGATGCTGGATGGATAAGAAAACAAGACGCACTCTTGCACGCGGTTGGGTCGAGACGCGAAGGCCGCCACCTACAATCCGAGATGCAAAGGATTTAAACAAATAGAGTGGAGAAGCCCAGCAACCTACTTTCTATTATTTCGATCGCCTCCACAACGACAACAGGCGGAAACAAAGAGCTATGAAAAAACAAGAATTACGTAGGAGTCGACACTACTACGACTGCGGAGGGACAGAAGAGAAGAGGCCGCAGGCGGAGAAGAAAGGTGGGCAACAGATCGAGCATAACGTCGAAACCGTAGAAACCGTAACAGTAATAGTGATGATAACACAGAACGGCATCGCCGTGCGGATGTGTTGAGCGACGGCACGCACAGACACATTCTTGCCATCGGCTTGAAAGGCAAGCGGCCACGACAAGGAGCATTTCAACGCCGCTTCAAGCACCGATGAAGTTCTCCCAGACAGTCCGCTCCCACAGGCGAAAGAGAGCGCGTGCCCTCTTCTAATGCCCCTATGATGCTCCACGCGCACCCGCAACACCTTTCAGGGGGTTCTGAGCGCATCTCACCGCATCGCCGCCTGTGGAAAGAGACTGTGGGGAGATAAACGTGGTTTTGATTTCATTTGTTTGTTTGACAAGCAACTCGCCCCTCCTCACCACCGAGTTACTGCACGAGGTGCAGGCGTCGGACACCAAGAAGGGAGCGCGCAAAAAGGAGAAAGAAAAACGAACAGGGAGGGACGCACACCAACGGTCGAGCATCGCACCTCACGCCACGCAGCCGTCACGGCAGGCGGGCGCCTCAGTGCTTCGGGCGGACGGCCTTGCGCGAGAACTTGATCTTCTCGGAGCGGGCCTTGCGCGCGGCGGCAACCTTCGACGTGCGGCTCGCGATGCGGGCAACGCGGCGCGCGCGGCGGAACGCAACGTTCGCCAGGTCCGGACGCACGGCGGCAACGGCCTTGCTCACGGCAGACGCCTTCACGCCGGCAGCCTGCACAGACTTCTTGAACATCTGCTTCGGCTTGTTGTTGCTGCTGCCGTCCTTCACCGTCACGCAGATCGCGCCGCCCTTCGCCGGCTTCACCACAGCGGCCTTGTCGTTCACGAACCCCGACTGGCGCTTCGTCCAGTTGCCGTTGTTGTTGAACGGGTCGTTGCTCAGGCGGATGCCGCCGCGCTTCTGCAGGAAGCGGCTGTTCTGGCGGACCAGCATCCACTGGAGATCGGCAGAGTGCACCATTTTCGATGTTGCGTGCTGGAGATGGGAGGGAGGATACGCAGAGTGAAACGCGCGCATCGCATTGCGTTGATGCGCAACGAGAACGATGCGATAAAACAAGTGGAGTAGCATTACGTTTTTTTTTGTTTGTTTTAAAGAAAGATAGGAAGAGTTGCGTCGAGAGAGAGAGAGCAATTAAAAAAGTAAGCGGTGGTTCCCTTCAACAGCCAAAAAAAAAGGGGAGCACGCACACACGCACGCCAGCATTGGTGTGTGCTTTCCTCGCTCCCCAACGTGGAATGTCTTTCTTTTGCGTTATCTCATCTCTCTTCTATTCAGCATTTGAAAAAAAACTGAGACGGAGATATTGGTTACCGCTGATCACGTCTCCAGACAAAATAGCGTGTCTTGCCGCTGCAGCCGTTCCTCATCGGAACTGTTACAGAGAATTACTCTTTGTATTGTTTTGTGGCCCTCTGTCGTGGGGAAACGATCTTAATCGGCTTTCTTTCGACTGCACGGTCGATGGCCATTTGCTTCGCCTGCTTCTTTTCTCCACCATCGCAATTTGCCACCCACGCCGTGCGTGCTCCTCTGTGATCGCCGCAGAAGAAAAGAAAGAGAGGGAAAAACAACCTCGTTGTGCGTCTGTCTATACGTATGTGTTCTATGATCAACTTGCCCAACACACACACACACTCTCTCCCCATCCCTTCACACTGGAATGGAATAGTCGCTACAACGCAGCAGCACCATTTCGGCATCCTCGACATCACGCACGACCGCGTCGAGCGGGTCTGCCGTGTCATCGCACCACATCTGCGGATACGGCAGCAGCGGACCGTCCAGTGCGCCGTCCTCACCCACATGGACGGCAGCAAATACGCGGCCATCGCTGTCGTGCAGTGTCCCACCACCGGCGCTCGCTGCGCTTTCCAGATGAAGTGTGTCCGTTGCTGCCTTCCACTCCTCCTCTAATCGAACCGTCTTCAGCGGCGCGGTGCCTTCGGGCTCAGAGGCAGCCACAGCAACCGCAGCAGCGGTAAGAACAACTGAAGAGGTCGGATTATCGTCATGGATGCGCATTCCATTAAAAAAATGGTGTGGCGCCTCCACTGGAGACTGCGGCGGCGTGAAGGCAAGACCCTCCACTACACCCGCAGCTGGTTCTGGCCAGGGCGGCGTCCCGCACGCTTTATCGGATGTTGCCGGCGGCGCGGCCTGCGCAGGTGCATCGGCTTCATCGCCACGGCAGTTCGCCTTTCGCGCCGGATGCTCGCAGTTCGCATGGTGTCCTTGCGGTGGCGTTGGTGTGTCCGAGTGGGGCTGCTGCGTGTGTTGCGTCTCTCGCAGGAAGCACGCGACCAGTCCGCTGAGTGTCGAGCTCTCCGAAACGGTGCCCCAAAACTTCGTGCACAGCCACAGCGCCGTGAAGGCGAGCAGCGCCTGACTAAAGGAGCTGAGATGACGAAAAACAGGCGTTGAAACGCACGACGTGCGATCATGCACGTCTTCGCCGCTCGGCCCCAGTGCCATCAATTCTTGTTGTAATAGCTGGCAGAAGGTCACCGCTGACTTCTCTGCGGAGGGGCGCGCGTGCAGTGCGTCGGGGTCCACCTGCCGTAAGAAGCAGACTTCCGACGAGGGCTTTCGTGGGCACTGCGACGCTGACGTACACGGCAGCTGATGTGAGGCGAGAGACGGCGACGGCGCAGGGGACCCTCTTTCTGCCTCCGCGGCGGGCGTCGTAGAGCTACTCGTCACGCCCACGGCCGGCTGCAGCGCCTTTTCCTCCACACCGAGCAGCAGCCGGTCCGCGGAACGAACAGCGTTGTCCTGCACGGCGGTGAACAGAGCCCACGTGTGGAGGTCGAAGCTGTGCAGTGCGCCGACGTACGCGGTGACAAACTCCGACATGACAGAGCTGCGAACGCCGGCACTGCCGTCTCCGTTCGCACCGATTAACGTCGCGAGGGACCGCGGAGGCGTCCGGATTCACTTCTCTCTCTCCCTCTCTGCTTTTTCTGTATTATTGAAGGTTTGCTTTGCACGGAATTGAGTAAGCAACGAGAAACCCCCCGCGATCGAACAAACGGGTACGAATGGTCCAACCCAACACGGAACACTGTGCGAGCAACAGAAGAGCTTTTGTTGGGGAAAGAAACGAAAGCGCCAGCTGGAGGAGAGAGAAAGGACACAAAAAACCCGCCGTGAACGCGTCTTCCCGTTCTCCCTTCTATGGTGGGTTGTTTGCGTACTTAGACCTGCAAAGGCGGTCTTGATTGAATAGACGTGCTGCTTTCTCCTTTTGGTGGGCCGACCTCTTCTTTCTTTTCTCTCTTGGGGCAGCGCAGCGGTGGTGAGGAGAGAAGACCGCAAATGTTGAAGATGTGCTCTTGATGTGGGCGATTTCACATCGCAAAAAAACGCCGGTTACTTAAAGAAATAGTTTTTAAAAAAAGAAGGACAGCGATGCGAAGGCGAGAGAGGAGGGGAGACGAGAGGCGAGACGTGATGTAATGCAGCGGCGCAGACAAGGGAAAGCGGCGGCATGGCTGATGTAACCCACGCACAAACAAAAAGGCTGATCCTTTCTCGCACACGTATACCCACACAATCATTCCTCTTCTGTATGAGTCAGAAAAAAACAAAGCTTCGTCTAGGCAGCTTCATGATGTCTTGGCAGCCAAGCGTACGTGCAGCGAAATCCTCCATTGTCGAGCGCACCGCAACAACAGAAGTACCCGGCTTGACTGAACTGCACAGTCCTCAAAACCTTTTCGTCGTGAGCGTTTTTTAAGTGTGTGTTTTTGTTTGTTTGGCAAGCAACTCGCCCCTCCTCACCACCGAGTTACTGCACGAGGTGCAGGCGTCGGACACCAAGAAGGGAGCGCGCAAAAAGGAGAAAGAAAAACGAACAGGGAGGGACGCACACCAACGGTCGAGCATCGCACCTCACGCCACGCAGCCGTCACGGCAGGCGGGCGCCTCAGTGCTTCGGGCGGACGGCCTTGCGCGAGAACTTGATCTTCTCGGAGCGGGCCTTGCGCGCGGCGGCAACCTTCGACGTGCGGCTCGCGATGCGGGCAACGCGGCGCGCGCGGCGGAACGCAACGTTCGCCAGGTCCGGACGCACGGCGGCAACGGCCTTGCTCACGGCAGACGCCTTCACGCCGGCAGCCTGCACAGACTTCTTGAACATCTGCTTCGGCTTGTTGTTGCTGCTGCCGTCCTTCACCGTCACGCAGATCGCGCCGCCCTTCGCCGGCTTCACCACAGCGGCCTTGTCGTTCACGAACCCCGACTGGCGCTTCGTCCAGTTGCCGTTGTTGTTGAACGGGTCGTTGCTCAGGCGGATGCCGCCGCGCTTCTGCAGGAAGCGGCTGTTCTGGCGGACCAGCATCCACTGGAGATCGGCAGAGTGCACCATTTTCGATGTTGCGTGCTGGAGATGGGAGGGAGGATACGCAGAGTGAAACGCGCGCATGTATTGCGTTGATGCGCAACGAGAACGATAAGACGGTAATGAGGGCAGAGAAGAGATGGTGACACCAGAACCGGCGCATCAACGCCACGAAGAAAGCATCGAGCACAGCCGTTTTATTTTCCTCTTCTCCGGTGGTACGATTCAAGCGCTGCCGCAGCACCACAGAGTGCAGCTGGAGAAACCAAGCCTTACATACAGCAGAATAAGGCCGGAAATCAAGATGCTATGGTAGCCTCAATTTCTCTTTCCCTTTTTGAAAAGAAGATCAGGCGTATCCAGAGGCTGCCGTTTAAGACGATGCGTATCGGGCACGGTCAACTCTGTACAAACGAGCACCGTTTCGCCTGCAGGAGCTCCGCAACTTGTCGTCGTCAAACAAGAGAAAAGTAGAAGTCGAGTGTGGGGCTCTCGGATCATTTTTGAGCAGCCGTCATCCTTCGCAGTCTTGGCGGCTTCATGACTTCCTTCCCTCCCCCCTCACGCTGCCACGCACCGCCGCATCGGTTCCTTCCCACCCTTTTTTTTTTAGTGGCTCACGTTTACCGACGACTGCTTTCTTTTCTTTTTTTCGATTCTCTCGTTTCCTTTTGAATTCCTGACAGCCCTCCCATATTTACGGCTGTTGGAGTTGCACCAAATAGAGATGAGAAAAAAACAAACACGTGATAAAATACGAAAGAGAACATAAACAATAATATAGTTATATAAGAGAGACGCAAAAAAAAAAAAAGCGAAAAACAAAAATCTGTCCAATACCCGACACATCCCGTTTCCTTTTCGATTGATAAGGCCAAGTGAGAGAAACATCAAGGAAAAAAAGAGAAACAAGGGCGTTAACGCACATCAACGGGTTCGACCGTCTATGATGAGGATGCACGTCTCTCCTTTTCCTATTCTCACACAGTCCCCTCCGCGTGAGGCGGTGTTATGTGGGAGGACGCTCTTTTTGCTTTTCCTTTTGTGTGTGTGTGTTTTTCACAGACACTTTTCTTTGCTCGGTTATTTGTCTGTTTGTTCGTTTGCTTTTTCATCTTAAGTAATTACATTTTTGATTTTGGATAAGGTTTATTTCCGACATTGTTGCGCTTGTTGTTTTCGCGGTAAATGGGAGAGAGAAGCAAGGAAGGGGCAACGGCTGCACAGACACACACACACACGTGTGAACATGTGCGTATCGTCACTGCTCGTGCCAACAAAACTATTTTTTTTTCCAGGCTAAAAGAAGAAAAGGCGGGTATGCAAAACAAAAACCTTAGCGGCGTTAAAGGACCCGGGAAATGTCCATTCACCGCCTCTCCGAAAGCAACGGCAGTAACAACAATAAAACAAAAGAAAGCAAAGCCGTGGCATTCCTATTGCATTTGCTGCTTCACCTCCTTCTCGTTCATCTCCGTTGTGTCCTGCAACGCGAGCAGCACAGCCGTCTTTTTCCTTCCTCGCACACACCTGCATCCGCTACCCACAACAAAAACACAGTTTTTTCATTCTCTATTTATCCGCAAGTATCAAACTCTTATCCCCTGAGGTGTGTGCGTGCGCGTCTTTGCGTGGATTCAACCTTGAAACGAAGTATATATCAATATATATATATATCATTTCTTTTCTCTTATCGGTTGACGCATTGACGCACACGCAGAAATAATAATAATAAAGGCAGAGAATTAATAGAAAGCGAGAGAGAGAGAAGTATGCGGACATCTTTTCCCGTGATAGTCAGTTTCCCGTGTTATGGAATCAAAAACCAAAATGGAAGTACGTTGGCCGCTTTACCATAAACACACAGACACATACACGAGTGCTTCTTTTAAAAGAATAGACTCTTTTTTTTCCTTTTCAGTACTTACATAATCGTTTCCCCAGTGTGCCTCCCGCAGCACCATCTTTCCTGTGCAATTCTGTGTATATTGCTGCCCATTTTTTCTTCTCTGGAAGGTCTTCCGTCGCTGAGCGATGCCGTCGATGGTTCATTCGTTTCGCAACACAAAGCACCACCAACAAAAGGTGTTTCAAGCCGCGGCAGAGAAAAAAAACAGAACCAAAGGGGGGAAAAATGATGCGGAGCACCGGCTCAACAAACCGCACACACACACACGGACAGAGCACAGCCAACGAGCTGGCGAACGCTAAGAGGACCACTGGTCCGCAGCGGAGAACACAAAGTGAATGGAGAGCCCGCAAAGTGCGCGGCATGACGTCCCACGCTGACAATCCCACGCGGTGCACGTGCGCCGCCCTCTTCGGGAGCCACTCTCGAAGCTTTGAATCAGTGATACGACTGTGTCGGCGCAGAGCACGACCGGTGAGTTCGAAAACATACGTATGGCGGGTTCCTTTTGGGGCCCTTGCCATCTCTTTGCCTTTCAGAGCCTGCAGGCGTCGCCGCCCGCTTCCATTTTACCTTTTTGCATCGCTCCTTTCCCCTTACGCCGCCACCTTCTTCTTGCGGATGTACTTCACGCGGCACTGGTCCGCCGTGGGACCCACCACCATGGTGTGGTAGTTCGGCTCCGGCAGCGGCCCCAGCAGCTCGAAGTCGTAGTCGCGGAACACCGTCGCCAGCACCGTCTTCACCTGCAGCAGGCCGAACTTCTCGCCGATGCACTTGTGCACGCCGCCGCCGAAGCCGCAGAAGGCGCCGTCGATCAGCTTCATGTTGCGCTCCGGGTTCCACTCGCGCGGGTTCGGGAAGGCCTCCTCGTCCTGGTGCGACAGCAGCGGGGAGCAGGCGATGATGTCGCCCACCGGCACCACGTAGTTGCCCACCTGCACCGGCTTCATCACCTTGCGCATCAGCATCATCAGCGGCGCGTCACGGCGGATCGACTCGCGGGCGCACTTCTCCGCGAACGGCATCTCCTCCATCACGTTGTCGTAGCTCAGCTGCGCAGGGAACTCGTCGATCTCCTCGTGCAGCTTCGCGAGGTACTTCTTGTTCTGCGGGTTCATCAGGTGCAGCATCGACCACGTCGTCGTGATGGTCGACGTGTGCTGGCCGGCGAACATCGCCGCCACGATCATGCCGCACACCTCGTGCTGCGACATGCGGGTGCCGTCGCGGTACACCGCGCCGAGGAGGCCGGCGAGCAGGTCGGACGTGTTGCTGTCCTTCTGCGCCTCCTCCTTCTCGCGCGCGATGATGATCTCGCTCAGGATGGCCTGCAGCTCCGCGCGGGCGTCGCGGCAGCGGTACGACTGCGGCAGCGGCAGCTTCAGGATCCACGGCAGGAAGACCGCGGCGGGGATCAGGCAGCCCTCCATCTTCGCCAGCAGCTGCGCGAACTGGCGCGCGTTCAGGCGGCGGCGCAGATCCTCGCCGAAGAGGCACTGGCAGGCGGTGTTGATGATCATCGCGCTGCAGTCCTCCAGGATGTTGATCTCGCCCTCGTCCTTGTTCCAGTTCGCCTCCATGAACTTGCGCACCTCGTGCTGGATCGCAGGCGCGAAGTTCTGGAACTTCGCAACCGTCAGCTCCTCCGCCAGGAAGTTGATCTGCTCACGCATGCGCGGGTACGGCGCGGCGTAGGCAACGCCCTCGCCAAACACAGGCACCATGAAGCTGTACACCTCGCGCGGCGACAGGATCTCGTTGCGGGGGGCGAAGAACTTGCTGTGCTGGCGCACGTCGCCGACGATGGTGATGCGGTTGCCGCAGATGTTCATGGTGAAGACGCCGCCGTACTTCTTCTTCGCGTTCAGCATGAAGTTGAGCGGGTCCTTGCCGAAGGCGACGATGTGGCCCACGAACGGGGTGTAGCACGGCACCACCGGCGGGTCCGTCGAGCGGGTCGTGTTGAAGGACTTGCAGAAGTACCAGCCGTACAGCGCGAGGCCGGCGAGCAGGGCAAGCAGGATTTCTCCGATCATCTTGGCGGTCTGTGAGTCGGGGTATGAGGAGAGAGGAGAGGTCGGGTGCGAAACGCGAGGAAACAGAAGTCAAAAAAAGAGTTTAATAATAAAAAAAGCAGGGCTGAAGAACACAACGCTGGAGAGTCCCTTCGTTCGAAAGAGCTTTACTTTATGATGCGTCGAAAGGGAGATGGAAGACTTAACAGAAACTAATAAGTTGTAATGGGTTTCGCTGAAACAAAAGAAAAAAGGGAGGCTATGATAAAGAAGATATGAGTGAACTGATCGAAGAACGATGAGAACTGCGTGGCGCACAACACGTGAGGGGGTGAAAGGGCCGTGCGGTGTCGTCGTGGCAGAGGACAAGGTGGGGAGGAAAGGGAAAACAGAGTGGGAGCCATGAGGAGTTCACATTGGGCAGGCAGGTCTCACACAGCGTGAGCAGGACGTGCAGCAGCGCACCTCTGCGCACATCTTCCTCCTCCTTTCAAAACCGCAGACACACACACACGGACAGAGCACAGCCAACGAGCTGGCGAACGCTAAGAGGACCACTGGTCCGCAGCGGAGAACACAAAGTGAATGGAGAGCCCGCAAAGTGCGCGGCATGACGTCCCACGCTGACAATCCCACGCGGTGCACGTGCGCCGCCCTCTTCGGGAGCCACTCTCGAAGCTTTGAATCAGTGATACGACTGTGTCGGCGCAGAGCACGACCGGTGAGTTCGAAAACATACGTATGGCGGGTTCCTTTTGGGGCCCTTGCCATCTCTTTGCCTTTCAGAGCCTGCAGGCGTCGCCGCCCGCTTCCATTTTACCTTTTTGCATCGCTCCTTTCCCCTTACGCCGCCACCTTCTTCTTGCGGATGTACTTCACGCGGCACTGGTCCGCCGTGGGACCCACCACCATGGTGTGGTAGTTCGGCTCCGGCAGCGGCCCCAGCAGCTCGAAGTCGTAGTCGCGGAACACCGTCGCCAGCACCGTCTTCACCTGCAGCAGGCCGAACTTCTCGCCGATGCACTTGTGCACGCCGCCGCCGAAGCCGCAGAAGGCGCCGTCGATCAGCTTCATGTTGCGCTCCGGGTTCCACTCGCGCGGGTTCGGGAAGGCCTCCTCGTCCTGGTGCGACAGCAGCGGGGAGCAGGCGATGATGTCGCCCACCGGCACCACGTAGTTGCCCACCTGCACCGGCTTCATCACCTTGCGCATCAGCATCATCAGCGGCGCGTCACGGCGGATCGACTCGCGGGCGCACTTCTCCGCGAACGGCATCTCCTCCATCACGTTGTCGTAGCTCAGCTGCGCAGGGAACTCGTCGATCTCCTCGTGCAGCTTCGCGAGGTACTTCTTGTTCTGCGGGTTCATCAGGTGCAGCATCGACCACGTCGTCGTGATGGTCGACGTGTGCTGGCCGGCGAACATCGCCGCCACGATCATGCCGCACACCTCGTGCTGCGACATGCGGGTGCCGTCGCGGTACACCGCGCCGAGGAGGCCGGCGAGCAGGTCGGACGTGTTGCTGTCCTTCTGCGCCTCCTCCTTCTCGCGCGCGATGATGATCTCGCTCAGGATGGCCTGCAGCTCCGCGCGGGCGTCGCGGCAGCGGTACGACTGCGGCAGCGGCAGCTTCAGGATCCACGGCAGGAAGACCGCGGCGGGGATCAGGCAGCCCTCCATCTTCGCCAGCAGCTGCGCGAACTGGCGCGCGTTCAGGCGGCGGCGCAGATCCTCGCCGAAGAGGCACTGGCAGGCGGTGTTGATGATCATCGCGCTGCAGTCCTCCAGGATGTTGATCTCGCCCTCGTCCTTGTTCCAGTTCGCCTCCATGAACTTGCGCACCTCGTGCTGGATCGCAGGCGCGAAGTTCTGGAACTTCGCAACCGTCAGCTCCTCCGCCAGGAAGTTGATCTGCTCACGCATGCGCGGGTACGGCGCGGCGTAGGCAACGCCCTCGCCAAACACAGGCACCATGAAGCTGTACACCTCGCGCGGCGACAGGATCTCGTTGCGGGGGGCGAAGAACTTGCTGTGCTGGCGCACGTCGCCGACGATGGTGATGCGGTTGCCGCAGATGTTCATGGTGAAGACGCCGCCGTACTTCTTCTTCGCGTTCAGCATGAAGTTGAGCGGGTCCTTGCCGAAGGCGACGATGTGGCCCACGAACGGGGTGTAGCACGGCACCACCGGCGGGTCCGTCGAGCGGGTCGTGTTGAAGGACTTGCAGAAGTACCAGCCGTACAGCGCGAGGCCGGCGAGCAGGGCAAGCAGGATTTCTCCGATCATCTTGGCGGTCTGTGAGTCGGGGTATGAGGAGAGAGGAGAGGTCGGGTGCGAAACGCGAGGAAACAGAAGTCAAAAAAAGAGTTTAATGAAAAATAGAGAAATCTTTATGAAAGCAAAAAGAGAGGTTTTTGATTCTTCTTTCGAAAAAGAAGTTTGACGAAGGCAAATAAGAAAAAAGACTTAACAGAAACTAATAAGTTGTTATGGGCTTTGCTGAAACAAAAGAAAAAAGGGAGGCTATGATAAAGAAGATATGAGTGAACTGATCGAAGAACGATGAGAACTGCGTGGCGCACAACACGTGAGGGGGTGAAAGGGCCGTGCGGTGTCGTCGTGGCAGAGGACAAGGTGGGGAGGAAAGGGAAAACAGAGTGGGAGCCATGAGGAGTTCACATTGGGCAGGCAGGTCTCACACAGCGTGAGCAGGACGTGCAGCAGCGCACCTCTGCGCACATCTTCCTCCTCCCTTTTAAGGAAATAAGCATAAAGACCTTCACACTCGGTCGAGGGACGTGCAAGCAGAATCCCTTCAGCATTACACTCCGTCTCCCTTCGATGAAGGCACAAAAGGGAAAGGCAGGTGATCCCTGTAACACGGCCCGCGGAGGGCAGACGCGGTGGTGAACTTGCACCTTTTCTGATTGGTCGCTTTCCTTCGTCCCAGCTTACGCTTCGGACCGCCCACGAGGGCGTTTCTCAGGACACAACTGTGCCGCACAACAGTGCGACAGCGGTCCTCTGCACTCCGCAGCACACACACACACACACACACACAAGGTCCTACAGGAATGAAGAGCTGCTCGACGAGACTATTCACATGAGCTATGACTCCCCCACTCTCCCTCCCCGCCACCTCCTCCTCTCTTGCGTGGCGTCGACAACACGTGAGATACGAAAAAAAAAAAACTCAACGACAGCGGAGCGCACGAGGCGCCAAACACATTTAACAATCAAACCCTTTTTTGTTTGGTTTCCGCTCAAGTGCGCGACTAGGACATACATGCAACGTGAATGAACATTGGAAAAAAAAAAGAAGAAAGGACAACTGGGCGTTTTTGTTGATGTTGTTGTTGACGTTTCCACATACGTAAGACAACACAATACAATACAATACAATATAGTATAATATAATAATAAAGGTAAGCACAAGAGTCGTAAGAGAGAAGTGGGTGCAAGTAAGGAGAAGGGGGAAAAGAAAGGTAGAAACCATTATAAAATGATGAGATGGAGAGAGAAGAGAAAGGGTAGGGCCTTGAATAAAACCCCTCTCTGTGCTGCATGTGCACATGAGTTGAAAACAAGCCTCGCTTGGCAGAAAAGGAGTTCACAAAAGAAGCCGAAAAAGGAGGAGGAGAGGCGGCGTGCCGGCAGCTGCCAACAAAGAAATCTGTATGAACACGTATGTGTGGGTATGTGAGGGGGCGTTACGTGAACACGTACCGCGCACCCATCGCAGCATCAACGCGGTAGAAAGGAGGATTCACGAGGGTCTTTACTTTGGAGAGAGAGGGAGGAGTAGCGCATCGCGGAGAATCAATTATAGGATGCAGAAGAAACAGAAGAGACCCGAAATCAAATAAAATGAACAAATAGATAATGATAATGATATTAGTAACCAAATATTTAAAATTAGAAAAAAAAAACGTTTTCTTTATAGTACACAATAGCACACATATCACCTGCGGGAAAGTACCCAAATACAAGACAAATCGTACTCACTACGACATTACCACAAAAACAATAATAATAATAATAATAAAGGATCCCGAAACGGGTGTTTATTGCTTTGCAATGATCAGCTCGGTTCTGTTCACATGGTAGTTCATCACTGCAGGCGCCGATTGCGCTAACAGCGTCTGAAATGCACCCACATAACAACGCCAGAGAAAAAAAAGAACATCAGGGGGCGAGCTTTAGGAGTCGTACTGTTTTTTTTTTTTAATATATATTCTGCTACCAACGCCTACCAGTAACAGCAGGAACTCCGCGCCGGTTTCTTTGCCGTGTCGTCCAGCGCCAAGTCCAGGGTAGCACTCTTCTCGCGCAGCGCGAGCAGGCGCTGATACGTTGTCATGCCCAGCACGCAGCGCAGGAAAATGTGGTAGGCCACCAGGTTCACAACGCCAACAAATCCAAGCACCACCGCTGCGCACATGACGATAGCCCCCACGCGAAAGTACGCGTTGTGGTGCGCCGCCAGCACGTCCCACCAACGGACGAGAAAGCAAATGCCGCTCGCCATCTCCCACACGGTGCCGAACAGGCACCCGCCGATGAAGCACAGGAAGGCCCGGTAGTTCTTGCCGCCCACGCAACTGTTCAGCCACTTGCAGTGGTGGTCGAAGTCACTCACGCACTTGTTGCACGCCTTGCAGTGCTTCGAGGTGGCGTGCGTCAGCCGTCGGCAGAAGGTGCAGAGCTCACCGGCGTCGTCGGAGTCCCTCGCGTCGCGGAAGGACACGATGAAGAAAGCGGTGTAGGTGAACACCATGTCGAGCACGTACACCACCGAGAACAGAATGAGCTCTACCAGGCAATCCTTCTTGTCCTGCGTATACAGAAGAACGTAGCCCACAAAGACGGTTGAGAAGAACAAAGCAATCAACAACACTTCATAGACGAGGGCGCCGATCTGGAGTGAGTCGAGCGGCCGTTCAAAGGCGTGCCGCCGCGGCTGCGCGCGCTTCCACAAGTTGGGGTCGTGTTTCTGATCCACGCAACACGAGGCGCACGGTTCCATAGTGCGCGGCAGCCGCGCATCCACCATCGGTGTGGCCATCGCTGCGGCGATCACCGCGGCAGAACGTTGCTGCAAGTCCCTCTGCGCGGCCAGCTCCGCCGCGCCATCCTTGTGCGGTGAGACCGGATCGGGCTGGACAGTGGTTGCGCTGGCGTTGTCCGTGATACTCTTCTTCTCCGCTACCTCGTCAGACTCGTAGAGGGAAGGAAGCTTGTTGCCCTCCTTCCCCGCGTCGTTGTGCGGTGACTCCCCCAGCACCTCCGACGTCGTCCCGTCTTCCTCCGCCTCCTTCGGCCTCTTCGTCTTTGCACACGGTAAGTCCTCGGGTGAGTGGTAGTGATGGGGCGCCGCGGCGAGTGGGTTGCGGACGGACATCGAGCTCTCCGCTACATCGCTGCTCTGCTTGTGAGGAGCGGGGGTGGCCACCTCAGCCGGTGGAGTTGAACTTGTCGAACTCATGCGTGTTCGGGATGCAGAGAAGCAGAAAACGAACTTAAAAAAATCGTGGATACGGATAGCTTTAAAAAAAAAGTGGACCTCGAAACGGTGAAATCAAAGCGAATGCTGTATTTCTTTGTTAAACTCTGTGAAGTGGAGAAGCGACTTTACAGCAACTTCTGTCTCACCTGTGTTTCCCTGCTGCTATCGAAAGAGAGACGGAGAAAGCGAAGAAGTGAATGAAGACACACATGGAAAAAAGGAAAAAGCAGCATAGAGAGCCGAGAAAGGAGGGCATTGTGGTTCTATTCCTCTGCTTGTGTGTGTGGGTGAGGCGGCCGAAAGCCGACTTGCGCAGGCGGCGCAGTCCCCGCTGCCGAGCTCGACGGAAAAGCGCCAGCGAGAAGCGTAGCTCCTCCACTCGTTTCCCTTGTGTGTATGTGTATGTGTGTAGACGTTGCTTTGGCAATTCAAATTCAACCTACGTCGTTATTTTCATTAAAAAAAAAAATACATTGCGCGTGTCTGCGCTGACCACACACGCACCACATACACCTTGTCAGGCATGAGAAGGTGGTGGAGCGCCGTCTGAGGGATAAAGGAGCGACGCACGAAGCCCGCTTTTTGCAAGGGCAAAAGAGGCGAAAATAAAAAAGCAGAGGAGAACCGAAACGGAAACGAAAGTTTCTTTGCACATGACCAATCTCAACTGTAAAGGAAAGAAAAAGAGCACAACGCACCCAAGTTGGCGGAAGTAAGGGACAAAGCACAGAAGCAGAAGACACCACCCTACGCGTTGTGGGTGCTCTGCGCAGAAATGAAAAAAAAAGAAGAAAAAATAGGCAAGAATAGAGATCACACGTGCCGAAAGGGAGAAGAGAACAGCTGCTGTTTTTGATTCGTTGATTCCCCCGATTCACGTGAGGATGCATAAGAATGGGCGGTGAGGCGCGATCCGCAGAGCATCAGGAGAAGGAAAAGGGAAAAAAAAAAACATCCGATCGCATGCAGCGAAGAGGTATTTAAAAATGCAGGAGCATGAAAACTAAAAGAAAATAGAAAAAATATATAAAGGCACATGGGAAGAACAACAAGTAACATAAAATAGAGGTGTAAAAAAAAAGAGTAACTGACGCCTTACAACTTAGCTCCTCGACAATAGGGAGAGAAGAAACAATGTCCCTCACAATATACATCAACTCGCCTTTATCAGCTTATAAAAAACGTTTTTTATTCTTGATAAATATATACATATATCCAATAATCGATACAGCAATACATAACTTGATCAACAAACTTTATGAAGTGGGTAGTCCCGCCGTGTGCTGCCCCGTTGGGTGGGCAGGGGTGTTCAGGGCTGGGCGGGTGTGAAGAAGAGAAAGAAATAGAACGCCGAAAGCTGGATACTAAACGCAATGACGACAATCATTAGGGAGCGAACCAAAGAAAAGAGGATAGAAGGAGAGGAGTGGATGATTCCCAGGCTAGGTCATTCCATTCGCGAGCTCCAGTCAGAAAACAAACAAAAAAAAAGAACGCGCATACACACGCTCACACTCACACACACCAGCAGCGGCAGCGTTGTCTTTCCTTCCCACCCTGTCCGCCTCCCCTCGCCATCTCCTCCTTCGTCGGAAGAACAATCGTGGTGCTGTCACTACGCTGCAGGTACTCGTACGTCGTCTGTCGCGTCCAGCAAAGGTACACGTGAAAGGTCCACAGCAGAGAGATCCGCACACAGCCAAGGAGGGCAATCACACAGACGATAATCGCCCCTACCCGAAAAAACGCGCTGTGACGACTCAGCGCGGTCCACCACCGTGCCAACATGCACAGACACGAAACCAAAGCCCACAAGCTGCCGCCGACGGCGCACGAGACAAACGAAAAGAAGTAGCGGTAGTTACCACCGCCCACGCACGTGTTCAACCACTTGCAGTGATGATCAAACTGGCGCACGCATGTGTTGCACGCCTTGCAGTGCTTCGAGCCGGTGTGACACCGGATCTGGCAGTCGGCGCAGCGACCACCACCACCTCCGTGATCGTTAATATCAGCAAAGACCGCCAGAAAAAAGAACACGTACAAGCCGATAACCACCACGGTGAACACAATAGGGAAGAGCAGCAGCTCCACCAAGCAGTCTTCCTTATCTTTGGTGTAGAGCAAAACGTAGCCGCCCAGTACGGAGGCGTAGGTCAGCGCGATAACCACAATTTCGTAGATTAAAGCGGCGATGAAGTAGCCGTTAAAAGGTCGCTGAAACCCGTTCCGGCGCGGCTCCACGTGCCTCCACATGTTCGGGTACTTCCTGAAATCCACACAGCAGTAGATAAAGGGCTCCGCGGACCGCGGGTGGCGCACGACACGGGTTGCATCGTCGATCTCCTTCGCCGCCCTCTGTTGTCTGTTGGCCGACGCAGCGTGATGGTCGTTGGCGTCGACGCTGCACTCCGCAAGAGCGGCATCTTTTCGGAGGGGAAGCTCCCCGTCGTTGCTGCCGCTACTGCCGTTCATCTTCTCCTTCGCCTTGGGAGGCGGAGAGTCACCCGAGAGCGGATTCGGAACAGTAAATTCGCTCTCGACGCCTTCTGCGTGATGCTTCGTTGGCGTTTCTCCCCCACAATCACCGCTATGATGCAGCGCAGCAGTCAGTGGATTCAGGGACGGCACAGCAGGCCCGACATCCTCAGAGTTCACCTTCGCCACGGCGTCATCGGAGGTGACGAGGACAGCCTCTACAAGTGCGCCGCTCTCGGTCACACCTTGTTGCTCCTCAAGATCAAACATACTCATGAGATTTGTTGGTGATGGTGGTGGTGGTGATGGTGTTTCGTACAGAAATATATATACACTGCAAATTAAGGGGTGATTCCGTGATGAGGCAACCCAGTTGGCGTGTGTCGAACCTTTCCGTGTTAGCCCTCGCCTCTTCTTCCTCCCCCTCTCTTTGTTTTACTTCTTCTTCTGTGGTAGCGAGATTCCGTCAACAACAGAAACAACAGATGATGCCATAACTCGCCGATGCAGTTGTGTGTGTGGGTGTGTGTGCGGGAGATAGCGGGAGGGAGAGATGATGGTGCTCGCGAGAGCGGCGGTCGGGGGGAGAAAACGGCGAGAAGAGAATAAAAGGTAACGAGAATAAAATCAACAGACCTTTTGCTCTCTCCACCTCAAGGCGGGTATCTCGTTTAGGACGACATAATATATATGCAAAGTGTTGCTTCACCAGAGATCATTACCAAAAAAAAAGAACGTCGTAGATCTACGAGGTGTGCCACTTGCGTCGAACACGCGGAATAGCGGAGCAGCGTCTGATAAGGACGTGTGCAAGACTTCACGCGCGCCTTTCGCCTTCTTCTTGTTGTTTCTCTCGTAGTCTATCGCCTCCGTTATGTGAATTAGACGAGTTGTGCTGATACAACCTTTGATGTGCCGTGAAACACCCCCCGACACACACACACACACACACACGTTGTTTTCCTCTAGCACAACCCAACTCCGTGATCTACAGCAGAGAAGTTGCAAACACATAAAGAGCTTAAAACAAACAAAAACAGCGAAGTCGGACAGCAAACAAAAACAATACAAAAAAATGGCAGGAACAAAAAATAAAGTTATAAAAGGAAAGAAGGGGAGGAATAATACAAGGAGTCTCTATACATTGAGTAAACGGGGAGTAATGGTAATCGTAAGAACAGTAAAACGGGAGAGAAGGCACCGGAAATATTGCTGAAAGGGCGCCTCCTCCTTTGCGTCTCGATGCGTTGTGTATCTTCCCAACGCAGCAGTGGCATCCCGGTAGTGCCGCCTTCCCTTTTCTTTCTTTAACGTGAGTCAAATGGAGAAAACAAGAAAGCGGCTATGTTGCCATTCTTAACAAAGGGAAAGAATCACCATCGATGACAATAATACCGTGTCCAAATATATATATATTCATATATCAAAGAACAACAGACACCAAAGGAGAAAGAAGGGAAGAGCAGAGAGAAGAGGAGAAGCAGCAAACGCACGAAACCGCAGATAAGAAGCCGCCAGAGCAATAAAACCTCAAAGAAGAAGGGAAAGGAGCAATGCAGTACCACAACGGAGCACAGGTGGGAGGAAGAAGAGCCACCATGCAGGTCCAACGCGGCACTTCTTCAGCAGCAGGGAGGTAGAAAACGTCAGTTCATAAAGGCCCCTTCGACACACACACACACACAGAGACATTTGATTGATTACAGGACGTTCACAGAAACAAGTAAAATCAGAGGCACTTAAGAAAAAAAGGGGGCAGCCGTCTTATCAGCTTCTTCTGATTATTTTCTTCTCTCTCTCTCATCGCTCATTCATCGAACCTTCCTCTGCTGGTCTTTCTTGCTTTACGCATCACTTCGCCTCATCAACAGCACTTGCAGCCGCAGCGCTGGCGCTCCGACTTCTTGTCCTTGCCCTCAACGAAGAACGCCGACTCCCGCTTTTCCAAGATGTGCTGATAGGTCGTCTGCCCTATACAGCACAGGTAGACGTGGAAAAAGAGGAGGTGCAGCATCGGGCCAATCCCCAGCGCAATGACGGCACACATGATGATAGGGCCCACGCGGAAGTACAGGTTGTGGCGCGTCAGCTCCGCCCAGTGCCGGGCAAGCATACAGATGCCCGCCGCCAGCGCCGTCAGCGTCCCCAGGCACGCGGACGAGACGAAGGCAAAGAAGAGCCGGTAGTTCTTGCCGCCCACGCACATGTTCAGCCACTTGCAATGGTGGTCGAAGTGATCCACGCACTTGTTGCACGCCTTGCAGTGCTTCGACTCAACGTGGGTGCGGCGTCGGCAGAAGGTGCACATCTCGCCCATGTTACCGTGATCCGTGCAATCCTTGAAGGAGACAAGGCCCAACGAGACGTAGAGGCCGACAATGAAGATAACACTCGCCACGGCGAAGACGATGATCTCCGCCAGGCAGTCCTTCTTGTCCTGGGTGTAGATGACAAGGTAGCCGGCAAACACACTCGACCAGAAGAGGCCGAGGACGACAAATTCAAATATGAGGGCCGAGATCTGCAGCGAGTGCAGCGGACGTTCAAAGGCGTGCCGTCGCGGCTCGACGTGCTGCCACCCATCCGGATTCTTCTGCGTGTCGACGCAGCACGACGCCATCGGCTCCACCGCACGTGGCACCATCGCCGCGTCGTCGGACCAGCTCTCATCGCTGCTGTAGACATCCGCGTGTTCCTCGGCCTGCAGGCGACTGTCCTCATCACTTTCGAGCGCGTTGCCGCCTCCGCTGCGCCGGCTGATGCTTGGGTGGTGTGAGGCGCGCGTGTTGTATTTTGCCACCACCTCCATCTCATCTACAAACGGCACTCCGCCCTCTACGGAGCCCATCGCGCCACACTGAATGCGCGGCCCAGGCACAGAGACGGCGACGGCTGCTGCTGAGCCGGTGTTCCCGCCGTGCGCCGCTGCCGTCACCCGGCCGCTGGAGGTGGAGAGCAGCACGTCACCGGCGCTGGTGGTGCGCACGTGATGACCAACAGGGAGTCTGTTCGTGAGGTGCAGGTGCGAGTGAGGGGAGCCGACGTGCACCGCGGAACCGTCGTCTGCTTCTCCAGCCGAAGCAGGACTGAACATATCGTCGCGTGGAGACATCTCGGCGAACACCGACTCCATGCGTGGACGATGGTGTTGTGGCGGCGGTTGTTGCGGCTGTTGTTGATGATGCTGTTGAGGCAGTGGTTCTGCGGGAGTTAAAGGTGCTGTCGCAGCTGGCACCACCGCCGCCGCAGCAGCAGTGCCGTTTGCTGCCGTGTGAGAGTGACTGTGTTTGCCATTTACATTATTATTCAGAGCACTTCTATTGTGGTGCGTCACAGCAGCCGTGGCCGCTGACGTGCCGTTGCGAGGCCCTGCTGACTTGGAGCGTCGCCCACGAAACTTAGATCGAGAACCGGACGGCTGCGAGGAAGAGCTATCGTCCAACGTCGGGATCACTTGTTCCGCAGCTGCGACGGGGGGCGCCGGGGCTGCCGAGGCGACAGCTGTGGATGTGGCGGTGGTCCGCATCGTCGGCACCTCTGGGTTCGCCAGAGCGTGTGCTACGGACGGCGGCTGCGGTCGCGACGACGACGACACACTCACCGGCGGCTCGGGCGATCGACTCAGTCGCCCAGGCGTCGCACCGCCGTTTACGTGCGATGGGTGCGGTCCCGCCAGTGTGGCATACGTGGCCGGGTCCGGCAAGGCCTCCCCTCCCGCCGGCAGGCTCATCGTCTGGCAAGAGTTGCCATGGCCACTACTCAGCTGCGGGGGCGTGCCGCCGACCGCCGTGGCGAGCCGCTCCCCTTCGTGCTGCGCATCGTACTCCGTCATCCTGAGCGTCTCGGCCGCGGCGGTGTCACGATGGTGCTGGTGGGGCGAAGTCACACTGCCGTCGACGGGCCGCTCTGCCGTACCGCCATTCGGGTCGCTGCGCGACTTCAACCTGCGCTTACGCCGGTGGGGGGTGGAGGCGGTCGCCTCACGCGTGGCGCTGCCGTCCCCGAGCGGGCGGTGGTGATGACGGCTGTGACGGCGGCCCTCGGCGGTGGTCGGGGGGGTCTGCGCTGGCGCCGTTCCGTTGGGCAACGGAGCCGGTGGTGGTGGTGCTGCGGCTGCAATGACGACAGGAGTGGTTGACGGTGCACCGCCGTGGCGGGGCGGAGAGGCCGCCGGGATTGGCGGATTACTCATCCACTACGGAGGGAGAAATGAATAACAGGAAAACAGAAAACGGAAAAAAGGATCTACGAGACTTCTTCAAAGACAGAAAACACACACACACCAAAGAGGAGGTCGGTAAACAAAAATGCGTCGCTGTCGAACGCTCTAATTAAAACAGAAGGGAGTTTTTTTTTAAAGCGAAGGGATGCTACCGCAGTTGAGCAGCCGAAAATACGTAAAGTCTAACCGAGAAAGGGCTTTAGTCAACGCGGCATCCATCAATAATCGTTTCCTTACTAGATAATGTATAAATTAATATATATATAAGATTTAGAAGCAAAAAGAATTGCAACGAATAAAAGTTAGATCAATTGCACGCGACGCCAGACAATAAAAGAAAGGGAAAAGGTCCAAAATGGCTAGAATTCTTCACCTGAAAAGGCAGCTGCGGAAGTCTGCAAGCGACAACTGTTATACGCCCCTGTCAACGAAGCACCAGCGTGCACGCCAAAGAAGAGGGCAAGTGAACCACACGCGCTGCACTTTCCTCCAGCGTGTGGGTTTGTGAGTGTGTGTGTGTGTGTGTGCCGTTGTTGTGGCCGCGTAAGGGATAAAACAAAGTGGTGCTGCGTCCTCTCTCTCTCTTTCTCGTTTGTAGATGTATACCTTTATGTTTATTCACCAAGCAGATGTGTTCCGTACGGAGCGACACTATGAAATTTCTTTGCTGTAGTTGTTTGCTTCCGGTTCAACATGCAACAAGCTGCCGAGCGTGTACCTCGAGCGAGCAGCACTGGAACGATTTTAGCGAGAGAGAGAGAGAGAGGGAGGGGAAGGAGAGGAGTAAGAAGAGAAGGTAACGCGTATTTGACGCTGACGGGCACCTGACAGGCAAAGAAAAAAGAAACCTACACATGTACAGCTCTTCTTCTTTCTTTTGGGGGAGGAGAGAGAGAGGCCTCTGCGCCTCCTTCACACCGTTTCAGTCGAACGCGTACGAAGTCACATCCGCACTCACGTACACGCCACCTCGGCTCCCACTGGAAAGGCGCATCGAAGATATTCTCGTGTGCCACGCTGGCGACGGCCACCACGCTAACAGCGAGAAGGCACTCCGTCCTCCGCGGAGAGGCGTATTCAAAGCCCCTCTTGTGTTTGTCATTGTAGAGGCATTTTGATTCCGCTTTCTAGACACAAAAAAAGAAGGCGTGGGCGTCGTCTAATAAACGGAGAAGGCGTAAACAAAGGAGAAAACAAAAACGGCCAGTCTACTGCTCCAGCAATCACATCCACATCCACATCCACACACACACACACACGTACCATACGCACAGCATCCAGAAAACCCTTCTTTTTAAGGATTGACGCCGACGAGACAGGCGCGCATCAGGCGGCCTTTCGGCTTCAAAGCACGCTGGAAAAGCTCCCGTGAACAACAGCAGTCAAAAACAGTGGAGCGCAGACAGCAAGCAGCAACCACGCGACACGGCACGCATCGGTGAAACCGATGCGAGAGGGAAAAGGGAAAAAAATTGAGCGCTGCGCTTGCGAAAGAACGGCAAATGTGCCTTTCAGAACGAAAAGGTACTGAACAAGGAAAAAAAAAGGAGGCAAACACGCACGTTAAGCGTCGCTTAGGAGGGCAACAGTTTTGAATACAAAAGAAAGCTCACGTTGAGACATCGCTGTCGTTGCCGCTGGCGTAATCAGTCGCCGCCACATTCCGGTTGTTTAGCGGGGAATCTGAATGGTTGTTGAGACGGAGGGGAACGTGATGTACTAGCGGTTCGTATGCACGCTCGACATCGGTCAAGGATTTGCCGTTCAGCATGGCGCACGGCGGCGGTGGAGTTTGCGCCTCCCTGCGCTTTTTCACCACGTCGCTGACACCACCGCCGTCGCTTGCGGAGGTGCGCTGCATGACGGAGGGGACCGCCGCCGCGGTGCTCGTGCTTGGCGCACACAGATCGCACGAGTCTGACTTCGTCACGGAGGTGATGCCCCTGCTGCCTTGTGCGTTGCTTGGGTCTGCCGCGTCGGCACTCACCTGCACACCGCCGTTCAGCCGCTCCGACGGCGGCGATCGCTGCCGGGAACGTGCGCCGGCCGGCCACAGCCGCGACCGCCCGCCGCCCTGCCCAATTGGAATACCGCCCATCACCCCTTCCGCCGCCACCTGCGCCGTGCTGCTGCCCTCCACGGAGAAGCGGCTGTTGTCGACGGAGGCCGGCGACATCGGCTCCTCGACGGATACGGTGCTGCGCGGGGGCCGGTGGGCGGCGGCGGTGTTGGCACGGGTGTACCACTGCAGGTCGTGCGGCGCGGAGTGCGACGTGTTGGGCGATGTGGGCGAAACGGTGCCCGTGCTGGCCTGTCCAAGCAGCGCCATCGCACTGGAGGACACCTCCACGTGATCGCCGACGCTGCTGCTGCTGCTGCTGTGGCGGAGGTTGTCTGTGCTGTCGGGAAGCACCGTCATCGCCGCGTGATTCGTCATGGAAGCCGCTCCTGCCCCTTCCGCGTCCGTCGGAGTGGAGGCCGCGTCCAGGGAAAGGCGCTGAGGTGCGACTCTTTCCTCGCCCACCTCCTGCGACGACCCTTCTGCTGCTGCTGTGGTGGTCAGCTTCAGCTGCGAGAGCGTCTGATTCCAAATATCGCGTGTCGACAACGACTGGTGGCGCGGCTTCTCTTTTCTCGCATGCGCCGTCGGCAGCGGATCCGGCTCCTTGCCACGTTCTCCCGGGATAGGCGACCCGCCACGGAGACTACTCGCGCCGTTGCTGCCCCTGCCATCGGCTTCCTCTGCCACGGTGGCGGCCGCAGCGGACGGCGGCGAGGGCGGCGAGCATGGCGTGGAGCGCGCCGACGCATGGTAGGTGCTGCGCAGGCTCGACGGCGACGTCCCGAGCGGCAGCGCACGATGGTGATGCAGCACACGGTGCATTGCCCGGTTCAGCGCGGCGTCGCTCAGCAGACCGCCGCTGCTGGTGCCGAGCGGGGCGCTGCTGCCCATCGCATCAACAAAGAGGCGGGGGGACGAGAACGGGGACCCGGTGAAGCCGCAGCCGCCGACGCTGGCAGCCCGCCTGCTTGAGCCAAAGACCGCTGTCGCCTTCGTCGTAGGCAGCTCCATCAATATCACCTTCGAAGAGGCGGATGGTGGCGTCATGGCTAGCGTACTGCCTGGCAGCCCCTGCTGGGACGCGACCGGGCTAGCCGGACCACAGCTGCCGCCTCGATGAGTAACATCCGCGTCGGCCGGCGCTGCGTCATCGCAAGGCACGGCGGCGCCAGAGTTGACGCTCCCGACTTCTGCACCCTCCCCCGCGTTCTCCGTCGTCCTCAACTCTTCCGGGGCGGAGCGGGGGCTTTCCATCGTGCTGTTGCTACGGCTACCGCTGCTGGTATTACTGCTGTGAAGGCAGCCCGCCAGCAGAGGACTCGCCTCGACTGGTTGCACCGCCTCTTCGACGGCAACGATGCTTTCTGGCTCTGCCGGCAGCTGTGGTGGGCTGGACAGAGCGGAGAACACTTCTGTCTTGTTCTCCCCGGCTACCTTTCCAACTTTGCCTTCATCCTCCCTCGCCGCTCTAGCCAGCGGAACATCCGCAGCGTTGCCCGGGACTGGTTCACGTGTCGCAGGGACTTCCTCTGCACAGGCGCACGCCGCCGCCTCCTCCTCTGTTGTCGCCGACAACACCCCCGTCAGCGCTCCAGCTGCAGCTGCCGTCGCATCTCCTTGCACCGTCTTCACCTTCGGCTCCTCCGCCGCCGCGACGACGCTGGCCGGCAGCGCAGACGAGGGCACCGTTGCCTCCGCTGGCGATAACGGTGGCGGTGGACCCTCTCCTGCACTCCCCCCTACCACGTCACCATCGCCGTGTGTTGCGCCCCTCCCTGCCCTCGCCTCTCCGCTGGTCGGCGGCTGCACACTCGATGGAGCGCTGTCGCTGCCGGTGTTCGCTGCCGGCGCCTTCAATTCCACCTGCTCCGCCGTCGTTGCATCGGTGTTGTTGCTGATGCTGTTGGGGTTGACGGGTGTGACGCGCACCGGGGCGTAGAGCACGGCGCTTGGCGCGGCTGCCGTTGGGCCTGCCGCCGCCGCGGATCTGTGCTCTTCTGCCAGACCTCCGTTGATCTCCTTCTGCTTCTCCGCCGCCACTGCTGCTGCTGCTGCAGCGGCCGATGGTGCGTTCCCTTCCTCTGCGAGTGGCTCCGTCAGCGTCCACGTGTCCGGCATCCGGGTCCTCATCGTGTCCAGCTCCGCTCGCACGCCGGCCAGCGTGACGCGCGTCGGCATGAGACGCCAAGACGGGTGTGAAGGCCGCAAGTGTCTGCGGTGGTTGGCGCGGTCGTCGCTGCCGTTGCCGCTGTGGAGGTGGCTCGGCGATCGACTGGCGCGAGAGACGCTGTCGACGCCGCTGCTGTGCTGCTGCTGCGGATGCAGATGGTGAAGCGCGTGGTGACAGTTGTCAGTCCCATCGGCACCGTCGTGGCGAGGCAGGTGCGATGAATGACGCTGCTGCTCGATCGACTGCGGTGCGGTCACGTGCGACGCGGAAGCGCTGGGTGGTGACGCCCTCCCTTCCCTCTCCTCGTCGGACGTCTCGGCGGACGCAAACGAGAAGTTCGCGAGTCCCTCACTGGCGCACACGGCGCAGTGATGCGCGTCATCGCCCGCGTGGGCGCCTTCATGGTGGTGACGGTGGTGGAGACGATCACGTGCCACATCGTCCAGGTCCTCCGTACCCTCCTCCACGCCTTCGAGGTCGTCATCGCCGTCGTCGTCGTCTTCCAAGTTATCCGCGTCGACGTAATGAGGAATGTGGTGACGATGATGTGCGTGAGCGATGCTGCTGTTGCCGGCGGCAGCAGAGGAGGAGGAGGCCTGCAGAGGGGTGCCCTCGTCGCTGGTTTCCATCCTCGTGCCAAGCAGACTCACACACTCGAAAGAGCTCGTGCGGGGCCCAAGCTTCACCGCCGTCCCTTGCAGAGGCGGCCGCCCCAGCAGGCCCGGTGGCGTTAAATGCGCGGAGGAGCTGCACGTCACGCCAGGTACGCCGCTTGGAGAGGGCGGTGCGGCGATGCCCGGTGCCACCAAAACGCGGCTCGGTGGCTTAAAAGCCTCGCCAGAGAAGTGGTCTGTGCTGCGCAGCAAAGGCAACGCGGAGAGCGCCTCCACCGCCCTACTACGGGCTGTTGTCGCACTTCCACCTTCTTGCCTTTTGCTTTCTGCGAGTCCGTCGCCGCTGTGGTCGTGGCCCATCGAGTCCACCGAGGGGCCTTGACTGCACATCGCCGGGTTGGAGCCGGAGTTGATGGACTCACTCGAAGCAGCAGCCGCGACGGCAACGGCATCACCACTGCTGCTCCCGTCACGGCCGTCCACTTTGTGCGCCTGCGCTGTCACCGCCGGCTCGACCATCGACGGATCCCACTCGTCGGAGTACAGGGTCGTTAAGGAGTCCTTCGACGACGTCACACCTAACCGCGGCGCTACCTCCTCCTTGCGGCTGCCCATCACATCCAAGTCGTCCACGTGCAAGATGTTGCCGTGGAGGTTGCCGCGGGCGTCGCGGGCCGTGACGCCCAGCATGAGGCGCAGCGTACTGCGCGACACCAGGTACTCCTCACGCGACGCCTCTGCCCACTGCGACTGGCGGTACTGCAGGTGATCGAGGAGGGACAGGTAGCCGCGTGCGGCGTGATCGGGGTTGCGTTTGACGTCATCGCGCCAGCGACGCACCACCAGCGGCGTCCGCAGGCCCGCCTCGAGCAGCAGCGCGTACTCGTTGAACAGCAAGATGTGCCCGTCGCGGGTGATGGCGGTGCTGTCTTCGCGTTTCGTGTGTTTCTTCTTCGGATGATGCTGTTGTGCTGGACCGGCGTGAAGACTTGGAACGCTGTCGGGCTGGTTGTCACTGCCCCCCTCTCCATCGCCACCGCGATGCGGCGGACCAGAAACAGCGTTTTCCCTTTCCGTGTCCGCCGGCGCGGGCGGCGCGGGTGCGGGTTGGGAGGTGCTACCGTCGGACGACAGCGTCACCGAGGATGCCGACGAGACGCAGGAGGACGAAGAGGAGGAGCGCGAGGACGCGTTGGAAGGCGATGACGACGTCGCCGCCGTCGAAGGCAGCCGAATCGAGGTGGGGGACACGAAGGAGTCGGAGGTAGCCGCATCCTTCACGTCCGCGCCAGGGTGCTCCATCTCAGGGGAGGAGCACAGCGAGAACGAGGGCGTGGTGGCGGCGGTGGAGGAGGGGGTGGAGCCCGTCCGCTCGACCACAGCCATCGCGCCATCGTGCAGCGGCTCCAACATGCTCAGCTGCGCCTCGTATAGCAGCGTCAGCAGCTCGTTCGCCACGACAGAGTTGAGGCGCGGCTTCTCGCACAGCAGCACATCGCCCATGGCGTCCAAGACGGAAAAGAGTGAGGTGCACACGATGACGTGGATCGGCACCTGAACGGCGGTGCGCGACTTGTCGAGCAGTGCGGCCGAGAGCAGCTCAAAGTCCGACTTGCCAAAGCAGAAGGAGTCGACGAAGGCACGCCGGTAGCTCTCCTTCTCCGTGACGACCGTCCCACTCGTGTCATCGAAGGAGCGCCCGAGGGGGTCGGCGCCGATCGAGCCAGGGTCAGAGTCATCCGGCTGGGGCAGCAGCAGCTGATCCCGTATCGGGTCCGCGGCGGGGGCGGGGGCTGTGGTCGCAGTGGTCGCGGCGACCGGCGTCCACGTCTTGCTGTTCGGTCCTGTCGACACCGCGAAGGGGGATGTCATGGTGTAGCTGTTGCGGGCGCTGTTGAAGTGCGAGGGCACCGCGCTGCCCACCGCCGTCTGCGGATCACTCATCGTCCCGCCCTCGCCGACCGTGACAGGCATGGGCGAGACGCGGCCGAAGGAGTCCACGGCGTAGAGCGCCGGCGTGGTCGGAGTGCCCTGCGTCGTAAACGGCGCCGTCGCGGTCGTGAAGCTGCCATTCGGATCCTCGGTGATGGTCACGTCGTTCATCGCCATGCGCCGTTCGTCGGCCTCCCAGCGCGCGAACACCTCGTCCAGTCGCCGCACCTTCTCGTGGTTCGCGCCGTGCGCAAAGTGGCTCCGCATCCGGTCGCGGTACTCCATCATGCGCCCCCGCAGGCGCACTCGGGCGTTGCGGATGTTCACGTAGTGCTCGAACGGAACGGCGACGTCGTAGGTGCCGGCCCGGGTCAGTGTGCGAGCGCTCAGCAGGACGCACTTCGCCCAGTGCAGCGCCAAGCAGCGCCGCATCGTCCGCACCTGCGCCACCTCTGACTCCTCGGCCGCCGTCGCGCCGGTCACGACGATAGTGGGCGGCGGGGTAAACGCGTACGGCCGCGGTCGCGGCACGTGCTGCATGGCGGAGGACACGAGGGATGTCGGGACGTTCAGGTGGGCCGCCAGCAGGGGGGCGAAGCTTCGGTCGGGTCCCATCAGCTGCGGCGGTCCGGTGGGGGCAGCGGCGGCCCGGCCAGCGACCGCCGCAGCGACCGCCGCTGCAGGCGAGGAAGAGGAGAAGGACCACGTGAGATTCGCGCCGGCTGCCGCGGCGCCGCTGGTCACTCCTCCTGCCCCGCCACCGCCACCCCCACCGAGTGCCCCGGCTGGCTGCGCGACGGCCGGCGTCACGGAGACAGACTGGTGGGCGTGCGCCGCCAGCTCCGACAGCCCGCGCATCATCGCCTCGATAAACGGGGTGCTCCACGAGTTCGTCAGCAGCGGGGTGCGCAGCAGCAGCGCCGACGTCTGCGCGAGAGTGAAGGCGTACTGCAGCACCGCCTGCGCCACGGTGTGCCCACAGTTGTACTGGTTGTTTTCGGCGACGAGTCCGATGACCGTCATGAGGGGGTGGCAGCGCGTGAAGCAGGCGGCCAACACGTACTCCACCCGCATGTTCGTCGCGCGCGTCTCTTGCGGCTCCGGCGCGGTCTCGGGCGGCGCGGCGCCGTCGCTGAGGTTGGTCGTGGTGTCGTTGCGCTGCAGCGGGGCATCACCCACGTCGTTGTCGCCGTACTCGAAGCGGTTCACGTTCCACTTGCCGGACGACGGCGCGCTGCTGTGGCCGCCGTCGGAGGCGTTGGAGTTCTCGCCGCCGAGGCTGCGCCACCCGCCGTCGGAGGACAAAGAGTGCCCATCCGGGTCACTCGCGTCTGTGCTCTGCGGGTTGGTGCTGCTGAAGCTGCTGTTGACGAGGCTGAAGCAGTCGAAGCTGGAATTGGCGTCGGCCACGCCGGCGACGTGCTGACGCTCTTGTTGCTGCTGATGCTGTCGCACATCCGCGCCGCTGCAGCCGCCAAAGACGTAGTTCAGCACCCACTCCAGCGCCATCCCGCCGCGAGACCCGGGTGGGTGGGCAGCGAGCAGGTCGGGTGTGAGGACGTGGGCAAGCAGCATCGTCGCCTGCGAGGTGAAGACGGCGCCCTCCGCGTCAATTACACGGATGGATTCCGCGGCGATGGCGGAGTGGTTCGCGGCGAAAGCGATGGCCGTCTTCTTCAGCACCTCCAAGTTCGTATTCGCCGCCACGAGGAGCATCTCCTCGACCTGGTGAAAGCGTTGGCAGGTGGGGCACGCGTAGGCCGCCGGGGTGCCACGTGCCGCCACGAGCGTCTCCGACTCCGACTCCACCGGCGTGACGGGGGATACCGCGCTGCCGGCCGTGGTAGTGGCGGTGTAACTGGGCAGCAGATACGGGGGTGATGGGTAACGGAGGAGGTTGTGGGAGCTAAGGCGGCTGGTGTTACTGCTATTATTATTATTATCATTGTTGGTGTTCTCAGACGAGGTTGTCATCGCGGAGGCAACCGTGAAGGAGCGGTTTGGTAGCACCGTCGTTGTGGAAACCGGTGCGTGACGGCTCTCGTGGCTGTACTCCTGCAGCTGCTGCTGTACCGTGGTGATGCACAGGAAGGTTTCGGTGAAGGCGTGGAGGCTATGCCGCACCAGCAGGCCCAGCGGGGGCTCCTTCGCCTCCGCTGCGATCTGCGCGTCCACCACCTCTTCTCCGGCGCCGCGGATTGTGCCGAAGGAGGAGCACGTGTCGGTGCGCAGCTCAAACGGGGAGCTGCGGTCTTTTATGCTGACGGTGGTCTGCGAGCGCTGCCGTTGTCGCCGTTGTCGACGCAGGCGGCGGCGACTATCGATGGCACTCTCCAGTAAGGAGCCGGTCTGCACACGACGACGATGACCACCGCCATCGATGCTGCCATCCTCACTGACGTCCTCGCGGCGGCCGCCGTCGCAGTCGTCGTCGCGATCCGACAGTGAGTCGTCGATCCCGCTGGACTCGCTGCTCGCACTGCCGCTACTACTGTTGCTGCTACCATCTGGGCGTAGCCACGGTGGCATGTTCGACCGCCCAGGCTCGGTGCGGTAGATATACGACTGCACCAGCACGAGCGACACGAGAAGCGACTCCAGCAGCATCAGCGCGTGACGGATGCGACGGCAGTGCAGCTCCAGCGAGGCCTCCAGCTCGGCCGTGGAGGCAAAGGTGGTCCGATAGTTATGCTTCGGCGTACTAGAGGGGGGCGTCACGCTCGACGCAATGGGAGGCGGAGGCGGCGGGGGCGGCGGAGTATTCTGCCCACACGACACCTGCTCGGACTGCGGGTGCAGAAGCGTGTTCGACCCGCTTCTCTGCGGAACCCGCGGCGGCAGCGTCGTCATGAGCGGCGGCTCGCTGCGGAGGCGGCGGAGGCGGCGGAAGTGCGGTGTCCCGTCCTGCGTGTCCGAGCCGGAGTCGTTCGAGGAGGTGCTCGAGGCCGGCTGCCGCCCATCCAGTGAGATCGGGTTCGCGGAAGAGGCCTCCTTACGAGGCGAGTAGACGGTGCAGGACGGGAGGCGGCGCGCTCCGACAGAGACGGCGCGGTGCTCGCGTGATCGGCGCGGCGACGACGACGACGTCGACATCAATGGCGCCGCGACGGCATCGGCCGAGTCACCGCAGCCGGGCACCACTCCCGAGGAGACGTCGTGAACGTGCGGATTCGGGGCGCTGACGGAGGCGGGCGCCTCCAGCAGCTCGTCCTCCACCGCACGCCGCACGACGATCTCCATCCATTCACACGAGGCGTGCAGCACCCGGCAGGTCCACCGCACCAGACGGCGGTGGTCATCGTAGAAGGCGCGGACGGTGCGGGCGTCCCAGATGGGCCCGCAGACGGCGGTGAAAGCCTCGGCGGAGCCCTCGCGCACCCGCGAGCGATCACCGCACAGCAGCTGCAACGCCAAGATGGACAGCTGCGTTTGCTGCTCATGTGTCAGTCCACCGTTGCCCTTTGCCGCTGCTGCGGTTGCGGGCGGCGGCGACGGCGTAGAAGGGGCCGGGGTGTGCTCTGCACTCCACGTCTCGCGCTGCGAGTCGTCGCTCATGCTCGCATCGCGGTGTAATAAACTCTTGCTGCGGTCCACCGCGCCGGCGGGAGAAAGGCTGCTGTCGGCACCGTCGTCGGATCGGAGACCGTAGCTGCCGCCGTCGCGGCGGTGTCGCCGCTGATGCTGCGCGTCCTCGCTGTCCTCTTCGCTGTCGCGCGGCGCATCGCCACGTTGGACGAGATTGTCGGACGAGTGGAGTCGGTCTTTTTTCTGTAGTAGCTGCGTCCGCATGTGACGGTGCGGCCGCCATTTGCACAGTGCTAAACTAAAAAGCAAGGGAAGCCGATGGCGCAGGTACGTGGTGGTGTAGTACTCCCCACGCATCGCGTCCGCGCGGAAGTCGTCGGCCAACAGAATGCCGACGACGTCCTCGTGCGTGTGGTAGTGCGCCTTATGCAGCGCTGTCAGCGCAGACTGCAGCTCCGTATCGCGCGCGGCAAAACTTCTACTGGTGAACATCTTATGCGTACAATCCCTCTGAATGGGGTTAATGACTGTATATTACGTCGCAACAGCAACCACAAAAGAACCCAGCGACGAGTGTGCGCAGATGAAGCAGCGAGATATACGAAGGTGTTTGTTTCTGCTGCCGCTGATTTTCAATTTCAAAAATAATATTAATAAATCTATACTTTTGAGGTCGATTCACACGCACACTGATGATGTAGCACAAAGCACAAACACGGAGTACAGAAGATGAGAAAGAGCGTTGTAAAGAAGAAGAAACCCAGGATCAACCCTCAAACGAGCACTCGCGGAGGAGACGCTGATGTTTCGCTTGATAGCTCCTAAATACAAAATATCGCTACGCTCGTATATTTAAAAGGGGGAAGAGAAAAGAAAAAGACAGATCGGCTCCTGCAGGCACCTGCTTCTACTGACCTACGAATATGTGTATATCAACGAGCCAACAACCTTGCACTTGTATCTCAATGTGCAACGCTGGAGTGTGATGATGATGATGATGTGTGTGTGTGTGTGCGTGTGTGTGTGAATCTAGCACCCCTTTCACCTATTTGTGAAATTCGAAAATGTGAGAAAGAGACCTTTTTTAGACGCTTAATAAATACAACAACCAAAAAAAGTTGCCGAGACAGCTCTTTGCTCGTTCTTCGAGCGCTTTCTTTTTCTCTTTTCTTTCTGTTTGCTTGCGCTACGTAGTCAGTGCTGCAACGGCTCACGTCACGCTGGTAACGCTTCGCCCCCAGCGTCTGATCGAATCACGCTAGGCGAATAAGCCGCGTTCACGTGGAAAGGAGAGAAGAGGGAGTAAAACAATTCTTTCTTTGTTGAAAGAGTCAACTGCAGGGGAAAAAACTTTTAAAAAGAAAAACCAGAAAACCCAACAAAACCAGACGAAAAGATCATACAGACGTTTTGGATGCTTCCTTTCTCACCGCAGTGCTAGCGTACGCAGCGGCGGGAAGCACACGAACAAAGACAATAATAATAATAATAATAATAATAATAATAATAAAGGAGAGAGGGAGAGAGGAGGGAGAGGAGAGGGGAGAAACGGAGATAGTCGTCTGTTCGTGGAGGGAGAGCACGCAACAGCCAAAATAAAAAAAAAACAAGGAGCAGGTCTCACCAAACACAGAAAGAGGAACGAGAAGAAGAAAGAGAATTAGAAATCAAAACTAAAGCAATAATACTACTGAATAATAATAATAAAGATAGAAACGGAGAAGAGTACACAAGAACACACCAAAACCTGCTCTTTACACGTTGACGCCCAAAGATATAAAACGGCCAAGAGGAAGAATACCACGTTCAGATAAAAGTGGGGAAAAAAAATTCAGCAACAAACAGCGGAATTACAAGTTTGAAGCGGGGCAGCAGAAGATGAAAAGAACCAAAAGAAAAACACAGAGAAAGACAAAAAGATGTTGTGAGTTAAAAGGCAGCAGAGGACACAAAGAAAAGCACTAAAACAAAAGAAAGAGGTGTAGCAGAAAATGAAGAGAAGACGAAGGATGGAAAAAAAAAAAATAGACGACGAGCAAAAAACAGTATTCGATGGTACTTGAAAAAAAAAAAGGGGGAGAAAGAGGAACAGGGAGAGGAGAGAAAGCGAAGGAACCACCACAACAAGAAAAGGCCAGTTAAGCGGCCAGCAGTTTAGCACTTGTCATTAACCAACCAACCAGCCAACATACAAAAGGAAAAAGAAATACGTACGGGCAGACGACCGTCGAAGCTGATGTGAGTTGAATTGATAAAACAAAAAAAACCTATGTTTAGACACCTTTCTCAAGACCTCGGCCCAGCCTCGCTTGTCTTTTCAAATCGTCTTCTTCCCTAAACCCACACAAACAAGAGGTAAAAATCAGTCTTTGACTTCGTCGTTTTTTTGCCGCGGCTTCCGTGCGGAGAGTCACGTACAACGCGGACAGGGAAGAAAAAAAAAAGAGAGAGAGCCTTTTCCTTTAGGTAGATGCTTTTTACAGCTGCTCACGTAATCTTAAAAAGAAGGAAAGAGGAAGAAATTTTTTAAAGAAGGGGGAAAAAATGCGTGCTGGCTCGTCCGGGCTGTCAACGCAGAATATAATGATGAAACAGCGGATTACTTTGCTGATGACGTTTTTGTTTGTTTGTTGTTGTTGTTGTTGTTGGGGCTACGCGTCTTCTTCTCTCGCCGCTGATACGAACACCGCAGCAATACACACGTTTGTTTGTTGGTTGGGGGTTTTTTTTTTTGACAACAACAGTAGGGTGATGGTACGGTACTTCTGTTTTTCTCTTTCGTTTTGAAAAAGAAGTGCAAAGGAGAAAATAAAATCAAGAGAACAATACGAAGGAAATTATTGAATTGTACAATACATGACCAACACCTCAAGATACGCGCCCGCACACACACAAGCATGCATATGTATAGGCGCGTGAGAGAAGAGATCAGACAAAAAAAAAGGGAAAAGGAAACAGAAGGCCGTGTTTCAGAAAGCTGCAGCAACACAACGCGCCTCACCCGTCGATGGTGGCCACTCCGGCACACTTCTGCAGCACCGTCAACCTATCGTTTTTTTCTTTTTTGTCTGAGAAGTTCTTTCCAGTACTTGCGTATGTAGAGAGAGAGAGAGATGCTTTAGATAGATATCGTGCTCGTTCATTCAGTTTCTCGCCTTCCCATTCGAGAAAACGAGAGAAAAAGGAAAGAGAAAGAAAGAAAGAGGTGTGTTTATGCAAATCGAAAATGCCGCGGCCGGCGTGTGCGTGTGTGCGTGTGCGTGTGAAAGAGAGGAGACACGTCTGCGTGTACGCAAGCAGCGCGCCAACCCGAAAAACGACACACACAAACTGCAAATAAGAAGACAGCAAAGCAAAACAAGATCCACGTGAAAGAACTCGAACAGGAAAGAAACAACTAATAGCCCAAGCAGCTGTGATGCCGGCGTACTGTTGTGAAGACCCCAAATCCGGGAAAGAGCGAAGAGAGAATTCGTCTGTGATAGACGCAATATATATAATACGTGTGTGGTGTGTGAGTGCAACTACCTTGTTGCTCCTGATGGACCCACCAGACACTCCCTTAAAAGAAAAAAAAAACACAGGACGCCTCACGGAAAAGAATGGAGGTGACGTTGAAGGAGGAGGAGAGAGAGGAGAAGAAAAACACTACGAGGGGATGTGCGTTCTGATGCTGCATCACCGGTAGGACTACGTGTCACGAGAAGACGCGTCAACGTGGTCGACGTTATACAGAAGAAAACGTGAAGAGAGAAGGGGAGGCGGGGCAGGGGTGGAAGGGAAAGGAAGAGAGGGAGGGGGATAGAATGCGGTCAAAAGCAGACGCTCGCAAGTACGCTGCTCTGGGGTCTCTCGTGCTCCATCTCAGCGGCATACGTTTTCCTTTGCCTTTTGTAGTTGACCTTCGTTGAAGCACGATCCAGCAACATCAACGAAAAGTGAAAGCTTTCGGAAGAGGCGGTCGCTCCACAAACGCACACCCTCTTCGTATTCACAATAATAATAGAAAAGGAAGATCGTTCGAGGCCCAAACCAAACACGGTGTGTTGTTGCTTCTTTGAAGAGGTACACCCAGAAAGTGCAATTTCCATTTGCAGCCTTCTGTCTCCTTCACTTTTTTCGTTCTACTTCGTCATCGCATGAAGGCAACTGATGGGCACACAAAGGAAGAGAAAGAAGGCGCTCTCGTCTCCCTTGCCGGATCAAAAAAAAGCCTCCCACATCAGTTTTTTTTGGTAGTTGTTTGTTTTTGAGTTATTTAGAACATCATCATCATCATCAGAACTTTTTTTTATCTTTCTTCTCTTCCTCTCCCGCGCACGGCAACACAAAAGACCACAGTCACGAACACGCCGACATACACGCAGCCACGTCCCACACAGACACAGAGAGAGAAGAGACGCGTGCACACGCTACAGTGCAAAACCGCAGGTACAACCGACGCACATCGACAGTAAAGCTGGAAAAAGAGAGAAAAGAGGGAAAAAAGGAAAAGATAAGAAGGAAACTGAAACCGTCATCGTCACGTGCGTTTCAGGTCCTACAGAGTCAATCTACTTCAACTTTCTATCGTTAAGGTGGTATCACACATGCTTAGTAATAGTCTCATTATAAAACCGACAAAACAAAAACAAAACAAACCACCAAACGCGCACCCCGAAAACAAAAGTAATGCCGCTGCGACAACGCAACTCGAGGCGCCGTGGAGTGCGCAGGGAAGTACGAACTCGGAACGAGAAACACACACGCACACCCTAACCACCACGAAAGTGGAGAAGAAAAGAGAGAAGGGAGAGGGTCAAGGAGGAAAACAAAAACCGAAACAGAGAGCAAGAACGCTGCCACGCAAACAGAGAAGAAAGAACAAACTCGATACAGCGAAAATCAGAAACACTTGTGTAGCTGGTGTCTCTTCAACCGGCAACTGGCACCGAAGAGAGCGGAGGAGGTGTCCCCTCAAACTTCACCCACATTCGAAATTAAAAAAGCCCAGGAACGTGAATGGAGAGCTCCGCGCAGACGCACCCGACGGAGAGAGGAGAAACCTCCAAAAAAAAAGGTAAAGGAAAAACGGAGAACGGCCACCACAGCACAGAAAACAAATAACATGAGCGACACCCACTTCCACTGTTGAACATCTACTCCTTTCTCCTCCGCTCTGCTTCAGTTTACCCGCCTGCCGCTGTCCACAGGCTACGCCTGACAAAGATGCCATGCAAACACCTATCGAAGGCGACTCCTACCGTTCCCCCTTTGGCCGCGCACATCGCGAGAAAATGAAAAAGGCGGATTCACGCGCTCGATAGCTCCACCAACAGTTGTCTCACTGCACGAGACATTTCCCTTTCTTTTGTTTTCTTTCGTTTTCTTCTATCATCATAATCGATCTCTTCCCGTCTCGCATGTATTCCTCTCTCCCTCTTCTTGTTGTTGTTGATGTATTACGCAACCTTCTGCTTCAGGAAGCCGTAGCCAAGGTCCTGGCCTTCCTGCTGGAGAATCTCGTAGTACTGATTGATCATCGTGACGGACAGCAGGATGCCGGTGCCGCTGCCAATCGCGCCGAGGAAATCAGCGAAGATCGTTAGCGCACCGACGCAGAGGCCGCCGAAGCTGGCCGCCACCGGGATGTACTTCTCCAGCAGGCGCGTCATATCGTCCTCGCTCTCGCGGGCCTGGACGAGCCAGCGGCCCTGCGCTGCCAGCTGCTTCGCCACATCCCGCGGCGCCGTGTGCGAGATCGTAATCCACAGCCGCGAGAAGATAGCGCAGGTGGTGAGCACGAATACGATGTAGAACACAGCGTGGATGGGATCCGCCATCAGATCGTAGAAGGTCGCCGGAGGCACGAGGTAGTACGCGAGGCCGCCGACCGGGAAGAGCTGGCCAGAGCCACCGCCGTTGTAGCCGCGCTCCTCCCAGCGGCCGAACAGGTTGATGAGGAAGTTGCGGTTGCCGAAGCGACGCGACAAAATCTGCGAAAAGAAGTTAAAGTTCGACACGACGCTCGTCTGCAGAATGATCGGCATGTTGCTCGTGTAGAAGAGCTTGATGAGGTAGGGCTGGCGGTCGTTGCCGTTGAACTTACTCTTCGTCATCAGCGGGACGCGGAAGCCCTGGAAGAAGACGACGACGACGAAGACAACGGCCGTGGCGAAGATGTTTGTCAAGTTCGGCAGCTGCGGGCGGTAGAAAGCCTCGCGCAGCGCACGCACCTTGTCGGTGCGGGACACGAGCAGGTGGAAGAAGGCGATAATGGCCCCCTCGAACTCCGCACCGCGACCCGTGTTGATGGTGGACGGGGAGAAGCACTTCCACACGATGGTGTCGCACACGTTGGTCGCGATGAAGAGCGAGGTGCCGTTGCCGATGCCCCAGCCCTTCTGCAGCAGCTCGTCCAGCAGAATGCAGATCATCGTGGCGGCCATCAGCTGGAAGACGATCAAGGCGCACATAACCACCCCGATGCGCGACGGGTCCCCGTACATGCCAGAGGAGACGTAGGCGACGGCCTCCACCACCGTAATCACCAGCGCCATCACCTTCTGGAAGCCCTCAAAGACCGCGCGCTCCTCGCGGTTGTTCGAGTCGTAGTTCAGCAGGCGCACACCAGCTAGAAGTTCCAGGATGAGAGAGGCGGAGACGATGGGCGAGATACCGAGCTCCATCAGAGTCCCCTTGTTACTCGCCAGCACGATGCGCATCCAATAAAAGGGGTCGCTGGCGTTGCCGGGGCGGGCGCCGTAGACGGGCACCTGGCAGCAAATGAGAAAGATGAAGAGGGCCACGGCGGTCCACATAATGCGCTCTTTGATGCCCGGCATGCGGCGCGGCTTCTCGATTTCGGGGAGAAGCGCCAGCACGGGCTTCAGCGACATAAGCCAATTTCCTTGCTTGCTCATTTTGTCTTTTCCTTATTTCTTGTTGTTCTTATTGGGGTGTGTGCTCCTTCCTGTGTGTGTATGAGGGTGTGCAAACGCAAGAGGGGAGCGAATATATATAGGTGGATATGTATTACGGGGCGGGGCGGGTTGAGGAAGGTTTCACAAAATGAAAGAGAGTGCGGAGAGCAGCGAGAGCGCCGTGGTGCTGTTCCAGTGCCAACAGCTCCTGTTCCAAAGACGACGGCTGATTGGGGATTGTAGGGATCTGTGGTTTTTAATTTTTTTCTCTTCGAATATTGACGTGTCAGAGACAACGACGACAGAAGTTGCATGTGTGCGTGAGTGAGTATATACGTGTGTATGCGTATGCGTGCGTGCGGGCGTGCGAGTAAGGCGTGAAGCGCAGTCGCAGTTGAGTAACAGACACGATGGTGTGCGGCAACGTAAGTGTGTTTTCAGCCATTACAAGATAGTCGGTTTTTCCACCAAGAATGGAAGCAAGAACGGCGAAAGGGAGAGAGGGAAGTATCATTCGCTTGCATCTGACTTAGACAAGGAAAAAAACAAAACGCACTTCCTGTTTGGATACCCCGTCAAGTGGGGGAGCGAGACACAACGGCATCGTTACGTGGCAAAAACGAATAATAATAATACTACTTAAGCAAGAAACGAAGGCGAAAAAAAAACTCGTTTCCTATTGAAGCACCCTTCTGTCCTTGTGTGTGTGTGTGTGTGTGCTTGGTGTTGTTGTTGTTTACTTTCCTTTGGTGGTTGGTCTTATTTGTTGTTGTTCTGTGATCAGCACGACTACATTTCTGCGAGTCGCAAGGCGCGAACACATCCCACGTGACAGTGTTGCAATGTACATCAAGGAAAACAAAAAAAAGTCAAAAGAAGTTCACTCTTGTTCTAATGAATTCTCGTCGTCGCTGACTTCTCCGCCATTTTTTTAATTCCATCTTGATTCGTCTTTTCCATTTGTTTGTTTGCGTGTAACAGAGGTGTTCGGTGGTGTGACCATTGTCGGTGAGACAGAGCTCTAAGAGACGACGATCAAGGCGAGAAGAAAAGGGTCGGAAGAACGCAACGCGCGGCGCTGCGTGTTGCGTGACGTGGAGGGCAGAAGCGCGGAGAGGACACGAGAAAAAGAACTCGATGAGGTCTATTGGCGTCAGGAGACGGAACGGGAGGAAGCCCAAAAAAAAAGGGAATACGAAAAGTGCGAAGCACAAGTATAAAGAAGAAGTAAAACCAAAAAACAGTCTTTCAAGTCGATGTCGCTTTCACTCACTACTACTACTGGATGAAGCGTGGTGCTCAAGAAATGAGAGGAGCGTCCACAAGAAAGGAAAAGAAAAGGCGCCATCCCCCTCCCTCCCTGTCTCTCCCTTCCTAAAGAGAAAGCGAAAGATCGGGTGAGGAAAAAAAAAGTCGGCGATGAAGGAAGTGCGACGTCCCAGTAGCAAGCGGGAGAGAGGGCGAAGGTTCAACCGCACGGCACCCGTTTTTTTTTTTCGCAGAAGGGAGGGGCCTCAAGACCGCGCAGACGAGAGTGGAGGAGTGGGTGTGCGTGCGTGGGTGTGCGTGGGTGTGCGTGGGTGTGCAAGTTCACCTGCACACACACACACCTCTCACAGACGTCGCAGCGCTAAGAAAAGAAAAGAAAAAAAGAAAGAAAGAACAGGAGAGTCTCCGCCAGTCGTCCGTCGTCCCGGAAGAGGAAGGGACCTTCAACAAAGGAAACGCAGTAAGCGGCGCGTGTACCTCGGCACGCACGCACATCTCCGTTGCGAGGATGTGTCCGACGTGCTTGGAGGTTGCTGTTGCTTTGTTTCCTACGCGCGAGTTGCACCGCAAACGGCTCCGTCGGCAGCGCCCTCCTTCTCTCCACACGCACCCAACGGAGGCAGCGCCGGTAGGTTGGGTGCCTGCGATGAAAACCCACAATGCAGCTTTCACAGTCGGATACAAATGACGCGAGGACGCCGTTGCCGCGCCTGCGGAATGATTTGCTGACTGCTGCGCGGTGGTGGGGGCGATGAGGCGGCAGCTGCGTCTTGTAGCGAAGCCGCGAAAAGAGCGTCCGCCGGAGCGGAAATGCCTCGCGGAGGAGGAAGCGGTGGGGGTTGCGGCGGGGGCGGCGGCGGCGGTGGTTGGACCGGTAAGAACGGAAGCCCCGGCGACTGAGTGGAACTGTGCGTCGTGGTGGTGGTCGAGGACGGCTGCGTCGGGCTGACGCTTGGACGAGACATCGCCGCTGTGTAGCGCGGCGGGGGACCCCCACGTTCAGCATCCCCGACGCGACGCTCCGCAAACTGGGCAGCGCCTGCCCATCTAGACCTGCCAGTGGCGCGTGCCACGGTGAACGTCGGCACCGCTCTCCCGGTGCTACACGACGGAGTAGAGGTGACAGACGGGGGGTGGAAGGGCGATGCGACCTCTTCGGAGTACAACCGCTGCGGCGGCCGTTGCTGCTGCGGGAGTGGCGGAGGCGGTGGCGGCTGCTCGTAGCAGCGCGTGTTTGTCTGCATTGTGGCGGGCGTGTGGTCGCCCGGGCGCGCCGTGGCGGGCAGCGACGGCGCGTGCATGGACGTCAGCATCGCCGCGATGGACTGCAGCGGCGAGGAAAGGGTGTGAAGCTGCGCAGCGCCCTCGACGACTTGAGCGGGCTGTCCGGCCATTTGCTGCGCCGGTGTGTGCTGCGCCTCGCGTGTCCGCGCCCACTCCACTCGTAGGCTGACACACTGCCGCAGCAGCTGCGCGAACTGCACCGGGTCGTCGCGCAGCGCCAGGTAATCGTTGTACGCCACGGGCACCCACTGCGTGTAGGAGCGCGGATACGTGCTCTCCGCTGTATGAGGTTGGGGCTGGCTTTGGGAAGGTGCGGCGTAGGCACGGCCACAGGAGCAGCAGGTGCCGCCGTGGCTGCCCACCGCACCCAGCATCGCAGCGCAGCCGGAGGTCTGGACCGTTTCCTTCATGGTGCGGATGCCTCTGAACCACTCCAGCGCCGCACTCGCGGAGTCTACGCCGTCGTACTCCGCGAAGCCAACATCGCGGCCGTTGGAGCGCTTCACGCGCACCTTCACACGGCCCTGCGGTGGCACGTAGGGGCACAGCTGATACTGGTTTTCGATGGAGGACGGCAGACCGTCGATGAAGAGCGTCGTCGCGGGCTTGTCGGCGGCCGCCACGGCAGAGAGCGGCGTCATGTTAGAGCTGGGCGACCCAGCAACGACCTCCGTCCTGTCACCAGCGTAGAAGTTGTAGGGGTGCCCCAACGCAGAGATCGGATCGCTGTAGGACGCCGCCAGACCGGAGGAGCCGCCGCAGGGGTTGAAGCTGCCGGCTGTGTCACCCGGCTGCCATGGCGGCCGGCTCGCCGGGGTGAGCGGGGACCTTCGATTGGAGGAGGTTGGCGCGGAGTGCGGCATCGCCCCCGGCAGAGACAGCGATTCGCGCTGTGCGTCGAAGTGAAGATGCGGCGATGACACGTTGCTGGAGAGGACGGGGCTGCGTAGGGTGGTGGCGGTGGTGGTGCTGGAGAGCGGCGAGGCATGAGGCAATCCGTCGGCGTTGCCGCCGCTGCTCACATCGCGCGAGACGAGAACGCGGTTGCCGCTGCTGAAGGAAGGTGGAGAGGTGGGGACGGTGCCGCTGGAGAGGGGTGAGTAAGGAGCGGGGCAAACAATTGGCGACGCGAGGGGCCGCTGTGGTACCTCCTGTTGCTGTTGCTGCTGCTGCTGTTGCTGGAGCGCTGCGCGGCGTTCGACTGCGGAAGGCGACGGCTGCGACGAAAACTGCTGGTACGGGTTGTGTTTGAAGCTGCTCATGGTGTTGTGTGGTGGGGCCATCCCACACGGCGATACACACACACACACACAGAGCGAAATGAAAAAGAAAGAAGGGAGAGACTTAATTTTTCCTTTGTTGTTTCCTTCTTCTCCGTTGCCTTTTGATTGCTTCCTGCGTGTCTTTGAGCGCGCGTCTCGGTGCGTTTCAATGGGGGGCGCGGTAGGAAACGCCCGAGAATTGTGTTCTTACTCCCTTTTGAGTTCGAAAGATAATAAAAAGAAAAGATAAGATAAAGAGCAGCTCTCACCTCAACACGTCAGAGACAAAAACAATCACGTTTCCGCTCCTTTACAGATTGTTTTCTGTATAAACTTATAAAGGTGTAACGCGCGTGCTTCCGTGACGCTCTTGCAGGGGGGAAGAAAAGAAGAAGAAAAAATCTACACTGAAGAGAAAAGAAAATCTGCTGCCAATGATCCAAAAAGAAGAAGAAAAAGAAACAAATTGAAAAAGACACTGTGCGGTATAAAAGTGCCTCTTGCTGGATTGATGAAGTTACGGAAATGGCAAAGAAGAGTATAATGGGTGTTGTTGTTGTTTTGGCTCTTTCACACCGCCCAATATGTATATATATATATAAAGATATATATAACTATATTTAACAAGTAAGTTCAACGTCGGAAGAAGAGAATGTTCTGTCTTTCCACTGATCGCAATAACAAAAACAACCTCAACCTTTTTGGTGCAAGTAAGGTACGGATTGAAGCAAGAAAGGTAATGATATATTTTCGGTACCTGCTCCTTCCTTGGTAATGATGATGTTGTTGCGGTGTGCGTTTGCAGGCGTCGGCGATCAGACAAAAACCTCTCTCCTTCTTTTCTGCTGTTGTGGCTGTTGTTGTTGGAACGTCAAACTTGTGTAGCGGCGGCGGATAGGAAAAGAGGCCAAATTACCCGTAGTGGACCTCCCCTTTACAGTTAAAGGTGTGTGGCAACTCCTCGTCGTCTCCCAAGCAATGTGCAAATGAAGAAACAGAACGGAAGTGCGCGCAGGTGTAGAAAAAAACAAGAAAAGAAAAGACAGGAGAAATAAGAAAACAAAAAGTGTTTTTCCTTAAATCCGTACGTTGCACGCGTGTGTCCAAGTTACCTGAAATGCCAAGAGTGCTGGAAGACGTGGAGACAAAAAAAAAAGAAGATGCGTGAAAACAAAAGAAAAAAAACAAAAAATGAGGACAATAAGATATAATATATACAGATAAATACAACTATAAATAGATAGATATATTTACGTACATATATATATCGGTCAACAAGATGATCCCGCACGACAGAGAACAGAAGAAGAAGAAAAACAATAAAACTTTTAAGTACTTTACAAATCTGTGAAGAAAAAAAAAGGATGTGACAATTCAAAAACGGAAGAGAAGAAGAGTTTTGTTTTGGTCCTGCTTTCAGAGCACCTCGGTTTAAAGTAAAATCGTTTCTGATTGGGGAGGAGGAAGAGGAGGAGGAGGGTGTGGTGTGAGGAAGACGAAAGAAAGAAAAAGGAGTCGAATTGAAGAAAAGAAGAAGAAAATCTGTGAGGATACAAGAAAAGGTAAGAAAAAAAAAGGGATAACAATAATAAATAAATAAATCAATTAAAGAACGACAAAATCTCTTCTTGCACGTACGCACGCTCGGACATCCAATTTCTATTGTTCTGATTTGCTGCTCTTTTCTTTTTTCAACTAAGCAACAGGTAAGTCAGCGCGCTCCTGGACGTTCCGTACTTCGGGAGTTCAACACCGCCGCAGCGAGAGCTGCAGTGCGTGTGTGTTGAAATCAGCAGGAATTTAAAATAACGAGGAAAAAGCTTATGCTTCAGGTAATAAATCTACCAGAAGAAGAGCCGAAAAAAAAAAAGGAGAGAAAGAACACACGAAAATAAAAGACACAAGTATGATTATTTATGTGTTGCTGGACTGTGCGATGACAGTCTTGACTGCGTGGTAACGGAATGTCGCTCGCAACTTTTTACTTTGTGTCGGCACTTCCGCCTGCGGTGTAGAGAGACAGAGAGAGAGAGAGAGAGAGAGAAACACAGGAATAATTAAAAAAAACCGAATGCAACGTGGCCAATCGTTTTTTGTTTCTCTCCTGAACGCACCCTCCTTGAGGAAATAGAAAGCACAAGGGTTGATCCACGTGAAACAAACAAAATAGATATATATATATATATATATATATATACTACATAAAAAGAAAAGAAAAGAAATATACTCTTAAGGCGGATGGAGAAAACAAAAAAAAAGGAGAAAAACAGAATGGAAGAAAAGCACAGCGAGTTTGAAATAAGAACCAAAAACGGCACTATCAGTTTTTTTCAGTGCCTTTTTTTTTAATTATTCTAAAGAGCAAACTCGGGGTTTACGGCTTTCTTCTGGAGCTTTTCTCTTTTTCTTCTTCTTGAGTGGCCCTCCGTCCGCTTTGGCGTTCTTCTCCCCTCCGTAAGAAGCTTCCGCTGATCAGGATTGCTGTGTTGGGCCTGCAACTCAACCGTTTGTTATTATTGTGCTTTTGAAGACCGCCCCACGGTGCGCAAGTTAGACAATAATAAAAGTAGTAAGAGTAATAATAAAAGTAATAGTAATTGAAAACGAAGCAACAGCAAGCAAAATAGAAAAAAGAGAATGTGCTAAGAGAGCAGGAGATTCAAAAACGGCAGTTTTCTTTTCTTTTTTTTTGGTAACACCACTCACCGTGTGCGAATCGTGGGGACGCACTGCAATTCAATGCCCTGAGAGATCGTCGGAAGAGTTTCAAAAAGAAAAAAGAACGTGGGCAGAGAAAAAAAAAGGTACTGTGGCTGCAGTTGCTTCCTTCGGGAAAGTCTTATCGCAGCGAGAACGAAAAGATAAATCGGTACAATATACAAAGAAGAAACAATGTGAAGAAGAAAGGAAACCAACACAGAAAAGCACGGAGAAATTCGAAAGAGGGAAGACTGAACTACACAGATATATTCTGTTTTTTTTCTGTAGGTGATGCTTGTCGTTTGTGCAGCGGACTCCTCGAAACGGTTATCGTCCACCTGACGTCCTGAAAGGATAAGAATAGAAGAAACAGTTTCTTTTTTCTTTTCTTCTTCTACAGACACCGACAAAAGCGAGGAGTCAACAAGTCGGTGGATCCGATGCGCGAACTACACACACACACACACAATTCGCAAACAATATCTGACACACGTAACACAATTGCAGAATAAAATAAATAAATAAAGAGGAAAAGTAAACGGAAGAGAAAAACACAACCAAAAAAGAAAGAGAAAGAGAAAGAACAGCTGTATTCATACGCTGAGTTAGGACAGAGAGAGAGGGAAAAAGAAAGAAAAGAAAACGTTTTGACTCAACGTGTCGGTAGAAAATGTGTTGCATACATATACTTGTTATATATGTGTGTGTGTTTTTCTCTTTTGCTATTTAATTTTTTTTTTTGAAAAGGCAGGAACGTATGCGGTTTAACAACTCGCTGTTAAATGGTCCTCTCTTCTTCTTTTCTTTCTTTTCTTTTAATAGATAAAAAGCAGTAAACCAGAAAACGCACGAGATCCCTTTTTTTTGCCGTTGTGGTGGTGCAGACTTGCTCCTCCTATTAAAGAAATGAAAACAAAAATATGGAAATTAGTAGGTGTCTTTATTTGTTTGCTTCCTTTGCAGAAAAAAAAACAGGGAAATCTTTCCTCCCACACACAATTCCGTGCCTTCCACGGAGCTTGAAAGTATAGAGCAGAGGGAAGAGTAACGGAGCGAGAAGGATTCAGAGGTAGTGTAACAGTTTCTTTTTTCCTTTTGACGCGAAGGAGGAGAGAAGAGAGATACAAATCAATTCAATAGTTGATCAGGATGGAGTTTAGAAAACCACGACAAGTGAACGGGAGAAGGAGAAGCAAGAAGAAAAAAAAGGTTGCGAAGAACACGGCCCACCAAGAGAGAGAAAAGTTGGTTATTCTTCTTTTTTTTAAAGAAAAAAGAAGAGAAGAGGTACCTTTGAGTACAATCAGAACAAAGGTTTTTTTCTTTTTTGAAGAGAGAGAATGCGCGTGGAGGGACGAAATAAGTTCGGCGTAAGAGGCAAGGGGTTTTAAAAAAAAAGGGACAGAGGGGTGTTTGTGGTACGCTTAGACACACACAAACACGCACACCTTATTTAAATGTTGAAGTTATTCTCTCTCAACAGCCTTTCAATTTGCGCAGCTCGTGATCTTCGAAAACAGTATTTTTTTTAAGGTGTTGTTTTTTTTTAACACTTCTACTGAATTTTTCCTCTTTTCTTTTCTTACCGCCGCTATCACGTTTTGCTCGGGCCCAACTTAACAGCTGTTTGTGAGGGGAATACGCCTCTTATCTTCTTATTTTTGTTTGTTTTCCAATCAATCCACTTTGCGCTCGTTGCTTTCCCCTCTCCTTGTCTGCCAGTTGTTACACCAGGACCGCGAACGTGCAACCGCAGCTGATTGCGTATACCCTTTCAGCCGTCCTGTCTTCTTCTCTTCTGTTTTGCTGTTGCGGTTTCGGCTGCAATGAATGTGGAACGATCTCTTCGGACCTATCTCCTCTTCTAATCCCCTCTCTCTCTCTCCCTGCCTTCCTAGCACACGCGCACACCTCACGTAGCAACGCTAGAAGGAAACAAGGAGAGCCCCTCTTTCTTTTCTTTCTTTTAAAACAAGTAGAAAGAAAACACACAGAGAGAGAGAGAAAAAAAAATCTTCAAATGAAATGAGAAAGAAAAGAAAAAAGAAACTCGAACGTACAAAGGCGCTACCACGCGTGCCCGTACTGGATAAAAGAGAAGAGAGAGAAACCGAAATCAACAGTTGCTGCTGTTGTGCTGCTGTGAACAACACGAAGTGGGGCCCGACCGAAGAAAAGCAACAAATGGAGAAGATGAAGATGAAGATGAAAAACGCAAAAGAGAGAAAACACACACACACACACAGACACACACACGGAGAGAAACAACAGTAAAAAACAGTAAAAATGAAGAAAGCGAAGGGAAGGGGGACCCACCAGCCCTGGCGATGCCAAGAGTGCGTGCAAGAAGAAGAACAAGAAAAAAAAAAGCAAATACCAAAGGGAGAGAAAGAGATGGGTGCTCCGTTGAGCGCAACACACACTCACACTCACACTCACACTCACACTCACACACACAAAAACCAAGAAAAGAAAAAAATGGTGTGGGACTGAAGGGGCGTTTATCTTCTTTCCTCTTTTTTGAGATATATATATATATTTGTTGAGGGGGAGTAGATACAAAACCTGCTTTCTTTGGAGTAGTCGTGGAGAAACGCAGTGGTCTGTGGGTCCGCGTAAAAGGCCAATTATCGTCGCGAATCGAAAACCGAAGCGCACGTGTTTGAGATGGCGATGGGCGTGTGCGTGTGTGTGCAGATGAGCGGTGATGTCGCCCAGCAAAGAGACAAATGAGAAGGAGGGAAAAAGAAAGAGGCAAGACGCGCGTGAACACAGTGTGGAAGTGAAGAAGGGGGAGAGAAAGAAAACAATAATAAAGGAGGAGCAGCACCGCATGTGATCCGAACGTGAGCTCCTCACGACGTCGACGTGGGAAAGCCAGCGTTGACGCAGGTGGCGCCGCCGAGCAGCACTGCACGTTCGCAGGCAGTAACAAAGGGGGTGCGGACCGGCTTATTGGGAGCACTGTGCTGTGTGCACTCCATCGAAGAAAAGTGGTCACTGTAAACCTCAACCCCTCGATTCCTCCTCAAAGCACTGAAGGTTAGAGTGAGTTCCATCAAAGGAGGAAGAACCACGCTTCTTTGCCTTGCCGAAAGAGGGCAGTGAAAAGCCGCCCTTTTTTTAAAGAATACTGCTGCTACCGTTACTGCTTTGTTTTTCCTTTGTTGCTGTTGTTTAAGTTGTTTGTACCGTTACGCCGCGCGCACGCATTCATTGCCACTACCTACACGCTGAAACTCCCACCACTGCATTCGCCTACGAACGACGCCTCTTCTCAAACCGCGTTTGTTGTTGTCGGGGTTCTGCTTCGTCTGAGGAATCGTTTCCAATTCAAAAGAAAAGCCGACCCGTAGAAGGCTATGCTACACGTACTCTCTCTCTCGCTCGCTCCTTCCTTCTGCACGCGGGTCCAAACGCGAAGTGTGAGCTGGCGGAGGAAACGCACGCAGGCCACGCAGAGATGTCGGTCACTGCGACTACTACAAAATCCGCTAAAGTGATCAAATATATATCTTTTTCTTTTCTCAAACCAAGAAGATCGAATCAACAAAGAAGAAGACGAAAGGGAAAAAAAAAGAGGGAGAAAACGCACAGGCGGTGTCCCTCCCCGCCGCCCGCCGCCCAGGGTGGAAATCAAAACGACGGGCCGCGCAGCCGTCCTCCCGTTGCACACCCTTGGGGCTCGCTGCAATGGCTGTTGTTGTGTGTGTATGTGCGTGTGCATCATTCTGTGTAAGTGAGAGCGTCATCGGCGGCGTGGCGCGTTGCTGAAGTCGATTCATCTCTTTCTTTTTTGTTGTTGCTGTTGATCTTCTGTTGACTGTCTCCTGTTGTCTTCAGGCATCGTCGGTGGTGTACGTCGGGGCTGCAGCCTGCTCTCAGATGGCATCCACAACGTTTCGAGGGTCCTTCTGCGCCGCCGCCTCAATCCTTGCCGCCTCCGCCTTCAAGCCTAAGGACTTCAGCTCCTCCGCGAGGGCCGTGGCGACGGACTTGTAGCTGTGCCCGCCGTGAATCTTGCCGCCGGCGTCGGTGTAGTAGGTCGTGTGCACGCCGCCCACCTCCCCCGCGTAGGCGAACTGCACCTTCTCGCACACCGGGTCGTCGTTCACCATCACCACGCCGTGCTTCTCGGGAAACATGACGAGGTCGTTCGAGGCCTGCGCCGTCGTCGTGACCTCCACCGAGAGCCCCGCGCCCTCGATCACCTTCGCGGCCGACTCACGGAAGAGCGCGTTCAGCCGCGTGTACTTCGACGCGGGTTTCATGACGAGCGTCACGCGTGTCGCCTTCAGCGCCTTCGCCTTCTCCACCGCCACCTTCGCCGCCTTCTTTATATTCTCCTCCGCCTTCGCGACCTCCGCGTCGCAGGCGATGCCCGAGGCGGGGTAGACGTCGAGGATATCACGCACCTGCATAGTGTCGGGCGCGCCGCGGGGTAAGATGGCGCGGACCACGACGGTCTGCACGCCGGCGTAGAGGCCAATGGTGGCGCTAGTGGGTTCCGCGACGCACGCGTAGACCCCCGGCGGCGCTGCCGTGCCGACGACGACGGCGTTCGCGGTGGCCGCGGCGGTTTGGGTTACCTTCACGGCACCGCCTGTGGCCTTCGACACGATGGCCGAGGCCGCCTGCAGGAGCGCGGCGGGGGCCGCGACGGCGATGACGGAGATAGACTTGGACATGCTCTTCTTCTTCCCTCTTTATCGCTGTGTGTGTTTCTTTTCCCCCTTCTTGGTTGACAAGACGGTACGAGCGACGGCGGAGCGTATACGACGATCAGCAGAATGAAACTGTTCGTGTAGAGGCGCAGATTACATTTTGGGGGAGATTGTGGTGGTTGTTGCGAGAACACAAAAAGATACAAAAAATGCGTCGATGTGCAAGAGAGAGATGACATGAAGAAGGGCGTGAGTAAACAACCAGGGGAAACCGAACGAGGTAAACGCGTGAAAGGAGTGCGCGATATTTAACTATATAGTTAAACGTCAGAGAGAGCATCCGTGCAACACTGTGATTGTGGTGGCTGAAACGATCTTTTCCACTCTCCCTCTCGGATTGTTGGCGCAGTGGGGCGTGTCGCACGGGAAGAGCCCAGCGAAGACCAATCACCGTGTAGCGCTATTATTGCTGCTGCTGCTGCTGCTGTGGCAATGGTGCAGACCTTCTCACTCCATCCTTCATCTGCTATTTTTGTTTATCTGTTTGTTTGGTTGCTTTTTAAGTCAACGTTGAGTATAAGACGTATAGAGTTTTCTTTTTCTCTCGTTACTGTTATTCCTCTTACTTGAAACGCGCAGAGAGCTGACGATGTCGGAGGCACGACACGACGAAGACAGGAAGCGAGATGGAAAGGCAGGCAGACTGCGCCTCCACATCCTTCTTTAGAAGGCCGCGAACAAAAGTGTGGGGCGAGCTTCTTTAGAAATAAATTTTTATTACTACTACTAATAATAATAATAGTGATTCAACGAAGGGAAAAGAAGAAACTACCGAAATGTCACGTGTATAAAGATAACATTCGCATAATAATAAAAATTGAGTGGAAAACCCAAAAAAGTTAGACGAAAGAGAAAGGTTTCGTCTTCTGCGGTTTCGTTGGTGCGAGGCGTCACGCAGCAAATATCGCCTTTTTGCGTAAACAACGCTTCTGTCATCCATTCGAAAGGAGTGGCACATCGACACACAACGGCAAAAGAAAAGGGAGAAAAAACACAAGCGCTGACAATTCAGAAGTATGAGGAAAAGAAAGGAAACGACCACACATGTGGCTTTTGAATTTCTTTTGTTGTTGATGTTGCGGTTGGCGCTGCGTGTTCGCTTGGTTCTCGTTTTACCGCAAACCCGCAGACGAGGGCGATGCAGCGCGACTCCTCAGCGTAGCCCCCGTCGACCGTCTCCACAACTCCTCAAACTCAAACCAGTCCCACAACTCCAGCAACGCAAAGACGGACGGGCACAGCAGCAGCGTGTAGGACGGAAAGGCAATGCCCGAGGCTTTCCGCAAAAGCCCTGCAAAGAGCACCGCCCCGTCACACAGCACACAGTTGAACTGCATTTCGTAGTACGTGATGAGCGGGGAAACCTGATACACGTTCACAATCCCTGGGTAGTCGTTGTTGCGGCGAATCACGAAGTCTTCTTCACCGTGGGACAGCGGCAAGAGTTCAGTTTGGCTGGGCGTCGTGCCCTGCTGTTGGTGTTGCTGCTGCGGTCGCACTGACGCCGGCAGCCCCACGCCGCCGGTGCCGCTGCCGCTCGACTCTGGCTCCACGGCATCCAACACCGTATGAATTCCACGCAGCCTTCGCGTTGTCGTCGTCGTCGCGTTGTTGCCACAGTAGTTGTAGTTGGTCGAGCTATCTTGCGGACTGGAGGTGGACAGCGGGTGGTGCGCGGGGAAAGCAGTGGAGGCGGCGGACCATACACGCCGCGGCTGCTGTGAGGGATGAGGCGATGAGTCCTTTGAGGCGATGAGGACATTAGTGGATGCGGAGGCCGCCGGCTCCGACGCCTCCACCACAACGTTCGCTAACACCGGCGTCGCACCGGCCGAGACGGGGCCCCCTGCGGGACTCACCGGACTACCAACGTGCCACAGCGCCGGCGGCGAGATCGGTGTGTCATGTTCGCTGCTCGCCTGCCGGGCCGGTGTCGTCGTACCGAGGTTGAACACGCCGTGTTCGTGTTGCGGTTGCGGACCGCGTTGACCGACGTCGTGGGTACGCGAGCGTGCGTGGTACGGGGGCGACATGTCTGACACCAGGGAGCATCGTCCAATGGGCGGCGACGGCGAGTTGCTGAGTTGTGAGGTCTGCCGATGCGCCGACGGTGGGCGTAGCAGCAGTGACGCCGCGACGTTGTCCGCCACCGCCGCCACGCCGCTCTCACGAAGAGGTGCCGCGGCGATGTTGCTGACGATGGACGCAGCGCTGGAATTCGTCGTGGTGGTGGTCGCGGCGAAAGCACACGAGTTGCTGCTGCTGCCGCTGCCGCCTGCGCCGTCGCCGCGTCGGTGCTCGCGGTGGATCGACACCGCCGTCGGCGGCGGCGCGATGAGGATCCCCACGGCCGATGAGGCGGAGGACGCCGCAATTGCCGCGCTCTCGACCGTGTAGTTCCCCGTCGACAGCGTCTCCCGACCTGCGGCACTCAAGGGACTCTCCGGTGGCGTCGTCGATGCCCCGCCCAGCCCCACCGCTCGTCCGTTCGTACAGGGAAGGCCGGCAGGGCATGCTGTATTCACAACAGCAGCTGCAGCCTCCCCCGGTGACGCAGTAGCTAGTTCTGCTGCTGATCGTGGTGGTGGTGGGGGGGGCTGAGACGCAGACGGTGGGTGGAAGCTGACGCTCACGTCACCGGTGGTCGCCGTGTTGCTCGCGTCGATCACCACAATTGAGACCGAGGTCGAGGCGGTGCTGGCAGCGCCCCACCGCATGCGACGGCCTGCCACTGGAGCGGGGGCGGAGGCAGCGTCAAACGGCGAAGTAGGACGGTCTGCATGGTTGGCGGAGGCCGTCGCAGGGGCCAAACTCGAGCAGGAGACCCAACCACCACCACCGCTGCCGCTGCCGCTTTGATGGTCGCTGACAGATCGCGCCGGTGCACGCAACACCTGCGCCGAATCCGGCGCACTGCTCCGCACAAGTCCGTTGCTGCCGCTGCCCTCCAGCGCCGCATCGCCCTGGTCCACTTCGGCTGCACCGCGCATCACCTCCAACAGGCCGAGCTCCGTAAAGGTCGTGAAGAGGTCGACGCGTGGGTGCGCCAGGGCGTTGGGCGGCTGCTCGACACTCGCACCCACCTCGCGCAGGACGTCGTTGATGACGGCCAGCTTCTCCATCGTGTTCAGCACTGCCGCGTCTTTGGGGCTGCGGCGCGGAGGCGGCATCGCTGACAACTCGTGCCGGTTCTCGGGGGCTGCCAGGACGATAATCGGCTTATTTGTCCACGCGATGAGCCGCCCAATCCCGATGGCGTGCGTCGAGAAGTCAAGCAGCACGTTGCCGTCTCGCATGTGCCGCAGCGAGTAGGTGAGGTCCTGATTCGCCGCCGTGGCGGCCTCGGCGACGAGGAGCATAAAAAGCTCATCGCGGTGGGCGCTGACCGCAGGGGAGGCCAGCGAGAGAGCAGCGCCACTCATGTCCGCGCCCATGGCACGCGCAGCCACCACCGACGACGTCGAAGGCACCGCCGCCACCGCTGCGTCGGCCCACAACTCACCGTTTACGGGGGAGTACACCGGCAGGCGCACGCTCGCGAGCGAGAAGGACACGCCGCGGGCACGCCACAGCCCCAGAAGCTCGTGCGGCATGCGCTTGTTAAAGAAATTGCTGTTCTCGGGGCCGCCGGCGGGGAGGTACTCCTTGTGAATCTTTACGCCGTTGAAGTCAGCAAAACGGGCTAGCACCATGTCCAGCCGCAGCAGATCCAGCGGGTGGCCGCACACGACGGCAGACCGGCTGCTGATGACGCGGCTAACTTCGATGACGGAGTGCGGCTGGAACGCGACGTGTTGCGTGGAGGAGAGCGTGGGAGAGCCGCCAGGAGACACACCGGACTGCCCGACAGCGCTGCTGCTGACGGTCGCGCTGTTGTCCCCGCCGGGGGTTTTCATGGGCACGAAGACGTCGTAGCCCTCGTTTACCCGCGCCACCAAACGACGCAGCGTGCTGATGGGGATGTTCACCACGAGCAGTGTGAAGCCCCCGCTCGCCGTCAGTCGTGTCTCAGACTCGAACATTTGATGTCGCTTGCGCATGAGCACGCCGGTGTAAAACGCAGCTTGGTACATGCACGCCGTAGAGCGAATGAAGTCTACCTCGCCGTCTGCCATGGCCACCGCCAGTGCGGCAAACAGCCCTTTGCCGGAGGAGACGATCCCCCCGGTGCGCAGCGCCGCCGTCAGCGCCGCAAAGCCGTGCTCGGAAGCCGTTACGTGAAAGCAGCAGGCGAGGTACAGCATGTGCAGCGGCCACGAGTTCACGGCGTCGCTGAAGAACTCCACTCCGACCCTCACCAACTCCGACGGGTTGCGAAAGAGAAACATTAAGATGCGGTGCCACCGCAGAAACTCACGATCGTGGTGCACATCCCCACTCACGCCTCCGCCACCGCCGATGCTGCTGCTGCAGGTGCTACCGCGCGTCGTGCGGTGCAGCTGCAGCGTCAGGCGGGAAAGGAAATCGTCCACGACGGCGGTGTGCTCGCGATGCAGCTCCACGAGCTCCGAAAAGCGGGAAAGGCGCTCCAACGCGCCAAACAACGCAAACGTGGGCGGCAGCGGCGGCAGGGGAAGCGATCGTGGAGGTGGTGGAGGAGGAGCGGAGAACCCGTTCCCTGTGCCGCCCCGCCGACCCACCAACGAAGCCGCGGCGGCGGCGCTCTGCACGCGTTGGTGGTGCAGCGGCGGCGGTGACGTCGGGGAGGCGCCACCGGCGTTGATGCTCGAAAGCGAGCGCGCGGAGGCGGCCAGGAACACGTCTTTCAGGGAGGAGAGCACGCGCTGGTGCGGTGCACGCTGCGACGATGGTGCCGCCGCGGCTGCAGCTGCTGCTGCTGCTGCCTCCGGTTGTCGCGCCGCGCTGCTTTCGCCGCTTTCTCTGTGCGGCGTAAAGGATGAGGTGAGGGGGCCGGTGGCGGACAAGGGGCGGCCGCTTGCGGTGTCCGCGTTGCTGCTCCGCCTCACGTCGCTGGAAAACGCTTCTGGTGCTGCAACGGTGGAGGAGGAGTTCCGTCTGCCCGATTGTTGCGGCTGTTGCGGCTGCTGCAGCGGCTTTCGTGGGGTCCATGAGGTGGGCATCCCGGTGTTGCCGGGGGAGCGCAATCGCGCTGCGTGCGGCGGCGACGGAACGGGCGTTCCCGCCGTGGCACTCGCAACGGACCGCCCTTCCGCACCGCCGGGGCTCGACACTCGAGGGCTCGCGTTATTGCCGCCGCTCCGACTGTGCCGATTGCCGGCGGTGACGTTGTAAGCCGCCAAGTTGCTTCGACTGCCTCCCCAAAAGCCCTGCGGAGACGGCCGACGCGCGTTGCGGCTGTTGTGGTCGGACTGACTGGCCAGCGTCGCACCGGTGTCGCACGACATGGTGTATCCGTGATGGCCGGTCGTCCGGTAGGGCTGCGGCGGCGAAGAAGGAGAAGGAGCGGCAGCATGGATGTTCGGGTGCAGACCCGCTCCCGCGAGCAGGGCCGAGATGGGATTGCTTGCCTGGTACGCACCTGCACTGCCCCCTGCTACACCGCGAGCAACACCGCCAACACCGCGTGCCCGCGCGTTGCCACCAACTCCACCGCTGCCGCCCAGCACGCCAGACGTGAGGTCTACGTCAGAGAGAGGCGACCGCAACGAGCTCTCGTTTTCCTGCGGCGCTCCAAGGTCGTCCCGCGTTGGGCAACGCAGCAGCCCGCTCACTACCCGCACGACGTGGCCGTCGCCGCCGAGCGCATCCGGTCTGCCCCACCGCACACGTCCGTCACCGGCGCTGTACTTGCCAGCCATGGGCACGACGGCCACATCACCGCTGTCGGTGTCATCAGCGAAAGAAGACGGCGGCGGCGGCTGTGACGGTGTTGGAGCGGCGGCAGCGGCAGAGCTCGAAGGGCAAGGGTGGGTGGTGGGTGCATCCCGAGAGCTGCGCACGCCTTCGAAAAAACCAACCGCGTTGGCGTCTTTGGTTTGGTCCGTGGAGGGGCTTTTGCTGACACTGCGGCGGTGGTGGCCGATGGCGGCGTCGATGGCGGCCTCCGAGGTGGCGGCCACGCGAGACGAAATCGGAGAAGACCCTCTTGGGAAACTCGACATCGTTGTGCGGGCGCCAGAGACTGCATTCAATGGCACGGCATCGACTTCCTTACTCGCCGCAGCAGCGGTCGTCGCCGCCGCCGTTGCGCTCGGCACCACCTCGTAGTAGCTCATCACATTCGTGTTCAAGTAAACGTGGGAGTCGACGTTGCGGCCAACGCTCGTGCTGAAATTTCGACTCCGTGCGCGGTACGGGTGGCCAGACGCGGAAAGGGCCGCGACGTGGGTGACACCACTGTTTGGCGCTCTGCTTGACGCGCTCGTGGCAGCCAGCGAGTGCTGCGCGGTGCTCTCGACCGAAGTGACGGCGGACGGCTGAAAAGCGGAGAAGGACGCACCGCTGTGCCCGACGTCCGCCGATGTCCGTACACCGTCGTTGACGTGCTGGGGACGCGGTACACGGAAGCCCTCGCTGTCGTGCTGCCGCAGTGACGCAGGGAGGGAAGAGAAGTTGCGGACGCCGCCATCTCGAGAGGTGCTTCGGTTGCCTGGGCGTGTGGTGGCCATTGAGGTTGACGTCGTGCCGGCGGATACGTAGGACGATGCCACGGTTGCGGCGGAGGGTGAGGGCAACAGCCGGACAAGACGAGGGGCCTGCGTTGCCTCTTCGGACGTCAGGGCCCCTGCTCGAACCTCCGCCGTTACTCCACGCGACGTCCACGCGCCTTCGACGGTGGCGGTGGCGGTAGTGATGCCCTTTGCGCCGTTGCGACTGTTCATGCGATTATACTCCACCTCAGCCGCCATCGCCGCGGCGGACGTGTCGCGTATGAGCTGACTGCTCATGGCAGCTGTGGGAGAAGGGTAGGGCAACGGGCGCGGACGTCGCTGCGGCGGCGGCGGCGTTGGTAGCGGTTGGTGCCGCTGCTGCAAGACAGAGTCGCTCACGGGGTCCCCCTTCACGTCGTCGTCACCGCCAGCCGCCGCGCCGTCTTCCTCACTTACCGAAGCGACAGTATTTCCGCGTGCCAGCGGCGCACTCGGCATTAGTAGAGACTCAGTCCGTCGTACCGGCGTGGCGTACTCCATCAAGTTCCCCGAGTCGGCCATCATCGTCGTGAGCTCCGCCTTCGGTAGCGGTGCCAGCAGCGACGGGGAGGAAGGTGTCGGGCAGACGGCGGAGGGTGCAAAGCCGGGGGCAAAGACGCTCGAAAAGGCAGGCGGCTGCGCCATCGCCGGTGCGCGATCGTGGGACGTCGCGACAGAGGCGACGGAGGCAGTGCTGTCGGGGTGGGAGGACGACGGCGGCGTCGGGAGAGGTCGGGTGGACGGCGGGATCGGCTGCGGTGCGGCTCCCCTGCGCATAGCGCCGTCTATTCTATCAATATACGTGTGCTTGTGTAGAAGAAGGAGCGGATTGATCTTACAAAACACAAAATGGGTTCGCCCGAAGGACGGCGCAATGACAATGGAAAAGAAACAAAAAGAAAAGAAAAAGATGGACAAGTACACGATAGAATGAAATTAAGAGGAAGGAGAGAGAGAGAGAGAGCAGTGAAACACGCACACACGCGCGCGATGATATTCGTGATAGCAAGGGCAGCTACGCTACATGCATTCATAACCGGAAATCCAGCGAGTACAACGGAGAAGAAAAGGAAAAAAGAAACCGACACCTACAGCTACTTCAGAAAAAAAAAGTTTGACAGTCAACGTAGAAAGCAGTTTAACAAAAACAAAACAGCCACAATAGTATAGAAGAGAGAAGAAAAGAAAAGAGAGAGATACAAGTGCGTTGTTGGGCCGTTACCCACGTGTGTGTTCGCTACAGCTCGCAAACCTCGAGATAAAATCAAAAAGAAAAAGCGCGAAACGAGAAGAAGTGCTACAAAATAGAAAATTGTTTTGCTTCGGTTTTATTATCATCTTTTTTTTTTGTCTGTCAAGGCGTCGTTCCAACGTCGCTTGAGCTGTCTAACGGCGTTCCTTGACGGTTGGGATTTACTGTATGTGCGGCTTGTGCGTACAAACCTTGACGCATAGCTTCTCTTCGTGTTTCCTTCAATGCGAGGAGAAAGCGCCATGTCACGCACCAAAAACACACGTATTCGTAGCGGAAGGATGAGCGCAAACCGCGACGTTGGAGATCCAATGGGTACAACAGGGACGGAGAAAAGAACAGGTAGGTGCGAAGAAAAGGAGCAGAGACGATAACAAGTATTGTTGTAGCCCGCATCGTCGAGAAATAATTGAAGAAAACACAAACCATTTCCTTTTTCTTCTGTCTAGGGCAACTCCAGGCAGCCAGCTCGGTGACCTCAACGGGGTTGCTACATCGTGGAGGGAAAAGCGGCGGTGAAAAGCCGCCGCCAGTCCGCCATTTATTCGCCTTCGTTTTGTTTCTTTTCTACTTTTTTTTCGCTTCTTCGTGCACGCGCCTGACGCGGGTGCGGCGGCGATAACGCCCAGCGCAGAACGGTAGACAGTGGGGACGCATTTGCAAAGATCAATATGGAATGAAGGCAAACAGAAAAAAAAACCCGACCTCTCTCTCTCTCTCTCTCAAGAAAAGAAAAGAAAAAGAGGGGAAGAGGGCTGTTGCTTTGGCTTGACTCAGTTGGCACTTATTTTCCTTTTCTTTTCTTGTCCTTTTTTCTTTGAAGCCGATGTTAGCGCCTCACCCATTAGTTAGTGCCTTTCATTCATAAACGCGGGCCGCCTCAGCGCAGACGCGTGCCCTCCCTGGCACCACCCCGTCCGCACCTTCTCCCTCTTCGGTTTTTCCTGAGGTGGACAGCTTTTTTCGAAGCCCGCGTTGTGCCCCGCGTTAACACGTTTGCCCTTCACGGGTGCACGCGATTGGCACCGCGACGTGCCGCAGCAGCGCATAGAACTCGTAAACAGAAGTGGTTTCTCGCTGCGTCATGTGTGTGTGTGTGTGTGTGTGCTTTTCGTGTTCTCTTCCGTCTCTGCGCCTACCAATATGGAGAAGCCCCCATGTGGAGACGGAGAGCCACTAAACGCACAGGAGAGAAGAAAACGCAGGCGAGTACACAAGTTCAGCGGGAAGAGAGGGAGGGGAGGCCACTTCACCCCTCTGAAACCCCCTCAAAAAAAGAAAACCATTAACACCGTCAACGAAGCTACACCGTACGCCCCCCCCCCCCGACCAACGGGGAAGGGTAGGAAGAGCGATAGAGAACACAGAAGGGACACGCAAAAAGACAGCACTCGTCATGCACAGCTGTACAGCCAACGCACACCCGAGAAGTAAAAGAAGGTGTGCGGGAGAGAATTGGGATGCTTTTCTGCGGCGCTTGAGCGTATCACGAAGAGGGCGAAAACACGCACACACAGAGACCGAAAATCTTTTTAAAAAAGGGGCCGTGCAGCACGTCTGCGGGAAGTGGAAAGCGATGAGCAGACACAAACACGAAAGCCCAAAGAAGAAGAAATGGGCTGTCACATGAATAGTAAATTTTAAACAAAGTACAAAACGAAAAATTCCCACCAGCGAAGGGCAGCCCCCCGTGCCACGCATCCACTTACGACCCCAGCTGCAAACGCAGCCGAATACACGAAAAAAACAAACGGGAAAATCCAAAAAGAGAGAGAAGGCAGGGATAGCCCAATGCGTTGTCGTCCTTCGATTGAAGAAACGGATTTTAGCCACTTTATTCTTCTTCCTTTGGTGGCTTCAACCCCCCCCCCCGACGGTCGCCATCTATGGACATGAGAAGTCATCAAAACAACAAGTAAACACCATCGTGATCCATGTGAGCGAAGTCAATGGCCTCGTAGGCGTACCAGCGAGGCTGCGACGCCTCCGCCCTCCGCCTCTCCCGCACCGCAGAGGCAGCTAACGGAGAAGACGGCGGCGGCGGCGGTGACGGACGCGCCCGATCGCCTGCGATCCACTCCAGGCCAGCCACGTTGAACAGCACCCGATCACACCAGGCGGGCAGGCGGTCGTGACAGAAGTTGTCGCGCGTGGCGGACGCCATCACGTGCGACAGCGGCGCCATCACCGACGTCGCCAACGGTGCCGCCTGCGCTCCGTCTCGCTCCTTCGCCCCCTGTGCATGTTGTTCTTCTTCCTCGTTTTGAGTGGCTGCAGCAGCAGCCACGTCGCCGCGCTGACGGTACGGCACACGGGAGTACGTCGGCGCAAACGTTACTGGCATCTCGCCCAGCTCCATTTTTGTCATCAACGCGACCTCATCCATCAGCCGCTGCGGCTCAGTGTCGTACACCCGGCGAAGCTCCGCCGCGCGCGCCGGGTCCGCGAAGAGGCTCCACAAATGCTCCGGACACCGCAGCTGCTTCTTGCCAGGACGAATGGATATCTTCTCCTTTTCCTCTGCCCAGCCCACAAAGGCCTTGCCGTCCATTCGCACGTTGTAGTCGCCGAATATGAAGAGCGGCTCGGCGAAGTCGATGATGGCGCTGCACTCTCCCATCGCCTCCTGCACAGCGCGAAGACGGCGGCCGGCGTACTTGCTCGGGCTCTGCTCCAACGCCACGCGGTTGTCGTCATCGTTGAACAGATGCACATTGCACACGTTAAACTGCACGGTGCCAACGCGCAGCGACACCATCAGAAAGCCTTTCCGCGACCGGCCAGCCTCCGCGAACTTGCCGCTCAAGAAGAGACGCCCCGCCTCGCCGGCGTAGGTCATCGGGTCATCGACGATGGGGATGTACGTGCGGTGCGGCACGGAGAGGCAGCTCGTGATGCCCATGACGCGGGGGGATAGGAAAATGATGGTGCCAATGGCGGTAAAGAATGCGTCGGTCTCCTCCTCGCTCGCATCCGTCTCCGTGCCGCTCGCGTCGGGGCAGCCCCACGCCGCTGGAGCACCTGTGTGCCCCGTCAGCGCGGTCGGTGAGATATGATGCACTCCAGCTGTGGTGGCGGCCGTCCGCACCCGCGTCGGCTGGCACGCGCTGCTGCTGACGACGGCTCGATCGCTCTCCCGCTCATCCGTCAAAAGCCCGCTGGTCCACCCTGCCTCCGGCAGCAGCATCGAAGCCAGCTGCTCTTTGAAGTACTTGTTGAACTGCCTGTTCTTGTACTTGCCGCCGATCTCCTGGAAGTGGATAACGACCACGTCGACCATCGGCGGGCGGGCTGTGGGGCTGTAGCCTCGCAGGAAGTGCTCCGCGGTCTGCCCCGCAATAGGATTGCGAGAAGAGGAAGTGGCGGTGGCGGTTGTGGTGGAGGCCGTCGCAGCCCCGGCAGAATTCGTCCAACCACCACTCGCGGGTGCGCTCCCCGCCTTCTCCGCCCCGCGCGCCGCGTCGGAGATGTAGGAGATGCGGTGCAGCCACGCCCGTAAGTCCGCCACAAATTCTGCCACCTGCTGCCGCACCGCCGCGGACACGCTGAGCTCCGCCTCGATGTCCTCCGGCACCGCCGCGCACGACGGACTCCCCATGGACGCCACCAGAGAGGGGAAGGCCGAGAAGGCCCCCGGCTGGTCGGACGCCGGCGACAGCCCCGGTGGGCCCTCTGCCAGACCGTTGAAGCCGCCGTACGCCGCCTCAATGCCGCCCATGTTTTGGGTTAACAGGAGAACGCTCGGTTGGCTGTCGCCGTGCAGGGGATCGAAGTCCACGGAGAACTGCAGCGCCGCCGCTGCGGCGACGTTGCTCGTGCGGTGGGGAGATGAGGTGGGCATTGTAGTTTCTTTCCCTTCTATTTATAAATGTATATATTACAACTCTTTGTTTTTCTCTGTTGCGGGTGTTATCGGGGGATGGTGATGGCGGGCGTGGTGGTGGTGATGCTCAGTTCAGAAAGAAAAAACTGTGAAACGAACTCCCCACTTCTGCGTGCGTGTGTGGTGGGATGTGGTCGGGAGGGAGTCATACAGAGCAAGGTAAGCAAAAGGAGAATAAGAGGTCTAGAAAAGAAAAGAAAAAGAGAGCCTACAAAACAGTAAAACAAATGTTGTTGCCCGGATTTTAAAGAAGTAAGAAGAATACGATGGTAGATAAAATGAGAAGATCCTCGAGTGCCGTTTCGTCGTATCGCTGCTGCTGTTGATGTCTTACCTCCAGTAAAGGAAATAATCGCAAACGAGAAATGAAAATGAAAATGGAGCACGAGATTCCACCACACGAAACACAAGAGACAACACAATGTAAGCAACGGCAACGGAAAATGGGGGATGTGCTTCGACCAGGGTGAAGAGGAAGGAGAGGGAAACAAAGCACGAGATAAAAAAAAGATCATGTGACTGTGATGGAGGGGCATTCAATATTTTAACATAAAGAAACACGGCGACCAGAGAAGAAAACCAAAGGAAAAGAGAAAAACAAGAAGAAGAGGAGGGAAACCAAAGTTGATAGATAGATCTCAAAAAAAAAAGGGGAGGCAGCCAAGAAAAACACAAAAAGTGAAGGGGAAAAGTTTCGTTTTCTTCTTCTCTCTTACAGAATGCGTCAACGGTAGCAGGCCGTGAAACGCGAAGCGTAAATACGATGCCCTCGTGTGCAGCACGCACAACGCCACAGAGCTTCGTTCTCCTCATCTGGAAAGGGCGGCGAAGACTCTCTTGCCATTTTTCGACCCCCTCCCTCTTTTTCCGTTTTCCGTCGCATCGAAAAGCTGCTCATGCGGCCGCAAACACAAGAAAAAAAACGGCTCTGAACTGCTCGTCCACAAGGCAGGGGGGAACACATAAAGCTAAGCGAGGTCGCGCTTTCATCCATCTCCTCCACACGTTCTTTGCGTTCGTTTTTCGTTTTTGTTTTTGGGTGGTATTTGGCAGATTAAATCGAAGATTTACCAGTGTGTTCGGTCATAAAGAAAAGATCCGTTTTAAGATAAAAGTAAATCAAACTAAAAAAAAATTAAAAAAAGAAGATGTCAGTTCAAATGCCAGCGAAGGAGAAGAAAACGACGCATAGCTCAACAGACACATAGCCGCGCGCCATAATGAACAGTAAGGGCGGCATCGGACGGCAACACAACGAACGCAGAGGAGACACCTCTCACACAGTCCCCCATTACAATGACGACGACGTGGAAAAGAGGGGGGGGGGAAGACCGCCAAACAAAAAAAAAATACTTGAAAGGTGGGGTTCTTTTGTCATATGTGTGTGAGTGAGTGTCGGTGTGTGTGTGCGTGTATGGCTTCTCCGTATTCGCTTTCCGCACACCGTGCGCTTCGCAACCTTTGTTGTGCATACCAGCCGACTTGTTTTACAGGCAAGCATACGGCTCCCTTGCGCCTTCCATGATATGAACCTGTACGTGGAAAAGCGAAGCGGTGCTCTGTGTCTTACTGACAACTAAAGAAACAACAACCACAATAATAATAATAATAATAATATATAACGTTCGCTGCTCCGCTGAGGAATCACGAAGCAATCGCTTCTACTTTTTCGCCGTTTATTTTCTTTTAAAGGTACATTAACAACTTTTGTCCCGCGAGAGCTTACGAAGTGAAACAACCAGCCTTCTACGGGTAATAGAAATTCTTTTGATTGATGTGGTTATGCTTCACCGTTTTGCCACTGAAGGGTTGACGAACAGACCAAGGAATCTGGCGAAGACCACGCTGACTTTGATTTCAGCAAAAAACAAAAAAATAAACATTACACTCGTTAAAAGAAAAAAAGGAAAAATCGTATTATCATAAAACAATTAAACTTGAAACACTGAAAATGGGGAAAAGGGAAAACAAGACTAGAATCAGCATTCAGAAGAATCATATTGTAGTTGGTCAGCGTACGAACACTCGTGGAACCTCACACGCCACTCGCGCCGCTACCACCCCTCGTGGAGCGAAGTAGCTCGTAGAAACTGACGTTACATACACGAAGAAAAACAGGAAAACAAAAATGACACAACCCCTCAAGAGACGCACACACACACACGCAATACCAAAGGGCGCGACAAAGGAACGTTAATAGAGGACACACTCTGTGCCCCTTTCCTCTTCGGTTCTTCTTATTTCCATTTCCAACCCTAGAAGCCACGGCGCAGGGGTCCACCAGGAGCACCACAGGCATCGAGTGTATCCCCTCCTGGCCACAAACGTTATTTCTCTTCGAGGAAGGAAAAACAAAATAAACTGAAAAGTACTCGGAACGCGCATCACTCTAGCGTTTCAGACAGCAACGGTTTATACTTTCCTACAAATCGGCTGGGACCGCCTATCGATGGCGGGAGCGGGGAGGGTGCACAGCGTCTCTCGTTACAGCGCTTTCACCACACCCCATATCCCCAGCTTACAGCTTGGCCGCAGTGAGAGCCTTGTACCTCTCGGCGTGCTTCTGCTTCTCCACCACGGCGGCGTGAGCAGCGGCCACGATGGCGACCGGCACACGGAAGGGAGAGCACGACACGTAGTTCAGGCCGGAGCGGTGGCAGAACTCGATGGTGCGCGGGTCACCGCCGTGCTCGCCGCAGATCCCCATCTTCAGCATCGGCTTCACCGCGCGGGCCTTGCGGATGGCAATGCGTAACAGCTCACCAACGCCCTCCTGGTCCAGTGACTGGAAGGGGTCGCGAGTGTAGATGCCGAGGTCCTCGTACAGGCGCAGGAACTGGCCGGCGTCATCGCGCGAGAAGCCGCAGCTCATCTGCGTCAGATCGTTCGTGCCGAAGGAGAAGAAGTCTGCCTCCTCGGCGATCCGGTCCGCCGTCAACGCAGCGCGCGGCACCTCAATCATCGTGCCGATCGTGTAGTGCACGCGGCAGCCCTTCCGCTCAAGCACCTGCTCCGCAGTCGTCACGGCGTGCTTCTTCGTGAAGCTCAGTTCAGCCTTCTTGCCAACAAGCGGGATCATGATCTCCGGCTTCACCGGCACTCCGCTCTTCGACACCTCCACGGCAGCCTCGATGATGGCGCGCACCTGCATGTTGTAGATCTCGGGATACGTGATACCCAGACGGCACCCACGCAGACCAAGCATCGGGTTCTGCTCGTGCAATGCCTTCACGCGCTGGCGCACCTTCTCCACAGGCACGCCAAGCTTAGCCGCGAGCTCCTCCTGTGCCACGCGCTCGTGGGGGATGAACTCGTGCAGCGGAGGGTCCAGCAGGCGGATCACCACAGGGCTGCCCTTCATCGCGCGGAACAGACCCTCGAAGTCACCACGCTGGATCGGCAGCACCTTCTTCAGCGCCGCCTCACGCCCCTCCTTCGTGTCCGCGAGAATCATCTCACGCATCGCATCGATGCGGTCGGCCTCGAAGAACATGTGCTCCGTGCGGCACAGACCCACGCCCTCTGCACCGAACTCACGCGCCTTGTCGGCATCCGCCGGCGTATCAGCATTCGCGCGCACGCCCAGACGCTTCAGCTCCTGGCACCACCGCACGAAGATCTTGAAGTCACCCTCCAGGCTCGCGGGCTTCAGCTTCAGCGCACCCTTGTAGATCAGGCCACGCGTACCGTCCAGCGTGATCACGTCACCTTCCTTGATCGTATTTTCGTTCAGCGCGAAGCTGCGGCCGCTGATCACCATATCGCCGCAGCCGGACACACAGCACTTGCCCATGCCCCGAGCAACCACCGCAGCGTGCGACGTCATGCCACCGCGGGCGGTCAGGATACCCTGCGCAGCGTGCATGCCGGCAAGGTCCTCCGGAGACGTCTCCAGACGCACCATGATCACCTGCTTGCCCTGCGCAGCCCACGACTTCGCGGACTCCGCGTCGAACACAACCTGGCCCACAGCGGCACCGGGGGACGCAGCAAGACCCTTGCCGATCGGCTTCGCAGCCTTCGCCGCAGCGGGCTCGATGTTCGGGTGCAGCAGGTGGTCCACCTGTTCCGGGTCCACGCGCAGCACGGCCTCCTCCTTCGAGATCATGCCGGACCGGTGCATGTCGATCGCAATCTTCAGCGCGGCGTGGATCGTGCGCTTGCCGTTGCGGCACTGCAGCATCCACAGGCGGCCGCTCTCAACGGTGAACTCGATGTCCTGCATGTCACGGTAGTGCTCCTCCAGCTTTGCGCGGATGTCGCACAGCAGCTTGTAGTTCTCCGGCATGGACTCCTCCATCGACGGGTAGCGCCTCTGGCGCTCCTCCTCGCTCACGCCGTGCTCCTGCGCCCACTTCAGCGACAGCGCCTTGCCGATCTGCTGCGGCGTGCGAATGCCGGCAACCACGTCCTCGCCCTGCGCGTTCACCAGGTACTCGCCGTAGAAGAAGTTCTCGCCAGTCGACGGGCTGCGCGAGAAGGCCACGCCGGTCGCGGAGCGCTCGTTCACGTTGCCGAACACCATCGCCTGCACGTTCACCGCAGTGCCGATCAGGCCGGTGATGTGGTTCAGGCGGCGGTACATCGTCGCGCGGGGGTTGCCCCAGCTGCGGAACACGGCGCGGATGGCAGCGAACACCTGCTCCCACGGGTCCTGCGGAAACGGCTTGCCGCTCTTCCGCTCGAATAGAATGAGGTACTCGTCCACGAGCTTCTTCAGGTCGTCGGCGCTCAGGTCCGTGTCGAACTGCGTGCCCTTCAGCACCTTCATGTGGCCCAGCGCGTGCTCGAAGTCCTCGCGGCCAACGCGCATCACGATATCCGCGTACATCGTGATGAAGCGGCGGTACGAGTCGTACACGAAGCGCGCCTGCTCCGGCGAGCGCTGCACCCACGCCTCCACGATCTCGCGGTTCAGGCCAAGGTTCAGCACCGTGTCCATCATGCCGGGCATCGACGCGGCAGCACCAGAGCGCACGGAGAACAGCAGCGGATTGTCCACATCACCGAACCGCTTGTGCATTGCCTTCTCCACGCGCGCGACGTTCTCCCGCACCTGCGCCACAACGTCCTCCGGGATCGTCTTGGTCCGCTGGAACTCCGCGCACACCTTCGTCGTGATGGTGAAGCCGGGCGGCACCGGGATGCCGATGTTCACCATCTCCGCCAGGTTGGCGCCTTTGCCGCCGAGCAGCATTTTCATGTCGCGGTCGCCATCAGCCTTCGGCGCACCGAAGTAGTACACGTGCTTCTTGACGTCCATGGTGATCGGTTTAGAGAGAGTCCGTGAGCACAGGATTCTCTTTTATTGCTGTGGGATGACGATGGTGAGGAAGGCAGGAAAGAGAGAACTTTCGAAGAAGTAGCGTTCAGGAGAGCTGGAGACGTGTGGTAGGGCACGGTTCGATATTCTGATGAAAGGCAGAGAGAGAGAGAGATGAGTTCGCGGCGGAGGAGAGACGGTTGAATGAGGAAGGTGCGGCTACAAGGCCAATACCGTGTGCCGGCTGAACGGTTGGCGTCACCGTCTGGCAGCACATCGGGGGCCTTCACCACATGTAAAGCTTTGTTTAATGGATGTGTGGATAACCGTCAGCAACAATCCGGAGAGCACGGCTGGGCACAATTGCCTATGCCCTGCTGCCGGCCGGGAGCACTCAATAAACCTGCTGGTACTTAGTCAAGGGCCACAAAGGATTTCTCGGAGAACAGAAAGAAGGCAGTAACTGAGGGAAAACAAAAAAAATATTTAAAAAAAAAGATGTGTTGATGACACTCCGGAGCTAACGACGTACTCGAATCACCCCCATTGTCGGCACTACATATACAAAATCTCTCTTCTCTTTTCTTGTTGGGGGAGGGGGAGGTAAGTCAATTTGTTAAGACATTACGTTGAGTTCTTCGATTTGCTGGGCGTTATATTTCATTCATTTGATCCCTTTCCTCGGAATCAAGGTCCGTGAAAACGAGAAAACAAAGAAACAAAGAAACACCAAATGGAAGCGGGGTATTACGCGGAAAGTAAAACAACGGGAAGAAAAGAGAACACAGAGAATGCACTGTCATCTCGATTCGTTCCTGTAGGGCGGGCGGGGGGGGAGGGAGGGGGGGGGGGCCACCGCGGTGAGAAATACAGCAGCGCTGTTTCGCCTGCCACGCACACACGCAACGACGAGGAGGAGAGCAGCAACGAAGGGGATGACAGTGGAGGAATCAGGATGAAAACAGGAAGTGACGCAGGGAAAGCCGCTAACAGCAATCCGTCTTGTGTGCGGCACGTTCATTATTTGACTGCCTCTATGGAAGGCACGAATACCTCGTGGAACACCTGCGTCTTGACGCGCTCATACTCTGCTGAGGAGCGCTTGGAGACAATAATTGCGACGGATTAATAAACAGCACTTACGAGAATAGTTAGGTGATATTCTTTAGGGGGGAAGGTTCTTGGGGGACTGTGGACTACGATGGGTAAGCCACCAGATGATCGTATGAGCGAATGAAAGAACTGTCAATAACGGTTCGGAATAATATCAATAATAGTAATAATGAGATGAGGTGGTTTGGCGCGTGTTCGAACACGTGTGGGCGTGCATGAGAAAGACGTCGTTGCGCGCAAAACAAATACATACGTATTTATATATATACACATGAGGCAGGATAACGTCACGCGCGCAGCAAAAGTGAAGAAGACAAAGGCAGGGATACGGAGGAGAGGAATAGGAGAAAACAGCAGCGGGGGAAGCAACCATCAACGAAGAGACACGTACCGGATCGTACCGGCCGTGCTAAGTAGTCGAGCATGGCAGATGAATGCGCTTACGGCGGCACAAACCGCCGCTCAGACTTTGAAAAGCAAACAATCGACAGGCCTGCAGTGGCAGCGCATACCGAGCAGCACGTTGCAGTGGGCGGCATTACGCCTTACCAGTCAGGACTCGCCTCGTACCCAGCTACTGTGCAGCCGCACGCATGCACACACGTACGCACGGGCATGTAGGCCGCGTCAAACCAGTCAACAGCAGAGCATTTGCTAGCAACGCTGGCTGGTGGCACTTGTTCTTGTGTCTGTTTCATCTGCGTGGTTTTTGTTTTTGTCCTTTCTGGCTACGGGCTCTCATTTGAGATTTTTCAGATTCATAAAAAAAAAGAACTGGAGGGGAAAAACGGTAGTCAACAAACCAAGAGAAAAAAAACCGTAAGCAAAAAAAAACGATTTACAGATGAATAAAAATAAAAATAATAATGGAAATGAACGTTTTGCTGCTGTTGCTGTTGTTGTTTTTGAGATCTGCACAGAGCGTGTGTCACGAGACGGGGCACAGAGAGTGTGGATGAAAGACCGAGAAGCGCAGGGAAGAGAGAGAGAGACGAGTCACGCCAACCGCCCGCAAATGGATACGAGGATTGTGCGTGCGTGTGTATGTGCGTGCGTGTGCACGTGTACGTGCGCTGAATCGGTCAGCTACCGTGACATTCGAAGGAAGGCACACACAGCGCACGTCCACACGTACCGCGACCGTCCCCTAACACCTCGTCTCGTCCTTCTTCCATTTTTTTCGTTTCTCTCTCGTGTCCCACGTCACGCAAACGCCCGCCCTGTGGTCTTTCGCCGGCCGGCCCGGAGGCTCGACACACCCGATATTTTCCTTTGCCTCGGGCGGCGCCTTCCCTCCCTTCCCTCCCTCATGCCGACGCAGCGGGCGCAGGCCGCACGCACCTCCCTCACCCGCACGAAAGAAACGTGTGTTGCGCTGAAGGGGGAAGGGTGCAATGCGCCGCCGAACCAGCGGAGCCACGGAGAAGGAAGGCGCGCGAGCCGAAGAGGGAATAATGAATGAGAGGAGAGCGCTGCTGCTGCACCCGCACGGGAGAGCGAACACGATGAACGCGTGCGCATCCGACGCGAGAAGCTTCCTACAATCGACGAGCGCCAGTCGCTCCCTCGGCTCTTCGCTCGTGTCTAACGGCCGGCTTCAGAAAACATATAAAAAAGGGGGAAACAAAAAGGAAAGGTACTGCTCCTATATGGGGTGCGTGCAGTGACCTTCGTTATAGCGCTTTCATCACACCCTTAGCCCGGACTACTCTTTGGATGCCGCGAGAGCCTTGTACCTCTCGGCGTGTTCCTGCCTCTCCACCACGGCGGCGTGAGCAGCGGCCACGATGGCGACCGGCACACGGAAGGGAGAGCACGACACGTAGTCTAGGCCGGAGCGGTGGCAGAACTCGATGGTGCGCGGGTCACCGCCGTGCTCGCCGCAGATCCCCATCTTCAGCATCGGCTTCACCGCGCGGGCCTTGCGGACGGCAATGCGTAACAGCTCACCAACGCCCTCCTGGTCCAGTGACTGGAAGGGGTCGCGAGTGTAGATGCCGAGGTCCTCGTACAGGCGCAGGAACTGGCCGGCGTCATCGCGCGAGAAGCCGCAGCTCATCTGCGTCAGATCGTTCGTGCCGAAGGAGAAGAAGTCCGCCTCCTCGGCGATCTCGTCCGCCGTCAATGCAGCGCGCGGCACCTCAATCATCGTGCCGATCGTGTAGTGCACGCGGCAGCCCTTCCGCTCAAGCACCTGCTCCGCAGTCGTCACGGCGTGCTTCTTCGTGAAGCTCAGTTCAGCCTTCTTGCCAACAAGCGGGATCATGATCTCCGGCTTCACCGGCACTCCGCTCTTCGACACCTCCACGGCAGCCTCGATGATGGCGCGCACCTGCATGTTGTAGATCTCGGGATACGTGATACCCAGACGGCACCCACGCAGACCAAGCATCGGGTTCTGCTCGTGCAATGCCTTCACGCGCTGGCGCACCTTCTCCAGAGGTACATCAAGCTTAGCCGCGAGCTCCTCCTGTGCCACGCGCTCGTGGGGGATGAACTCGTGCAGCGGGGGGTCCAGCAGGCGGATCACCACAGGGCTGCCCTTCATCGCGCGGAACAGACCCTCGAAGTCACCACGCTGGATCGGCAGCACCTTCTTCAGCGCCGCCTCACGCCCCTCCTTCGTGTCCGCGAGAATCATCTCACGCATCGCATTAATACGGGTGGCTTCGAAGAACATGTGCTCCGTGCGGCACAGACCCACGCCCTCTGCACCGAACTCACGCGCCTTGTCGGCATCCGCCGGCGTATCAGCATTCGCACGCACGTTCAGACGCTTCAGCTCCTGGCACCACCGCACGAAGATCTTGAAGTCACCCTCCAGGCTCGCGGGCTTCAGCTTCAGCGCACCCTTGTAGATCAGGCCACGCGTACCGTCCAGCGTGATCACGTCACCCTGCTTGATAAATTTACCGTTCAGCGCGAAGCTGCGGCCGCTGATCACCATATCGCCGCAGCCGGACACACAGCACTTGCCCATGCCCCGAGCAACCACCGCAGCGTGCGACGTCATGCCACCGCGGGCGGTCAGGATACCCTGCGCAGCGTGCATGCCGGCAAGGTCCTCCGGAGACGTCTCCAGACGCACCATGATCACCTGCTTGCCCTGCGCAGCCCACGACTTCGCGGACTCCGCGTCGAACACAACCTGGCCCACAGCGGCACCGGGGGACGCAGCAAGACCCTTGCCGATCGGCTTCGCAGCCTTCGCCGCAGCGGGCTCGATGTTCGGGTGCAGCAGGTGGTCCACCTGTTCCGGGTCCACGCGCAGCACGGCCTCCTCCTTCGAGATCATGCCGGACCGGTGCATGTCGATCGCAATCTTCAGCGCGGCGTGGATCGTGCGCTTGCCGTTGCGGCACTGCAGCATCCACAGGCGGCCGCTCTCAACGGTGAACTCGATGTCCTGCATGTCACGGTAGTGCTCCTCCAGCTTTGCGCGGATGTCGCACAGCAGCTTGTAGTTCTCCGGCATGGACTCCTCCATCGACGGGTAGCGCCTCTGGCGCTCCTCCTCGCTCACGCCGTGCTCCTGCGCCCACTTCAGCGACAGCGCCTTGCCGATCTGCTGCGGCGTGCGAATGCCGGCAACCACGTCCTCGCCCTGCGCGTTCACCAGGTACTCGCCGTAGAAGAAGTTCTCGCCAGTCGACGGGCTGCGCGAGAAGGCCACGCCGGTCGCGGAGCGCTCGTTCACGTTGCCGAACACCATCGCCTGCACGTTCACCGCAGTGCCGATCAGGCCGGTGATGTGGTTCAGGCGGCGGTACATCGTCGCGCGGGGGTTGCCCCAGCTGCGGAACACGGCGCGGATGGCAGCGAACACCTGCTCCCACGGGTCCTGCGGAAACGGCTTGCCGCTCTTCCGCTCGAATAGAATGAGGTACTCGTCCACGAGCTTCTTCAGGTCGTCGGCGCTCAGGTCCGTGTCGAACTGCGTGCCCTTCAGCACCTTCATGTGGCCCAGCGCGTGCTCGAAGTCCTCGCGGCCAACGCGCATCACGATATCCGCGTACATCGTGATGAAGCGGCGGTACGAGTCGTACACGAAGCGCGCCTGCTCCGGCGAGCGCTGCACCCACGCCTCCACGATCTCGCGGTTCAGGCCAAGGTTCAGCACCGTGTCCATCATGCCGGGCATCGACGCGGCAGCACCAGAGCGCACGGAGAACAGCAGCGGATTGTCCACATCACCGAACCGCTTGTGCATTGCCTTCTCCACGCGCGCGACGTTCTCCCGCACCTGCGCCACAACGTCCTCCGGGATCGTCTTGGTCCGCTGGAACTCCGCGCACACCTTCGTCGTGATGGTGAAGCCGGGCGGCACCGGGATGCCGATGTTCACCATCTCCGCCAGGTTGGCGCCTTTGCCGCCGAGCAGCATTTTCATGTCGCGGTCGCCATCAGCCTTCGGCGCACCGAAGTAGTACACGTGCTTCTTGACGTCCATGGTGATCGGTTTAGAGAGAGTCCGTGAGCACAGGATTCTCTTTTATTGCTGTGGGATGACGATGGTGAGGAAGGCAGGAAAGAGAGAACTTTCGAAGAAGTAGCGTTCAGGAGAGCTGGAGACGTGTGGTAGGGCACGGTTCGATATTCTGATGAAAGGCAGAGAGAGAGAGAGATGAGTTCGCGGCGGAGGAGAGACGGTTGAATGAGGAAGGTGCGGCTACAAGGCCAATACCGTGTGCCGGCTGAACGGTTGGCGTCACCGTCTGGCAGCACATCGGGGGCCTTCACCACATGTAAAGCTTTGTTTAATGGATGTGTGGATAACCGTCAGCAACAATCCGGAGAGCACGGCTGGGCACAATTGCCTATGCCCTGCTGCCGGCCGGGAGCACTCAATAAACCTGCTGGTACTTAGTCAAGGGCCACAAAGGATTTCTCGGAGAACAGAAAGAAGGCAGTAACTGAGGGAAAACAAAAAAAATATTTAAAAAAAAAGATGTGTTGATGACACTCCGGAGCTAACGACGTACTCGAATCACCCCCATTGTCGGCACTACATATACAAAATCTCTCTTCTCTTTTCTTGTTGGGGGAGGGGGAGGTAAGTCAATTTGTTAAGACATTACGTTGAGTTCTTCGATTTGCTGGGCGTTATATTTCATTCATTTGATCCCTTTCCTCGGAATCAAGGTCCGTGAAAACGAGAAAACAAAGAAACAAAGAAACACCAAATGGAAGCGGGGTATTACGCGGAAAGTAAAACAACGGGAAGAAAAGAGAACACAGAGAATGCACTGTCATCTCGATTCGTTCCTGTAGGGCGGGCGGGGGGGGAGGGAGGGGGGGGGGGCCACCGCGGTGAGAAATACAGCAGCGCTGTTTCGCCTGCCACGCACACACGCAACGACGAGGAGGAGAGCAGCAACGAAGGGGATGACAGTGGAGGAATCAGGATGAAAACAGGAAGTGACGCAGGGAAAGCCGCTAACAGCAATCCGTCTTGTGTGCGGCACGTTCATTATTTGACTGCCTCTATGGAAGGCACGAATACCTCGTGGAACACCTGCGTCTTGACGCGCTCATACTCTGCTGAGGAGCGCTTGGAGACAATAATTGCGACGGATTAATAAACAGCACTTACGAGAATAGTTAGGTGATATTCTTTAGGGGGGAAGGTTCTTGGGGGACTGTGGACTACGATGGGTAAGCCACCAGATGATCGTATGAGCGAATGAAAGAACTGTCAATAACGGTTCGGAATAATATCAATAATAGTAATAATGAGATGAGGTGGTTTGGCGCGTGTTCGAACACGTGTGGGCGTGCATGAGAAAGACGTCGTTGCGCGCAAAACAAATACATACGTATTTATATATATACACATGAGGCAGGATAACGTCACGCGCGCAGCAAAAGTGAAGAAGACAAAGGCAGGGATACGGAGGAGAGGAATAGGAGAAAACAGCAGCGGGGGAAGCAACCATCAACGAAGAGACACGTACCGGATCGTACCGGCCGTGCTAAGTAGTCGAGCATGGCAGATGAATGCGCTTACGGCGGCACAAACCGCCGCTCAGACTTTGAAAAGCAAACAATCGACAGGCCTGCAGTGGCAGCGCATACCGAGCAGCACGTTGCAGTGGGCGGCATTACGCCTTACCAGTCAGGACTCGCCTCGTACCCAGCTACTGTGCAGCCGCACGCATGCACACACGTACGCACGGGCATGTAGGCCGCGTCAAACCAGTCAACAGCAGAGCATTTGCTAGCAACGCTGGCTGGTGGCACTTGTTCTTGTGTCTGTTTCATCTGCGTGGTTTTTGTTTTTGTCCTTTCTGGCTACGGGCTCTCATTTGAGATTTTTCAGATTCATAAAAAAAAAGAACTGGAGGGGAAAAACGGTAGTCAACAAACCAAGAGAAAAAAAACCGTAAGCAAAAAAAAACGATTTACAGATGAATAAAAATAAAAATAATAATGGAAATGAACGTTTTGCTGCTGTTGCTGTTGTTGTTTTTGAGATCTGCACAGAGCGTGTGTCACGAGACGGGGCACAGAGAGTGTGGATGAAAGACCGAGAAGCGCAGGGAAGAGAGAGAGAGACGAGTCACGCCAACCGCCCGCAAATGGATACGAGGATTGTGCGTGCGTGTGTATGTGCGTGCGTGTGCACGTGTACGTGCGCTGAATCGGTCAGCTACCGTGACATTCGAAGGAAGGCACACACAGCGCACGTCCACACGTACCGCGACCGTCCCCTAACACCTCGTCTCGTCCTTCTTCCATTTTTTTCGTTTCTCTCTCGTGTCCCACGTCACGCAAACGCCCGCCCTGTGGTCTTTCGCCGGCCGGCCCGGAGGCTCGACACACCCGATATTTTCCTTTGCCTCGGGCGGCGCCTTCCCTCCCTTCCCTCCCTCATGCCGACGCAGCGGGCGCAGGCCGCACGCACCTCCCTCACCCGCACGAAAGAAACGTGTGTTGCGCTGAAGGGGGAAGGGTGCAATGCGCCGCCGAACCAGCGGAGCCACGGAGAAGGAAGGCGCGCGAGCCGAAGAGGGAATAATGAATGAGAGGAGAGCGCTGCTGCTGCACCCGCACGGGAGAGCGAACACGATGAACGCGTGCGCATCCGACGCGAGAAGCTTCCTACAATCGACGAGCGCCAGTCGCTCCCTCGGCTCTTCGCTCGTGTCTAACGGCCGGCTTCAGAAAACATATAAAAAAGGGGGAAACAAAAAGGAAAGGTACTGCTCCTATATGGGGTGCGTGCAGTGACCTTCGTTATAGCGCTTTCATCACACCCTTAGCCCGGACTACTCTTTGGATGCCGCGAGAGCCTTGTACCTCTCGGCGTGTTCCTGCCTCTCCACCACGGCGGCGTGAGCAGCGGCCACGATGGCGACCGGCACACGGAAGGGAGAGCACGACACGTAGTCTAGGCCGGAGCGGTGGCAGAACTCGATGGTGCGCGGGTCACCGCCGTGCTCGCCGCAGATCCCCATCTTCAGCATCGGCTTCACCGCGCGGGCCTTGCGGACGGCAATGCGTAACAGCTCACCAACGCCCTCCTGGTCCAGTGACTGGAAGGGGTCGCGAGTGTAGATGCCGAGGTCCTCGTACAGGCGCAGGAACTGGCCGGCGTCATCGCGCGAGAAGCCGCAGCTCATCTGCGTCAGATCGTTCGTGCCGAAGGAGAAGAAGTCCGCCTCCTCGGCGATCTCGTCCGCCGTCAATGCAGCGCGCGGCACCTCAATCATCGTGCCGATCGTGTAGTGCACGCGGCAGCCCTTCCGCTCAAGCACCTGCTCCGCAGTCGTCACGGCGTGCTTCTTCGTGAAGCTCAGTTCAGCCTTCTTGCCAACAAGCGGGATCATGATCTCCGGCTTCACCGGCACTCCGCTCTTCGACACCTCCACGGCAGCCTCGATGATGGCGCGCACCTGCATGTTGTAGATCTCGGGATACGTGATACCCAGACGGCACCCACGCAGACCAAGCATCGGGTTCTGCTCGTGCAATGCCTTCACGCGCTGGCGCACCTTCTCCAGAGGTACATCAAGCTTAGCCGCGAGCTCCTCCTGTGCCACGCGCTCGTGGGGGATGAACTCGTGCAGCGGGGGGTCCAGCAGGCGGATCACCACAGGGCTGCCCTTCATCGCGCGGAACAGACCCTCGAAGTCACCACGCTGGATCGGCAGCACCTTCTTCAGCGCCGCCTCACGCCCCTCCTTCGTGTCCGCGAGAATCATCTCACGCATCGCATTAATACGGGTGGCTTCGAAGAACATGTGCTCCGTGCGGCACAGACCCACGCCCTCTGCACCGAACTCACGCGCCTTGTCGGCATCCGCCGGCGTATCAGCATTCGCACGCACGTTCAGACGCTTCAGCTCCTGGCACCACCGCACGAAGATCTTGAAGTCACCCTCCAGGCTCGCGGGCTTCAGCTTCAGCGCACCCTTGTAGATCAGGCCACGCGTACCGTCCAGCGTGATCACGTCACCCTGCTTGATAAATTTACCGTTCAGCGCGAAGCTGCGGCCGCTGATCACCATATCGCCGCAGCCGGACACACAGCACTTGCCCATGCCCCGAGCAACCACCGCAGCGTGCGACGTCATGCCACCGCGGGCGGTCAGGATACCCTGCGCAGCGTGCATGCCGGCAAGGTCCTCCGGAGACGTCTCCAGACGCACCATGATCACCTGCTTGCCCTGCGCAGCCCACGACTTCGCGGACTCCGCGTCGAACACAACCTGGCCCACAGCGGCACCGGGGGACGCAGCAAGACCCTTGCCGATCGGCTTCGCAGCCTTCGCCGCAGCGGGCTCGATGTTCGGGTGCAGCAGGTGGTCCACCTGTTCCGGGTCCACGCGCAGCACGGCCTCCTCCTTCGAGATCATGCCGGACCGGTGCATGTCGATCGCAATCTTCAGCGCGGCGTGGATCGTGCGCTTGCCGTTGCGGCACTGCAGCATCCACAGGCGGCCGCTCTCAACGGTGAACTCGATGTCCTGCATGTCACGGTAGTGCTCCTCCAGCTTTGCGCGGATGTCGCACAGCAGCTTGTAGTTCTCCGGCATGGACTCCTCCATCGACGGGTAGCGCCTCTGGCGCTCCTCCTCGCTCACGCCGTGCTCCTGCGCCCACTTCAGCGACAGCGCCTTGCCGATCTGCTGCGGCGTGCGAATGCCGGCAACCACGTCCTCGCCCTGCGCGTTCACCAGGTACTCGCCGTAGAAGAAGTTCTCGCCAGTCGACGGGCTGCGCGAGAAGGCCACGCCGGTCGCGGAGCGCTCGTTCACGTTGCCGAACACCATCGCCTGCACGTTCACCGCAGTGCCGATCAGGCCGGTGATGTGGTTCAGGCGGCGGTACATCGTCGCGCGGGGGTTGCCCCAGCTGCGGAACACGGCGCGGATGGCAGCGAACACCTGCTCCCACGGGTCCTGCGGAAACGGCTTGCCGCTCTTCCGCTCGAATAGAATGAGGTACTCGTCCACGAGCTTCTTCAGGTCGTCGGCGCTCAGGTCCGTGTCGAACTGCGTGCCCTTCAGCACCTTCATGTGGCCCAGCGCGTGCTCGAAGTCCTCGCGGCCAACGCGCATCACGATATCCGCGTACATCGTGATGAAGCGGCGGTACGAGTCGTACACGAAGCGCGCCTGCTCCGGCGAGCGCTGCACCCACGCCTCCACGATCTCGCGGTTCAGGCCAAGGTTCAGCACCGTGTCCATCATGCCGGGCATCGACGCGGCAGCACCAGAGCGCACGGAGAACAGCAGCGGATTGTCCACATCACCGAACCGCTTGTGCATTGCCTTCTCCACGCGCGCGACGTTCTCCCGCACCTGCGCCACAACGTCCTCCGGGATCGTCTTGGTCCGCTGGAACTCCGCGCACACCTTCGTCGTGATGGTGAAGCCGGGCGGCACCGGGATGCCGATGTTCACCATCTCCGCCAGGTTGGCGCCTTTGCCGCCGAGCAGCATTTTCATGTCGCGGTCGCCATCAGCCTTCGGCGCACCGAAGTAGTACACGTGCTTCTTGACGCCCATTATGAAGAAGGTTAAAAGGTTATGCTCTTTTGGAATGGAGGTTTTTGTTGTTGCAGCGAAAAGGAAAAGAAGGTTTGTTTGCTATGCAATATAGCTTTTTTATATGGCTGGAGTAAGTTAGTTTTACTGGCGGTTGTGTTGGTCAGTCATGATACCGACAGGATTGGTGTTGTGGTGGGTGACGGTGGGGGTGGTGATGGTGGGTTGGTTGATTGAATGGCAAAGGATTGCCGGTACAGCAATTAGTTGGTGTGCCAGCGTGAGATGGACATCGTCGGAGTGGTGCATAGACAAAGAGAAGAGAGACAGAGAGAAGGTGGACGGCTTATGTTATTCGTTTCCGAAATTAAGATAATAAACAATAGTAATAGTAATAACAATATGAAGGTCCTCATGCGTCGTGTATACGGCTATCCACCGCCGCCTTGCCACCTCGTGCGTGCATGACGATACTCTACGGTGCGACAGTGAGTGGTGCTGATGAACGTCGTGGTATCTTTTTGTAGAGCGACGAGCCGCAGCCATGGTGGCGGTAAGATCGCGCCCCACCGTCCAGCCAAAGGGGCTTGAGGGGGCGTAAGGTCTATCACGAGAACGGCAGCGAACGCATTACGAGAAGGAAGAAGGACTTTAGTTGGTTTCGTTCTATCATATGGAGTTTGGACTGTCAGACAGATAGGTCGAAAGCAATGAAAAAATGGGAGAGAAAAGGAAACGAAAAAATACGCAACGATTCGGATGATGGTGATACAGCGCGCGAGTGTGACTTATGTTTTTTCTTCTCCTCTCGGTTTATAGAATCGAGAGGGGTTTGTAGCGCGCCAGAGTAGATGTTTCGATACGCTCTGTGCCGTTGCTCATCACCCAACCTGGCTGCTGTCCACCCTGTACCACCTCTCCATGCAGTGCAGTACTGCTAGGGAGTATTTTATATCGTTCCCCCCCACCCCCCCCCCTCCCACCGAATCGAAAGGGGTT